TGTGCAAATAACACCCATATTCTTTTCAATTTGTGCGAAAAGACCCCTCAATTAATATAATACCTATTTTACCCTTTTAATCTTCCAAAAATACTCCTGCCAAACCATAATTCTTATTCTTCTTCTCTTCTTCTTCTTTGAGTGTGTGTTTTATCTCTAATAATGATTTAGAAGTTTGTGTAGCTACAAAATGACCATTTTTCAGTGGATTATGGTTTGACTTGTATGAATTCTTTCAAATATCAAAGAATTTAATTTGTTCATATCCATTTGACCATGAAAATGCAAAGATTTACAGTCTAAAAAACAAGTGAACAATTGTCTCTTCTATTATCCGTGGCCATAGGGATTGTTACTAATCCATCCAGAACGGAGGGCTTTTTGTGCGGGAATAACCTACTGACAACATTTCAAAAGAAAAAGAGTTTTGTTTGGAGAAGAAAGCTGAGGATTTAGAGAAGCGCATCTGCTGCCCGATGTGAAAAAAAAGATGCAAGATAGAACCCTTCCCAAATCAAACCCTCCCTTTTTTTTTTAAAACCACCCACAGTCACCACCCCCATATATCTCAAGTAAAAATCAACCATTTTTTTTTTTTTTTTTTTTGAAAAGGCAAATCAACCCCATTTTGCTTTATACTCCGTATTTGAAATATATATATATATATATATATATATATATATATATATATAACCCGAACCAATTTGCAGTTTTTTTGTTAAAAAAAAAGGCAAATCAAACCCGTTTTGCTTTCTATTTGTTATATATATAAACCAAACCAATTCTGCAGGAAATGGATGGTGAGGATGAAGAATGCAACATAGGGTCGATTTCTCGCGAGTATCATAGCACGATTCTGATGTTGACTAGCAGCAGCGATGGCATGGCGGTGACGTGATTCCGACGTTGACGAGGCGACGAGATCTTGTCTGGTGACTAATAGCGGCGATGGGTGACGCGATTCCGACGTTGACGAGGGGTAACGGTATGCATTTGGTGTGATCCATTGATTCAGATTGATTGAGCAATAATCAATTATTTGTGGGTTGATTTCGAACCCTAAGTGTGTGGAATGAAGGAATTCAAAATGATTTGTGGCTTCGTGGAAGAAGGGGTTGGCGATGGTGGAGGTGGTGATGGTGGGTGGTGGTAGAGGTTGCCGGTGGTCTTCTCCAGTCTTCCCTTCATTCTCTGTGGCAGCAACCACCGAGAAGAAGAAGAAGAAGAAGAAGAAGGGTCAAACCCTTTTTAGTTATTTCACAAAATATATATATATATATATTATAAAATGTGTTGCTAAGGGTATTTTAGTGTTGCTAAGGGTATTTTAGTTCAATTTTATAAATAGGGCATATTTGCACAAATATCATAGTTTAGGGATGTTTTTTATATGAGAAGGGTACAATATACACTGTAAGCATACTATAAGATATTTTTTGCAAATATTTTTTATGTAACCTGTTGAGTTGGTTTTTTTCGATTAAACCTAGTCGCTAGTTTTATTATTTTCCATAATGTAGATGGAATATATAGAAAATTGAAACAAGGATCTCTTGAAATGTGTGTTGGTTGGGTATTTTAAATGATCTCTCCCCAGAGGGGCAGAGTGGTGAGACAGCAGATATGAATAACATGAACTGAGGGATATCATATGGTCTCTTCAACCTTGGACCTCTATACCCTTTACATTTAAACTTCAATTGGAAAGTCCACAACACAACCTGGTAATATTTTAAACCAGATAGGTTAATTTTTATGAGTAAAATTAAGTACAGAAAACTACCAAAATTTTTATTGTTATTGCGGTGTTCTGTGAAAATTGAATACTATGGATTTTGCAATTTTTATTGAGGCAGACATACTTCTGAGACCAGGATATGGCCAATATTTAAGATACTCAAAACAACCCCATGTGAAATTCAAGTCTTTCCAGTGATAATTTGGCTTCATTCATTGATTTTAGGGTGACTCTGACACGCTGGGCTTGGTGTTGCTTAATTTTGGAATGTGGAGTAGAAGATCATCTAATTCGGGAATATATTTGGTGTGTCCGGTACACCGTACAATGGGTCACCAAAATTGTTCGTTTCTAAATATATTATGCATATTTTTAGACATGTTGTGTACGATTCTGATATGCCCGATGCACGGGCACACTGTATAACTTCTCATTGAACCCCTCAGGCCATAGTTTGGTCTGGTATTTAAATGTTTTCAGCTGCATGCACCAAATGAAGTTGAATTGAATAAAGGGATTATCAATGATTGTACTTCAAATTAATTCAAGTATCTGAAGATCCATTTTTGACCTTCTAGTATAATTAATATTTAATAGGTTAATAATATATAATTTTTTAACCAACTAACTTGATTACAAAATTAAAAAACAATAGTATTTTACTGAATGATTAATAATTTGAAAATGTTTCTATTAAGTTGTTGATTATAAGAACATGATTATACATATACATATACATATATATATATATAGAGAGAGAGAGTTATAAACAAACACAAGATAGTAATGGCATTTAAACATGTGCTATGCCTTAGACAAAAGAATAAGGAGAGTTTATTATTATTATTATTATTAGTAACAGCAGCAGCAGCAGTTGTGGTATATAGCAGTTAGAGTAATTTCTCTTCTTTTCTTTTGAAAGGGGAACAGTCATAGTAAAAACATATATGCTTTGAAAAGTATATAAATAATCTTCTCTTCATAGTGTTGTATACTTATAAAGAAACTTCTGAATTTATTAATGTTAAATAATTAAATTTAATTAATTGGTTGACCTTAGAAATATATATACATGATTAATTGATAAGTTTGGATTCTCTGGCCATCATTAGTTACTATATGGTTGACCTTTGAAATATATTACATGCTTAATCATAATGAACATAAATTATTGCATGGTCCAGTATGGAATAATGTGGCACTGATAATTATAAACTGAAACAACAGATTGATTGTTTTTATTTTTATTTTTTAATTTTATTTTTAAATGAGTGAAAAACATGTCATATATTTTGTTTGAAAATTGTATATAATTTTTTCCCTGTATAGAATTAATTATGTTATCATGATTAGACTTTTATTTCTGTGTCAAACATCAATAATATTTGATTATGAACCTCTCTCTACATAAGATGGCGAAAAGTACGGTGTACGGTGTGGTGGACTAATAATTAATTATTCAAATAATTAAACAAACTATTATTGATCAATGCCCTTTTCATCAACCAGTGAATTAATTAGTATTTTTTTTTACTGTTAGGGAATGGATATTTTCAAAAAATACTGATCTTTAATTTAAAAAAAAAAAAATTGCAATTTCATTGTACATTGTTATAGAGAACTGCTCTTACATTTCACACTTAGAAGGCTTTAAGTTTGGATCCACAAAATAATTATAGATACAATGTGTCTATAATATGGAATCTTGACATTCGGATTATTTTTATATGAGTGGAGACGAAGAAAATGATAATATCATCTCTCACTCATATAAAATAGCCAAATTAATCTAATTGTCTAATTACATATTATTTTTTAGGATAAAGTACAGTCACACCCCTGAGGTTTGACAAAAAAACACTCAGATGAAACTTACTTATTTTTTGGACAAAGACACCCCCCGAAGGTTCAAAAATGAACAAATACACCCCTTTATGTGAAAAAATGACCAAATTATCATTTGACTGTGTAAGAGATTTTTTTAACTTTATAATTTAATAAATTGGACCAATCTACCTCATGAATAATTTATGCATAAAAAAAAAAAAAAAAAACTTTATATTGTTCACTTTTTTTTTTTTTTTTTTTTACTTTATAAATGTACCAACTTCTTAAAAATGTAGACGTCTAAAGTAATTTTTTGATTCAATACATATATTTCAAATAAATTATATTTTGTTATTACTTCTTTTCTTTTTCTTTTTTATTTTTAAATTAAGATGCTTAATTCTTTTAACTAAAAAAATCAAACCAGTCTCTTTTTCTTAAAAATAAAAAATATGGTACCAGTATAATTTTATACATCTTAAATTATATATAAAATATTATGCATTTCCACACATAAAAGGGAAAATAATAATAATAATAAAACAAAGGGAAAAAAAAAAAAACAAAGGCATGCATAAAGGTTAAGATGCATAAAGTTAAGATGGTACCTGTTTGAAATATATGTATTGGATCAAAAAATCATTTTAGATATATACATTTTTAAGAAGTTGGGACATTTATAAAGTAAATAACCAAAAAAAAAAAAAGACAAAAAAAGTGAACAATATAAAGTTATTTATTTATTTATTTATTTTTTACATAAATTGTTCATGAGGGTAGATTGGTCCAATTTATTAAATTGTAAAGTTAAAAAAAGTCTCATAGCCGGTTAAAGGGTAATTTGGTTAATTTTTCATATAAAGGGATGTCTTTGTCCATTTTTGAATCTTCAGGGAATGTCTTTGTCTAAAAAATAGATAAATTTCATCTAAGTGTCATTTTGCCAAACCTTAGGAGTGTGACTGTACTTTATCTCATTTTTTATTACTAATATAACAAATCATAAAGCAATGCTACGTGTTAGATGATTTAAATTATTAAATGTTGCGTTACATATTCTCTAACATCTTGGTATTCATTAACGTGATATCACAATGAAAAAGCCTTGATTAACATGGGTTAATTCGAATAAATTAATTTGAAACATTGATTCTCAATCTCAACGTCTCTATCTCTTTTTGTTTTTTTTCTTTGTTTTTTTTCTCTCAACGTCTTTATGTTGAACACAAATCGATCTCAGCTATAAATTGGGCCCAAAAGTAGAAAGAATTGGGCTAGGCCTGCTTTTATTGAAAGTGTTTCGTTGACAATCAGACCATCAACTTCCAAGTTACAACCCAACCATACTGTGACAAAATGAGCTCATGTGTCAGTGGCCCATTGTAGACCTAAGATTGTGTATTGGAATGTAGGTATCGATGGGCTCAAAGCCCAAAAAGCCTGTTAAACCTTCATTTCCTGAGGACCTGAACTCTCTCGCCTTTCTCTTTCTCCGTCTGCGAGTGCGTGTGTTAAACCCTAAACCATGCAATTCCTTCACAAACTCACTTCCAAAACCCCCAACTCATCCTCTCTCTGCTACATTACTTCTCGCTTCCTCACCACTCGTAACCCCAACCCTAACCGAAATCATAATCCGGACGAACCGAGCTCCGCCTACTACGACGAACTCATCAACGCCGCCGGATGCAGCAAAGACTTCGTCGCCGTCCACCGCCTCCTCAGCAAGCGATTCAGGGACGGTTTCTTCAACACCACCAACACATTCAAGTTCATCTCCACCGACCTCTCCGTTCTAGATGACCTCTCTCACGCCCTATCTACTCTCGACAGAGGCTTCTCTCGGAAGAGCGCGTACGACTCACTCATCGCGTGTCTCTGCAAGATTCACCGCAGCGACGAGGCCCGGCGCGTGATGGAGACTGTGGTGCGGGAGCGTTACGGTGCGAACGCGACCACGTTTCATCCCATACTCAACGCGCTCACGAAGAAGAAGAACATGGAGGATGCGTGGCGATTGATGGAGTTTATGAAAGAGAATGGGATTTCGCCTGATCTGACGGCGTACAATTCCCTGCTAACCGCGTACTGCTTCGTCGGAGATCTGACGTCTGCAGCCGGGGTTTTGACGAAGATGGAGGTGGAGGAGGGGATGGAGGCGGACTCGAGGACGTACGACGCGCTGGTTCTGGGTGCGTGCCGGGCAGGGAGGGTGGAGGGGGCTCTGGTGGTGCTGCGGAGGATGGAGGATGATGGATTGCCACCGATGTACTCCACCCATGCGCACGTTATCAATGCGCTGTTGAAATTGGGTTATTATGCGCAGGCGATTGAATTTGTGATGATCTATGGAGGAAGAGATAAGGGGTTGGACACGGAGAGTTTTGGGCTTCTTGCATACCGTCTGATGAATTTGAAAAGGTTTGACGAAGCTAAGCTTGTTCTGGAGGAGATGAAAGGAAGAGGATTGGCCATGGGTGATAGATTGAAGGACTTTTACTCACTACGTATTAGTGAAGAGTAAATGCCTAGTCGTACCAGTCCAGGTTTCGGCTTCGGTCATTATCAGAGTCGGAGGCCGAGCTCAAAGTGGTTCTAATGAGAGACAATGGGTTGTTTTGTGATGTTGTGAGGAAGCAGAGGATGACTTGTGGGGATTTCGTGGAGGAGTCTGTCTATAGGAATTTTGGACGGTTCGGGGGATTTAGGAGAGGATTGAGAGTTTGAAGCAGCAGTAGATGATGGAACTAGAGAAGCAAAGGATGGAGTTGACCGAGGGTATTGGTTTCCAGAGGATGAATTTGATTATGGAAGCTGAACTCTAGGGCAATGCAGCCAACAAAATATCCGCTAGGTGCAGGTGAATTTCCAAGATTCAAATTTTATTACATTGTTTTTTCTTTTTCTTTGGATTCGATGATAAATTGATTAGCAAATTGAAGCAATAGAACTTTGAGTGAATTCGGAATTGTTGGGTGTTTTACAAGATCATTATAACTTGAAAGTTAGTGACTGCAAATGATATATATGGTTCAATAAATAGAAATCTTCAAGTTATTCTTCAGACTACTGAATAATTTAGCCTAAATTATTGAGAATAGGAGGAATATGGACAAGTTGCATGGTGTATGTGTGTCTTTTGGTGTATTCAGTGGAACTTTTTTTTATGTTTTTTATTTTTCGGCCTTTTCCCTGATTACCTTCTTTATTTGATGCTGTTTCAAATATATGTTTATTTTATGATATGGTTTTGGTGAGAACCACATGGCCAAGGAGATGAACGGATTTCAGTTGATCTTTTTTTTTAACCCCTGATGAAAATATATTTCAGTTGTTGAGTCTATTAGTTTTTAGATTTGTCCATGGGCAGAAAGTGAAAATCAGTGGATATGCAGAAAAGGGGTTCTCATTTGTGGGTAGTATAAAATCTGTTAGGAGTTTCCATCTTAGAAAATACAGTTCCTATAACCCTATAGTTCAAAAAAATACAGTTTTACCAAGACTTTTTGGCTATGCCTCCACTTCATTTCATTCTAGTTCTTAGGTGTTGCAGGATGGTTACGATAAAACATTCCGTGGCTAAATTTGTGCATATCAGTAAGCGTGGATAATATGGAGTTATCCTTAGTTCACATTATATCATTGGACGTGTCTCTACTGATACAATTAGGGTAAAACCGATTCTATGTCTTGGTGCACAGTAAGTAAACATCAGCTGAGTACTAACTACTAAGGTGTCATAGACATGGTCTTCAACCTCTTTCAAAAATATGAGATATCTTTCCAGGCAAGTTTTGGCATAAAATTCTTCTGCTCCTTCCTTTTCTTAGGTATAAGTTTCTGATTTAGTGTTGGATGAGACATTGATAGATTGTTAGTTCAATTTTAGTAACATCTGAATTTTCAAGATCCCTTTTCTTTATATATAGCCTTTTATTGCGCATCAACATAGTGGCAGTTTGTGGATAGTGTGTAATGTGAGACATTGTTATAATTGTATTCCTTGCACAAGTGTTTATATATATATATATGTATATGCAACAGGGGAATTTGAGCAATTAACATTTAGATTAAGGATCTAGCCTGATAGTATTTGCTCTATTGCGCTGTGGATGGTTAGAAATTCTGTATAATTAATACACTGAAGCCAATGTAGCTAAATAGAGAATGTTAGGTTTTGAGGAGAGTATTTGTCTTTAAACAGTACATGGAGTGTTGTAAACAAATGCATTTGCATGTTTCTATTAGTTGTGAGATTTATGATGGAAACTGGAAAGAAACATCAAATTTCACATACTTGTTAATTTTCCAACTCTACCAACAATAACTTCATGTACGTTTGTATGTCCTTTGGTCTGCTAAGGAAACTTTGAGATGGAATTTGAAGGGCTTATCTGCTAAGAAAACTTTGAGATGGAATTTGAAAGGCTTATTACTGAAGGTGAGTTTCCATTTCTACGTAAATACATCAGAAAGAAGGCAAGAAAATTAAATGGCACCGGAAGTTGGTTTTAACAATAGCATGTTTCCTCACTAGGATATAATAAGGAACTTATTAATATATATTGTGGGCAGGATTTGAAAGAACGTCTCTAATGAGAAGAAAGCAAAGGAAGATAAAACAATGAATGCTGGACTTACAATCCATGAAAATCATTTTTACAGGTCATTCACTTGGTTTACATGTCTCTCTCGTACAAAAAGGGCCCTGTTATTTTGAAAGAACATTCAATGATTATGATACCCGTTTTGTGTGTGTAAAAAGACAGTTAATGGTCCAATTTCAAACAAAAGGTCTGACCCTAGAGGTGGTATAAACCTTGCAAATACTGCTTTGAGGGCCGGTCTGCATCGTTTATTTTTTATTGTCAACCGTGTGAGTATTAGAGACTTAATTTGGAAAAGTTCAGCGTGGGCAAGTCTAAGCTGATGAAGTCACTATTAGTGGCTGATCTAGTTGTTTGGAACATTGTGCAAAGACAGTAGAGAAAATGGAGAAATGCCTGTGAGCTAGAATTGTAGAGGGTTCATACTTGCCACGGCATGCGATAGGCCAGGCATTGCTTATGTGGTTGCAGTTTTAAGCCGGTTTCTAGCTAATCTGGGAAGAGCATATTTGGAGGCTGTCAAATGGATGCTTTGAAACTACAGGATTTGGAGCAGGTGCATGGTTTTATCAATGCAAGTTTCGCTAATGATATTGACAGAGGCAGACCAACTACCAATTATAAGTTCCATTGTGGATTTGGCTGAATCAATTGGATGTCAAAGTTACGACCAACAGCTTCTTTGTCTATTGGTTTAAGTCCATGACATTGACGAAAGCTTGCGAAGAAGTAGTGTGGCGTAAAGGTTTCATTGGGCGCGGTTGATTTGCAAGTCAAACCCATGGAATTTTTTATTATTATTTATTTATTTATTTATTTTTTGGGCGAGTCAAAGATATTGAGGTCCAACACCAATGTGTACATGTTATTCAAAATGCCAAGGTTCATGTATTGAGTGTTCCTTCGGAGAACTTGGAGGATATGCTAACAAAAATTGTTACATTACAGAAGTTGGATTGGAGCTTGATATCTCTAAGATTCATGGCAAGGTAAATTGGTGGGTTTGGCAATGCTAGCGTTGATTTTCGATCAATATGGAGATTATTGAATTGTGATATATAATTATACATATTTCTAATTCTTTAGTTGGGTATTTTGTTCTTTATCAATGGGTGTCCATGTATTTTAACTTGAAGATGTGGGAATGGTCTTATAAGCCACTAATATGGTAATGGTCTTATAAGCCATTAATGTGGTCCACTAAATTGGATCGTTATTTAGTGAGTTTATTTTTGAAGACTTTTTAGATAGTGCATTTAAAATTTGAAGAGGGCAGATGGTTGTCGACACAAATTATGGTTTTTCTCCACAAGTGATTTCTTGTCACCAAGGCCTCCATTTATTGAAGTGTGATTCCTGACCAACTTAGCTAACCCGTGGGATAAACACTCTTGTTTTCACAGGTTAGTCAATTGGCAAATCAGTTATTGTTGGTAGGTGGGGGACAATATGTTTTTGGAAGTTTGTCTATGGCATGGCAGTGGCATTAAATTTCATTTCCCTCTTCACCCTGTTTGTAGAGGCATGATTCTGACAGCACACTTGTTTTCTCAAGTTAGTCTCTGGGTAGATTGTTATGGCTGGTTATTGTGACCAGTATTCTTTTGGAAAGTTTGTCCACTTCGTACTGGTGCTCTGTCTCCTCACACAATGGTTTTGGTTCTTGCTCTTCTCCTTTTGTTTTTTAGGGCTTATTTGGTGGTGTTGTTGTAATGATAAAAGTGCTTTTATCCATAGGGCTGTCAGAAAATTGCTCTCAGTAAAAAAAAGAAACACGTTAGGTGTTCGGCAATACATTATATAAAGTACTCATTAATTTGTTTGGTAACAATATTTTTAAAGAGCACTTATTATTAATTATACAATAATGCTCTTTAATGGAGAGTGTTTTTATATTTGATAATAATAGGCCCTTATAAAAGAATTGGTGAAATAGTCTCTGTAAAAAATTAAAAGGGATAAAATTGTGATAGTTAACTAAAATATAGAACCTCAAGGGCTTCGTTTTTTTGTTACCAAACACATTTTAAAATTGAAAGTGCTTCAAGTGGTTCACTTTTTTGTTATTTTATTTTTTATGTAATAGAAATATACTTGTTCTTTTTTGTTTTATTTCTTTAAAATCTTTGCACTTTTAAAGAATTATATGACCCTTGTGGTTCAAGCCCCGTTAAGCAGAGACTGCCAGGTTTGTTTCAGTACTTAACAATTTAGAACGTTTAGTCCCTGCTTCACATACTCGTGTGAAATGCTCCACAAATAAAAAAGGGCTCTCACAATTTTTATAAATCAATTTTACAAGTTAACTTGATTCTACAAGTCTCTCTCACACAATCCAAAATGGTCACCAACACGTACGCAATGAAAAATATGTTCATTTTTTTCAATGCTTTCGTAAAGTAGTTTTGTTATATACATGCACCTGCCATTGCATTTTGAAACCATGTTTTTAACATCTTGTGATGTTTATCCTGCTGACAAGTGACTGCTTTACAGTCTTGCAAGTTTTTACAGAAATTTGCATACCTTCCACAGGGAAGAAGTTATAGCTCAGAAAGGAAAGGAGAATTTGTAATTACTCTGGGATGGATTTCAACTCCAAATGAATCTCCACATCCACATCCACATCCACATCCTCCCTATGATATCTGCGAAACAAAGCTTGAAGTATTTCAAGGAAATGGCGATATTATATCCACGGTTGTCTGATGTGCACAGTATGTAATTTTCCACTGACTTCCAGTATGTTTTTGAAGTGTAATACTTATTAATTAGTCTCTTTCCCATTTTACGCATTTAAATATTGTATTTTTCCATGTTTAGCCAATAAACTATTTATCATAAAAGATTAATATTACGGATTGAACCTGCGATGGTTTCTACATACCTGTGTATAATGGGAAGGCAGATTTTTTTATTTCTCTAAGCCAGGCACAAAGAAGTATGGTCTTTTGATTGTAAAAGTATCAATCTCAACTATTATATATTTGGAATGTGAGTATTATGATTTTGCAGAGAAACTATGTATTCAAAGCTATCAGCTGGTGTTTTTCTGTGTTCGGGCTCGATTTGAGCTCGTATTCAAGATTCTTTATACGAGTATGCTCGAGTTTTATGCCCGTGAACATGCGTGCATGAACATATGTATGTTTGTCCATGCTTACCAAGGTGTTCATGAGCTATGTTCGAGAACACATACACGACCACGAATTTAGTGTTCACGAGCCCTACAAGAGCCAAGCCTGACACTATATAGGAACTACTCGTCTACTAAATTAGTTCAAAACTTGAGTTTGGCTCATTGAGCCCTGCAAGAGCCAAGCCTAACACTATTTACGAACTACTCGTTTACTAAATTAGTTCAAAACTTGAGTTCGGCTCATTTACTTAATGAATGAGCCAATAGAACGGCTTGATATGGAGAACGGAACAGAGTTGGAGCTTTGTTTGCCATAGAAAACAGGAGTTTTTGAGCTGGTTTGTCCTAATAGTTTCATTCATGCTTTCTTATCCTTTACCAACAGGCTTAATCAAAGTCCAAAAATCACACGTTCTAGGAATTCTGAAATTTGAGATATATTACAGACTACTGGAATTTAAAATCTTTTTTTTTTCTTCCTGAATTGTAATTTAAAATCAACTCGTGTTCGAGTTAATTTGCAGTCCATTGCCAATTGGTCAGGATCAGAACCGCAATTAGGTACTTTGGTCATATAGTACCACCATTTTGGATGTATGTTTTTTCTGCTCTCAAAAGCACAGATTTCTCTCTGATTATTGAAATTTTTACTTTGGAATTGCAAAGATAACAGCACCAGAATAATTTCCACATGTTTTGATGAGTATCTTCTCTTGAACTTTTAGTATAAGCATCATCAAGATTGCTAAATTGGGCTAATAATGATTGTGAAAATACCATTAATTCCCATGAAAGTCTTAACTTCAAGCAAATTTTTGGTTGGGAACACAAAACCAAAAGGCTCTACTTCTACAGATTATTAACATGAGAGAGAGATCATGGAAATGGGAATTGGCTAAATTCATTGATCCATCCACTTTGACTTGTTTCCAAGGAATTCTGGTTGCTATTCTGAACAAATCCATTGCATACCGGAAAATCCGTAAAAGGACACATATTGAGTTGATCATCCATGACCAAGAATGGAGAAGGCTTGACAGCATAGCGCGCGAGACGAGCTTTAGCAATGGCCAGATCATGTTGGAGCTCCATCATCCTCCTCTGCAACAAAGCTATGGCACCAATGCAACCGTAGACAGGGTCAATAAGCCTTGCCTCCGCCTCATACACCAGGGAATTCACCGCCTCCTCGCGCTGCTCCTCAGGCACCTCGGTGAGGATCTTGCTCACATTGCTGGCTCCAAACACCTTGTGAACGTTGGCGAATTTTTTGGGCTCGTCGGACCGGAAATACGGTGCAAATGCACAGTTGGGGGCGCACCTCCTCTTCAAGAACTTGCAGGCTGCACAAGAAGAGCTTGAACGTGATTCTTGACCCTTCATGGCTTTTCATACCATCCACTTGTTTAAAATGTCCTATCCTCCTCTAGTCCTTTCTACCATATAAATAGGCCTCACCCCCATTGTGTAAATCATAATATCTATTAGAATGTGTTCATATGAATAGAAAGGGATTTATTATAGACCACTCTTTCTACCCTTCACATTTGATGCCGTGCAAGCACAAATTTACATACAAAATTCATCATGGTCCACAACGCTTTTGCTGTTACATATGTATGCAATCTTATCTCCTCATGAAGAGGCTATATACAATTCTGAACCCGTAACTTTCAAATCAGAATGGAACAATCTTATCGTTGTGTCAAGATCCACCCTCAGATCAATTACATATAAGTTGATGGAAATTATATATAGAAATTTTATTTGTAATAGATTTTCTTGCCAGAGGGTATTTAAGGAAAATAGATGAGCCATTTTTACTTTTAAGATTATTATTATGGTGGAAGTGGAAGTGGGTGAAATAATTAAAGATGAGGCAACAAAAGCATGTTCCCACAAGGTTACATGGGGCATGATAGTTCACCAATAAAGTTTGATGAGATATTTCAATTGATGTGAGAAAAGAGATTTCACAAGAAAAGAAGCCTCTCAACAAAGTTGGATTCATCCACCAGAAGGAAACCTATGGAGGCTACAAAGGTAAACTTGGAATCTCACATTGCATAGTGGATCCAAGAGAAACAGTTTCACATCATGACATATCCCCGTGTTTATCCAAGGGGGCAAGGATGGAAATCCATTTGGCCACAAAGGATTTTCAACTACCTGTCACCACCCGTGACATTTTTCTTTTATAAGAGTGTGGTATTTTCGGACCAAAATTACGCCTGAGACTCGAATCTCTGATCTTTTTTGGAAAAGTAGGAACCTGATTTTTTAACGTAGACTGAGCAACCCACCTCTATAACTTTTTTCTTGTATACGAGTGTAGTAATTTTTGACGAAAATTACGTCTTCACTAGGACTCGAACTCCTAATCTCAATTTGAGAAGTAGAAACCTAATTTTTTAGTGTAGACTAAGCAACTCACCTCTACAACTTAAACCGATACCACATTATCAAATAGGTATATGTTACCAAACTGGTTATGATAAAAAATTTAAGAGGGTTGGGAGGTCAGTCCATAAAATGTGACATATTTCTAAAAATAATGCATGCAATGGCTTTGTGCAAAGAAAGAGCACATAACAAGCAAAACAAAGGTAACATTTTAAGGGGTGACAAAAGTGACAATTTTAAACTGAATCCACATTATCAAATAGGTATATGTTACCAGACTGGTTATGATCAAATAATAGAATAATAAAAAGAGGGTTGGGAGGTCAGTCCATAAAATGTGACATGTGACATTTCTAAAAACAAAGCATGCAATGTCTTGTACAAAGAAAGGGAATATAACAAGTAAAACGAAGGTACCACTAAACATTTGAGGGGTGACAAAATGACAATTTTAACCAGAATCCACCAACTCGTGTAATCCAAACACCATATGCTCTTAGGTGTGGCTTAGGGTGGGGGCATTTTTTTTTTTGTGGGGAACCCATTAATAATAATCCCAAAAAAATGGGCCAGTTCGAACTCCATCCAATTTGACCCGTCAAGGTTGGTTTTTTTTTTAATGGTTATATGTGAAAAAATGTATATACAGAGTTGACTACATTATAATATGCCTATCCTTTACCGTAATATGTCATCTATGTATATATATATATTTTAATTAATAATTCAACAACCTCCCACTTTAAAAAATAAAAGAGGGATTATTGAATTTCAAACCTCAATAAACGATTTTTATTTTTTCATATCGTCACTTGCCGTTGGTTTTCAGTCATGCAAATATGTCATAGGGTACGTTTGAACTGTAATTGCAACATTAAAATCATGCCTTGAAGTAATATTTTTTCTTTTTTACATGTGAACAACTTGGGTCTTACAAATATATTTTTTATTTATTTATTTTTTAAAGCAGACAAGAAAGACATTACATAACAAAGATAAAACAATCATTACAAGTAAGAGTATAAATATCCAGCAGAAACTGCTCGGACATCATATCACAAGACAAATGCTATTTAGAAAGATTAGCAACTGTATGAACGACCTCATTACTATGACGACGAACATGACTAACTTGTACAACGAAAACTATTGCAAGGTGAACTTTAATATTATAAATTTGTTTTAATATTATAGCCTTTTCTTACATTATGTTTTTTCCATATGTCTACATATATCACCATGACCGTTATTAATATTTAAAAACTAGGGTTAGAGATTTCAAAACCTAATTTTGAATGGAGGAATTAGTATTGAGTTGGAAGATGTGGGTATGGGTATGGGTATGGGTATGTGAAGTAGGGAAGTGAAAGGTCCTTAATTTATTGCCACACATAGTGGGGTTATCATGCATCATATTACTCGATTATCAAATCAACAATGGCTACATATATGAGTTATCTTCACTGCCCATTAATTCCATTAAAGAAAGACAAAAAGTCCCAATATCTCTCTGCATTCCATTTCTTTACCACTCAGTAGAAGAAAGGAACTCAAAAGTTCCATTCCTTGGTTAGTCTTTTCTTTTCAAGGAATTAATTTTCAAATTATTTCAAATTTAGGGGATAATAGGTTTCAAGAATCACTTCTATTTTTTGTTCCGTTCCCTTTCTATACGGAATTATTTTTATCTAAAAGGATTCGAACATTAAACCTGATACTTCTTAAAATATGAAGGCCAAATTTTTACCTATTTGAGCCAATTTCTTGGGTTTCGTTCCTTTCCATTTTCCTTCTTCATATATTTTACTCATGAAGGGGGTGATTTGTACGGTATGAGAGGTTACATTCTTTTTTGAAATAAATTTTCAAGTGAAGGAAGGATTATAATAATTTGTCTCTAGTAATAAATAGACTATGTGACTTTACTAAAAATTTAATCCATCACATTTATTTACGTTAGTATTGCATGGTGCGACTAAGTTATATATGTTCAGAAAAGGGATTTTTTTTCAAAAATTTAAAACTCAATAACTTTTTATTTCTTTTGGAAGTAGTTTTTTATTTTTTTTTATTTTAAGGATGAGATTTGTGTACACTCTCCATTGGAAGTGAAGTACATATTTGTTCCTTCTCAAACCTATCATAACTGAGATAATTTCACCGTCAAATTATTAAAAATTTGAAATTCTTTGTAAAAGACAAAAGTAGTTTGTTGAAATTATATCACAAAAGAATGAATGATGTCTTTGAAACTTTATATACGATATTTCCAAAAGAAAATTATTTAAATTAAAATTTTATTTAAATAAAGAAGAAAAGAAATAATTGTCACTTCAAGGGAAAAGGGTAGAGAGAAGACAGTGCTCATCCAAACACTCACTTCAAGAGGAAAGTGTGTGTCATTTTCAAAACCAGCCAAACAAAACAACAAAAGGCCGTCCACCCTGTTATTCCACGCGCCACTGACACCGTGTATGGGAATATGCAGGACGGCGCGTGTATTACACTTGCTATCGAATGACGGAAGAGGTTACATTTGATGGAGCAATAGGGAATGCGAAGTGGGCCAAGTGGGCCCAGCCCACGTATATGATTAGAAGTGGGAAGTGTTCCACTTAGGGTTGACAAAATGTGGTTTGAAAATTTTATTATTATCATTTCACGCTCTAACTTGACTTGCTGTTCCTCCACTTCCACAATCTTGCACTTGTGACACAAAAGCAAATTTGCACGTTTCAACCTCTTTCACTTGACATAGAAACCACAAGAGAGAAAGTAAGACGGATGGGCCTTGACTATGATTTGATTTTGGAGTCCGGATTCTCTGTTGCAAATATATATATATATATATATATTTGTGTTGTAATGATGTCGGGTTTTTAACACCGTTGACATTTAAATTTATTTATTTCATTGAGATTTAATTTGTTAAGAAATAAATACAATGACTCTAACTTAACATCGTCTTGAAATTAACTTAACATCGTCTTGAAATTTGGGAGTTTAAATTCCTTTGGTGTCACCCACACGAAATTATATAATACATGAAAAAAGGTTATATGTGTCCGATGATAAATTATAAATATTCTCTACTAGCTTGAGAGAATAAATAATAGAAGTTGATAGTGCTAAATTGATCTAAACATAATGAAATTTTTTTCATAATTACGTCTCATTCCCATCTAATCACAAGAATCACAACCCACAGGAAAAAACCAAAATCAAGAAGTTTATGATAACATATAGTTTTGACTAAGGATATAAACTTAAATAGAGTGAAAGTAAAATTTCTATAACCAACCTAATAAGTAATTAGGGAAAGAGTAATGCTCTTACTCTTTAAGAGTACACTCTCATGAGAAGAATCATAAGCACTCCTTACAGAAACTGCTTAGCGGAGTTTGAGTTTATTGGGATTCCATCTGATCTAAACACAAAGTAAGTAGACTATATAATAACATCAATCCATTGAATTTTGATGTTTAAGTTACACTCTGTTGTTAGAAAAGTGAAGTTTTGGTACTACAATGGAAAAAAGAGCCAGAGATTGCTACTAGCAATGAGAACAGCAAAAATAAGGGCTTCATCCATTTTGGCAACCTCACATAGACTTTAAGCTGCATTTGTTCGAAAAGCCATTTTGATTATGATGAAGAAATTTGATTGTTGAAGAAGCCTAGGACGTTGGTAGGAAACATCATCAATCTTCATCTTCTCAATCAATGGTTTTCAACATCCGACATGAATTTCGCTGCCAGATTTCTCTCAACTTGACTAGGGAGTTACCATCATGGCACAGTTATGATCTAAATTCATTCGCTAATTCACACCATCCTCATAGCAAACTATGGATGCAAGAGTTTCATCCACCGATGGTACCAGAAGAACAGCAAATCAATCGTGGAGTCTGCATCACCATCATCAGTGGACTTAGAGAAGCAGTAGCAATAGAGAGTTGTGCGAGAATGCATATGATCATATATTTCTGCTATAAAAGCTGCCATGGATGCCAGCAAAATGGCACCAGTGTTTCAACTGGGGACACTTCAAATCATGTTGCCAGATACCAAAAGCAGGCGGCATGGGAGCTTTGATTACCCACGAAGAATGGTGCGGATAACTGCAGGATAATTGCCAAGCCAGGCGCTATCTCATTTGTGGTGACCTTACTTTGTTCCTGACCCAAGAATCCACGAAAAATGCAGTCCACTTCCCTACGTAACCTTTTCATATTCAACAAGAAGAATCTGACATTGGCCGCCAGCACAATTGACAATATAACAATCTTCAGCATGTCTATGATAGATAACTACAAGGCGATCATTGGTGTCCTTCCCATAGTCATTTTGGCCTAGGCAGGGCTACTGGTGGAAGACACTGAACTAGGAAAAGAGTTCACCTCTGCATTTTCAGCCTGTGGTTTATACTGTTAAATATGGAAGTGTTGCTGTAGGGGGTTCCTTTGCTCATGGGCCTGTTATAAAATGATAAGCAGTAACCATAGCAGTGTCTGCTCTACTTTTGGGTGGACCTCGTGTGATTCAGATTGCTGTAGGGGCTGTACAAAGATGGAGAGGAGGTTGAGAGACGATGGTTGATAAATCCATGTAGTTCTTCCTCTCTCCAAAGCTGGCTGCTAATAGGTCCCTGAAAGCTCAAAGAAAGGATGATACTCTGCTTAGATTACTCCACAGATGCAGGCCTCTCAATTTTTTTGTTCCTGTTGGATAACAGAGACAGTAAGTAGCTGCAAAGTGGAATGTATAATTTGTGTAAATTAAACAATTGGTTACCGTGTTCAATCGACACTGCACTTGGATTTCCATGCCTTCCATCTTGGTTTGACAGGGTTTCTTGTAACTCAGCAAAACAATCTCCTTTTTTAAGCAGCTTGATCAGACTGATTAAGAAATTTTCTAGACACCCAATTGCGCTTCAAACCTCGGTATATCCTTCCGCTAACAGTATTTGCCAGAAAGCCAACAAGAGCAAAATGTGGTATATGCTTCCACCAACAGTATTTGCAAGAAAGCCAACAAGGCAATGACGGAATGATGATGAGCAAAATGTGGTATATTCTTCTCAACAGCTATAGACTCCAAATGTCAGTGCAGCCTATTCACGATCCCAAGCAAACAAACAAACAAGAAATAATAAATAGCAGCAAATATACCTGGACTCTTCTAAAACGGAATGATGATCCAGGAAATAATTCCAGCAACATCCATGTTCCAATTTAACATAACAAGTGATCTCTGGACTGCATGAATTTCACCCTGAAAGTGGAATAGTGTTAAATCCAGCCACACTAACAAATGACTTGGTACAAAAAAAACAACAAAATGACAACCAATAAGCAATAAATCTTGCAACTGTAAGTTTTCTGAGGTACTCTTTTGCGATTGTAATGAAAAGCAAATAAACGCATCATCTACACGAAGTACTGCAATTTAAAGGAAAATTTAAATATATTTCTTTCATTACTTTAGCTTTGACACTGTTTACAGGATTTACAGTAAAGTTACAAAGCGCCGACGATACCAATTCGGTCTTACTAGGCTCTCTCATTGAACATAATTTACAAAAAAGATCAGATGGTCAAAGAGGTTCAACTTCCGTTTAACCAAAGCAAAAATAGACCAGGCTGAACTTGAGCTCCGAACCCATTTGAGAACCACGATCATATAAATGTGAAATTAGGGATCTCATTTCTCTTTTACTACTCCACCAGTTCCAGTTGAATGTGTGTGCCCTTTATTTTGTAGTTCCAGAGCCAGCTTCCACTGTCCATCAATTTCTTTTCAATAGGGTTTAACTGGATGACTAAACCTGAAGTGAAAATGTAAACCCAAAAATAAGTGAACCTATTTTATGCTTCCAACAGAAACTTCTGCAGTGAATTATTATGATATTATATAAAACTAACAATATAAAACAAAATATGAATGAGATAGAGAAGAGACATAAATGGCAGAATTTTTTTATTGGTGAGACAATAAAAATTAGTTGCTTCAGAAACAAAATAATTACTACACTACATACACAACAAGAAAAGAAGCAACACAATATAACCATGAAGAATCTTTTGCAACCCAATCCCAACAAGACACCGATAGGATAATTGCTTTAGTCAAAACAGAATAGAGAACAGGAATTTCAGTGGCAGAAAATTTTCCGACAAAGAAAAAACGATCAATATTTAAATTTGTTAACTACCATCTACTCCAAAAGCTTAAGCTATTAGAGAGGGTGTAACTTTAATATTTATATCCTTCAACATGCCCCCTCACGTGTACCCTTCTTTTGGTCCAACACGTGTTTTTCAATTTTTTAATTAGGGTGACGATAAGATTTGAACTTGAGACCTTTGGCTCTGATACCATGTTAACAACCATCTACTCCAAAAGCTTAAGCTGTTGGAGAGGGTGCAACTTTAATATTTATATCCTTCAACAAAATTCATAAAAGCTAATAGCCCAGTAGACATCAACAGCCATGTAAGGTCAATAAACAAAAGCTGTGTGCCTTGGTCCTGGACATAAGAAACTGTACAATCTTTATTTATTTATTTATTAGTATTATGATGATTAGTATAAGAAACTGTACAAGTTGCAAAAAGGAACCACATTTCACATCACAGTTTTAGAAGAAAGCCATAGTGAATAGAGTTGAAAATACTACCATACCAAATATGCAATTTAACTCAGCAAAGTGGAAATGGTTTAATTCATGCATATCCACAGTTAGATTCTCGAGGCTTGTGAATTGCCAGCAAACTCTTTTTCAAGCTTTAAGGATTTGAGGCAGGGGGGTCCACTTCTCCATTTGTTTATTGTTGTGAGGTACACAAAAGGGCTTCAGAGCAGGACCTGATTAGTGGTGATCCAGTCTGAGTCTTGCAAATCTTTGCAGCCGATGATACAGTGATCTTTTGTGGAACTGAGGAACAGTTGACATGTCTTGATGTAATTTTTTGTGCTTTGAAGTCGAACAGTGTCTGGAAGTGAACTGAGGTATAGCTGAGCTGATTGAAGTTGGAGAGCTGGCGACTTGGAGTAGTCCAACTGAGTTCGGATGTAAAGTTGGTCCATTTCCCAATCAGTACTACTCCTGGGCCAGCCTTTAAGGCAACCTTGGTTTGGGATGTTGTAGGTTGAGAGATTTGAGAAGATGTTGGAGGGTTAAAAGAGGCAACATCAATCAAAAGGCAGCAACTTGCCTCTTTTAAAAAGTACTCTCTCTATCCTTCTGACATATTCAAGGCAATGGCCATGGGGACTATGGTGAGGTTCTGGAAATATGTACTATGGTGATTTTCATCATAGTTATCTTCCCTGACCTTTACAGTAGCACCTTTAATAAGGAAACTTTTACTGCAAATGATACCAATCATTCTGAGAAGTGTTCTGCAGACACCAATGTTCTATAGAGCAATGTAGGATAGGGAGTTGGAATTTAGCTGATAAGTTTTTTCAGCTGCTTTATAGTGCTTCCATTTGTGTTGTTAGGGAGGATTCTTTCAGATGGAAGGCTGCAGGCTATGGCAAATTTGGACTGAAATCTAACTGTAAGGCATTGTGTAGGGAAAGCTTGGCAGGGTTTCCATGGAAGAGCATTTAGCGAGTTAACCGCACATCCAGAAGGTAGACAGCATATGTGATGTTTCCAATTTTCGGCATTTTCATTTTTCCGGAATTTTTGTTGTTGCAAGGGTATTTTCTTCTTTTGCCGTTTTTCGTACCGGACACTGTGGAGTGTGCCGGTTGTGTCCGAGAGTTGATTGGGGCATTTCATTGAGTTCAGGACTCTTTGAAATGCAAGGGTGATCATTTTTACATTTTTCAGCTTTTCGGGCCGGACGGTCCCATGTGGGACCCACTACAGGAATAGTCGAGTACAGGGGCTTTAGTTGGATTCATTTGCATCATATTTATTTTATTTTATGTGTTTTAAGTAATTGTGAATTAAATGTGTGTATATGTATGTATGTGGTGTAAAATGAAAACAAAAGAAAAGGAAAAATAAAAAGGAAAAGTGGTGGGACCCACTATCATTCTTAAGTGGTCATGAGACCACATTTTGGTCTCATTTCTCTCATTCCTCCCTCTCACTCCCATAAGTCTCTCTCTCTCCCATTCTAGACTCTTCTTTTTCTTGGTTTCAAGATTTAATTCTTGATTTCTTTCTCAATATTTGGTAATTTTGAGTGCCGTTTGCGGCAAATTGAAGCTCACGTCAAGATCTATAAGTTGATCGGAGCAATTTCGTGTTCGGTGCACTCTAGAAGATTTGGGATCTAGGAAACAAATTGGGGCTTTTGGCTTGGATTGAGGTAGGGGTCTCTAACTTACATTTTCTTGTTCCTTAGTGAGTTAATTTCTTGCAAATATTGTTAATTTGTCTAATTGATGATAATTACCCTAGAATGATTTTGTTGTAATGTATAAAGTTCATAATTTTATATAGATGTGTTGATTTTCTATGTCTATTGTGTTGTAAATTGTGTCAGAAACTTTGAAATTTTGGTAAAGAATGCTTGATTGTGATTTATGAAAATCTCTCATTTTCATAGTATTGAAGGCATGAGACATACATGCATGTCATTGGGCATGGAGGAAGGGAAATGTTTTGAAATGAATGAAAAGGGAGTTTTTGGAAGAAAAATATTTGAGAAACAGATTTTTGTGAAAACCCGAATGCCAAGGGGTTACCGAGAGTCCGTGGCGTTAGTGTAGCCCAGAGGAAACTAGGGAGATCGCCCTAGTGTGGTTGAGCTATCTGGGCCCCAAATGACGCCGCGAGGTTACCAAGGGTCAGGGACAGTAGCCAATCCTTCTCTCGTGTTGCCAAGGGGGTACCGAGGGACGGGTTACATTAACGGTTTGAAAAGTGAAGAATGGAAGTGATTTGAAACATGGGGAGCGACATACATAACATCACACATCACGGAATGGCATTGTCTATTTTGAGTTGGAGCTAGATGTTGTATTTTCTCCCGGTAAGGCATGATCCCTAATTCTCTATCCCTATTCATTGTTTGGATTCACGAGGCCACAAGAGGTGTGTCTTAGGCACCACCTACTGAACAAATTGCTCACCCCATTATTTAACATTTTTCAGGGGCGGGGAAAGAAGTAGTGGACGCCGACCCTTCACAAGCATGACGAAGACTAGGGACCTATTTTGTTATCTTTCGTATTTAGCCCACTTTTTTTGTAAAGTTGTAATCTATGAGATGTAATTGTTCTGTAAAGTGACTATAATCTTTTGACACACACACTTGATGTATATTTGAAAATATGGAAACTTATGGAAGTGGATGGGCAATAGAGTTATGTTTTGAATTCCAGTAGATGTTTTCCAATTATTTTATGTCATGAATTGCTGCCATGAATTCGGGAATTGGTTGCAAGACAGGTCCATGGAGAGTTGGGATTTTATTGAGCCCAGACAGGGACCCTTCCAGTGAGTTTTGAGGTCTGAGGCCTTGTTTCGGCGGGCTGATCCTCACCATCAGCCGACCGAAACCCTAGGTTCGGCCTACCGAAACCCTATCTTCGGCCGACCGACCGACGCTTGTACAGTGAAAGTCTCGTGAGCATTCATTTTTCCCCATCGTTTCAGCCGACCGACACTGTAGGTCAGCCGGCTGATCCTACTTTGCCAGCCGGCCGATGGAGGGCTATCAACCGGCTGATCATTGTCTTTTGACCTGTGGCAGCTGATCCTTTCTGCAGAGTTGTATTTGGGGATGTTTTGGAACCCTGGATGGACTCGTATGATAGGTCATGACTTCGAAAAGTAGTGGTATGACTTAGTTGACCTCGGGTCAGGGCAAAGACCCGGTTAATGGTCCGGACCCAAGGGTTCGGGTCGTTACAGCATAATATAGAGGCTCACAGTCAATTACTAATTTTTATGTTTTGTAGATAGGGATCAATGCGAGTCTGTGAGACCAATTCTTCTACTTAATGTAACACGAGATAATAGAGCAGAAGGGACAAAAAGAAAAAGAGAATAAACATTTAATGCCAAATCACGTACCCCATGAAAATAATTGGTATTGACTGATGAATAGTCAACTATACTTGGAAATCTTATTACTAAAGTCAGCAGATACAGAAACCACTTATGCTACAAATGTTAAGCTAACTAAACTTTAGAAACCTGAATTTCCGGATGTAATCTTCATCTTGTGGCCATTTGGGACTTCAAAGACATGATTACCCTGCAGGGGGGGGGGGGGGGGGGGGGGGGATAAGGAGCAGAATTTGAGTATATTATGTCATTAAATAGATGCATAACAAGTTACAATTTCCATTTATAAACTGAGTATTAGGAAAATGGTCAACATATTGTAACTTGCCCGCCCTTGAGTCAATTAATTGACAAAAACAATTAGCTCCTGTTTGGATGATTGCAAATTTGTCACTATCTACCATATGCTAGGTTCTGAATCATTTGCCTTTATTTTTGGACAGTAAAATAGGAGAAGTTATTGGGTACCCAGGCGAGGGGTAGTGGTTACTGAATACACCTAATCAAAGCAATCCCTTTCCTATTATCAAGCAAAATGGGTGTTTTGATTGGCCGGGGGTATTCAGCAACCGCTAGCCGTCTAGTGCTTATGTAAAGTTATCTCATTCAATCTGACCTGAAGGATAACATCTGTTGCTTCAAATTCAGCATTTCCAAGAAGTATGACCTTTAATGCCTCAAACCGTTGCACCTCATGCTTCCAATATAAATTTTTTCCCGAAGTCCAGTCAATTCCTTCATTCACAACTTTGACATTCTGTAACTTACATCTTCCACACCTACATGAATGGAATCAATTTCAACTTATATATTCAACTGCTATTACTCTTTAAAAGTCTAGAGAAGAAAATGGAGCATGATATTACCTGTGCCCATACTGTAATATGGGTTCACCATTTTCATCAACCCTGGTTGAGCCCATGGAGTTTTCAGCTACAATGATCAAACTCCCATCAAGCTGTAAATGAGAAACCAGATTAGCTTAGAATAATAATTTACATGGCTTCATTTATTATATATCTAAATTATTTCAACCTGAACATCCCTCCACAACAATTCTGCCACTTCTAATTGTAATTCAGAACCTTCAGAAATGGAACCTCCACGAAACTAGGACAGTGAAAAAAGATATAGTTAGATTTCTTTGCTCAACTATTCAGCTCTTCAATCTTTGAATGATACTACAACATTAAGCAAGAGGAAGAATTATAAAAAGCCGCTCATCTAAGAAGCAGGGTAACGGCCATGGAACATGGACATGACACAACACGGATGCATTGATATGTTATATCCTAAGAAAATAAGACAAGGACACAGCAAGACACAGTAATAAATTATATATCTTTCTATTTAAGAATTATGCATATACAACAAATAATTTTTTTATTACTATAATACGAAATTTGTAACTTATAAATCGTATAATCAATGATCATTCCAATCACATAGAGAAACAGATAACGACGACATGGCATATTAATAAGTGTGTGATTGTGTATCAATTTATGCACATAAATGTGTACTTATTACACATAATTGATGACTCATCTCATACACCTATGCCCACTTCTTCAATAAAACCATCCTTCTTTTGTATATTTAAATATCGTCAACCTTTACATAAATTTGATTTTTCTTACAATTATACTTTATTTTCAATGCAAAAAGAAAGTTTTATTCAATATTTTAAGTTCATTGGTCAACTGTCCAGGAAGTGTCATTTTCTGACACACGACTGACATGGAAACAGGTCCTAATAAATGTCTATGCTTTTTGGCCGCTCATTCATTAAAAAAACTGGAAAAGTATAAAATTAATCATTTTAAATCACTTGAAATCTCCAATGCCCTCAAGAAATTTCACAATGACAACAAACTTTAACTGACACCTAACAAAAATTTCTAGTTTAATTAGGATAACCATTCTCTAAATGTTCTCAATTTACACCAAGAACTTCTACTTTTCAAACTTCGGACATAGTGGTGAGTGATGTAATGACTGACTATAACTACAGGGGAGTGGTCGTGGTGTTTGGGGTGTTGGGGGGTGGGGGAGGTGTTTGAAGAAAGAAGAAAACAAAATAAAGAACGAAACGAAACAGAGGAACTAACGGAAAGATAAAAGAAGTTTTGCCCAGCCACACCATATATATACACAGGCAGAGTATTGTGAGCTTACTTTTTGTCTAGTTACTTCCCAAAGTGGTCCAAGAGCAGGATGAAGAAGGATGAGAAATGGGGGTCCAGAATCAACATACGTGTCGTTTCCTTCAATCTTCCAAATACGAAGGGAAGAATACTTTAGCTTAACAATGCTTCAGAAGAAAATTTACAAGCAAATATAGAGCTTGAACATGTAATAAATTAAATTAATTTACTGATAGGTAAAATTTGTAACAACATTCATCTCAAATCATTGGAAGAAAGTTCAGCGTTACCGTCGTGGGAGATATGCAAGGACATACCTCGGGAATTTTTATATCACAATGGGAAAGAATATCATAGGCATTGCGCATAGTATCCAACAGTGCGCCATCCGGAGTCTGCACAGATACAATTGCAAAAAATAAAAAATCATCAGGCTAATTAAGTATGAATTATCAGTTATAAGGTTCCATTCTAAACTCCATTTGAAACAAATCGTGTAACTTTTAAAACCAGAAAAAAAAGATATAATCAACAACGGTTTTTATATATTTATCTTGGAATGCATTAAGGTGCCCCAACGTAAAAACACCTTACAGAATTTTATAAGATCGTTACGAAGTTCTCACACCAAGGAAGTCTGATCCTAGGAATTTGAACCTTATGAATCATCCAAAAATATTATCTACAATTTCTTTCCCTTTTCAAATGCAACTTCTATAACATAGCTCATATAGACGAATTATCGATCCAATAACATTGATCTTTAAAGTTCAGAATATTTTTTATTTCAAATAATTTCCATGCAAAGTATAAACAGGAAAGGATGAATAAGAAGAGAGTTTCTAACTTGCTAATTTTAGAATTCAGAATTAGAATAGAAGTATTACATGTTTTGATCTTACAATGCAGATGGTAGATATCTAGTGCCCTAGAATTTAGTGGTTAACATAATATTGCAGTGACAATTCAACCCAATCACAAATAACAGTTGCAGAGACAGAGGATGTAGATAACAGACCAATTAAATGAAACTAAAGATCAGGGTAGTTTCGCCAAGATAAGTGTATAGATTAAGAAAATATTCCAAGGCAGCGAGTTGTTTGCTATTATTTATCTAATCATAGGTTTAGAGTATAGGTGAAGAATGAATTAACGAAAGTACGACATCACAGTACCACTTGCAGGCACAATCAGAGTTTAAACAAAAAGGCCGGTGCATAAAATAACGGAAGCCTAGTAACTTCAGTGATGAAGCAAGTTCACCTCTTAATATTACCAATGAGGGCAAACTGCTTATCATGAAAGACTAAGGGCATGACTAATTCACTGAGAATAACAAATACGATGGAAGTAATAGACAGGATAAATATAGCCTTTTGCAATTGATCACATCAATCTTATAACTTCTAATTTTCAAATGATAAAAACTTTTATGCTCATCAGTATGACAAAATGGATTACATGGTAGACCTCCACCGTTTTAAAGATAATTAAGACTGCTACGAAGCTTCTTATTGCAAAAATACAGAGAGCCAAGGAATAACAAGCTCTAAGAAAAGTGTAGACATAAATTGAGTGTTGTAAACCCGGACAACACCTTGAGAGGTTATCAAAAAGAACGAGCTGACTCATAATTCAATAGTTCAGACATGTGTAGTGCAGAATGCAAACACACAGTTACACTGATTAAGTTAATACGATTAAAGGAATGAGAGTGGTAGAACAAGACTGAAAAGGACATAAATAGAAATAGTAAGAAAAGATATAGAGATTCAACTCTTGTTTTGAGGATCTGACTTTAGACAAGGTAGAATCTCAAAGCAGAATCTCAGTTGTTTCCCTAATGAACAAAGACACTTTCTAAATTATTATAGAGTAGAACCTGGTGTAAAGACTTGTCAGCATGTCTTCTTTTCTTTTTAGCAGATGATGTAACCTTCCTTCGTTCATTATACACAATAAAGGTATCCAGCATATCTGTTAGTATGTAGCCAAGATAACTTCCATCAAGACAATAACACATGAATAAGAAACACATATATGGTACAACTAACAAACCTTAATAAACTGAAAGTAAACACTAGCATACCTTCTAGACCTTTATAATATCGAGATGCATACGTACTGAAAAAATTATCAGCAATATTTTGCATTGTGCATTCCAGCCGACCACCAGAGACACTAACACAAGAAAAAGTTATTAGCTTTCAGCAAAGATGCCATGATAAGTAATAGCAAATATCATAAAACTAACCTCACTAAAAGAGGAGAAGATTTCAAGAAGAAGTTATTAATGGAAAATTGATGGAAAACCAAGCAGAAAAGACCTAGTAAACACAAAAATACTGACACAAAATTTTGGTACCTTATGTCTAGCTCATCAACCAATAGTCAAGATTGCCAAAATCTCAATCCACTTTCAGTATTGTAGAAGCAATAGTAAATTTGTATGCAACTTCTTCAGAGAATATCCATAAAGCAAGAACTCATATAGTATAGAAAACAAATGAGAGTTGACTCATTTAGCAATACCAAGATAATAGTTCTATGTTAATTCTCAAATGAAATGGCTCTACATTTTCTTAATTGGGAACATGAATTTCAAATAATTTCATACTGTCTAGTAAATTTTAAAAATAATTTATTTATTACTTTTGTACTTTTAAATTGTAAGAAATACCGTTTTTCTAGTAAAAAATGCAACTTTCTATATCAAATCTTACATGCAATCTAGTACCAACTAGAAAAAAAATCTTCCATGCAATTTTCTATTTTTTGTAAATGTGATTGGATTACTTGATCAAATTTTAATTTGAAAAACAAGAAAATATCGTGTCATTGGATTCAATGATTTTATGTCAGCACAGGAGTTCATTTATATGTTAAATGACTATTAATGACTCAATAGGAGGGTTTACTCAACCTTTAACCTGCATCCGGAATTTCTATGGGATAAACTAAAACCTATGAAGCATGGACATTGATAAGGGACTGGGGACATGGACATGAAGCGACAAACCTTAAAGAAGTAAAACACAAATATGAGGACATGGGAACAATTTCAAATACTTTTATATACATAATTCCAGTACACATCAAAATATAAATATATATATATATATTTGATAGGTAGATATGACAAAAAAAATACTCCAGTTCTTGTAACATTTCATCGGACGCAATGTGAATTTCTCAAATGATTGAATTACAATAACCAATAATCATCCATGTTGCAAAGACGAAGACAGAGTAAGGACACGATATACATGTGCATGCGAACAGGGACGGATCTACTGTGGGCTCTGCCCCCACTGAAATTTTTTGTTTTTGCATTTTATACCACTGATTTTTTTTTTTTTCTATATAAGTTTGCCCCCCCTCACATAATTTTCTATATCCGTCACTGTATACGAGTATGTTACGTGTGTACATATGATATATTACATATGTACACATGTAAATAAGCAACATCTTACATATGTTACTTATTGGTAATTGATTAACACAATAATAAATAATCACCATGTTGCATAGACAAAGGCATAGTAAGGACACGATATACATGTGCATGCGTGTATGTTACATTTATATGTGTACATAAACACATGATTTTGGTAATTCCCCACCTCTGATGTCCATTTCTTTGATAAAACATTCCTATGTGACTCTGACATAGTTTTGTCCCAAAAGAATAAATAAATAAAAATAAAAAACAAGGAGGTCGAACTTCTTAAGAAGTTTTGTATCATCCTTTAATTTGATTTTCGTTTACAATCATGCTTTTTCCTTACTAAAAGAAAGCCACTTATTAAACATTATGTTCTCACACATTAAACATTATGTTTTTAAAACTCCGTTTGTTTTGAGGTGAAATATTTTCCAGAAATTTTTTTCTATTTTCCGGTGTTTGCTTGTACATAACTTTGAGCATATTTTTTACCCACAAAACTTTTTTACAGTCTTTTAAATTAATATATCTTACACACCAAAACTCAGTAAGTCATTTTCCTCGACTCTCTCCCTCTCTCCTTTGCTCTCCCTACCCTCAGTACACCCCCACCTCCACATTTAAACTCCAACGGGTTCTCTGGCTACAGCCCTACTGGAAATTGATAAGATCAACGGAATTGGACACCACTGTCTATCTTAGGTGGAGAACTACCTAGAACTCTTCGATGAGGGACTCATAAAACATGTAAATATCACTTATGATGATGGGGTGCTTACGATTTCAAAGTAAATGATGGAGGTTTCAATGGAATTTCATCGAAGTTGATGAAAGGGTGGAAGAAATACATTGGATTGTGTGGTGAGGCTTTCTACTGGTGGTGGTAGTGTTGGGGCATTGGGGCTAGGGATGGCAATGGGGCGGGACAAGGCGGGGCGGGGATCTCATTCTTCATTCCCATCCCTGGTAATTTTTTTCATCCCCATCCCCGTTTAAAATTTCACTTCAATCCCCATACCCGCCCCCGCCCTCCATTCCCCATCTTTGCCCCGCAATCCCCATCTCCGTTTAATATACACTATAATTTTTTAAACAAATAATTTTTCTTATTTTCAGAAGTATGTTTATATATACTTAATATAATTTAGTAATATATCATAATATATAAGGGTATTTTAGTAAATGTACATCCTAAACGGGGTGGGGCAGGGCGGGGCGGGTTTACCCTATCCCCGTCCCCTCCCCGCCTGGTTTTAAAAAATTACCCTTTGCCATCCCTAATCAGGGCAAAAGAGATTGGGACCACGAAGCGGTTCTCTGTATGACCAAGGATGAGGCTGGAATTGTAGAAGATGCATGACAGGGAATGGAAGAGAAATTAGAAGAGTAGAAATGGGATGAGCTGAGGAAGAAGAGGAGTTTGTTTGGGTGGGAGATTATGAATAGCAGAAGGAAGACGATATCGACAAAAGTGTCCCAAAGCTCATTAATGCTTAATTCTCCTACTTAAGTAGTTAGGGACAATAAAGTCATTTTCTTTAAAAATCAAGTGCATTTGTTCAAAATTGGAGTGCGGATATCGCCTCCCTTGCAAAAACGTTACAATAATCAGAAGATGTTTTAGCCTTCAGTTTTAAATTTTTGGTTGGAGTTTATATTTTGTGGAAAATTTCTTTTTAGAATTTCAACCAAACACAGGAAACCAAGAAAAAAAATTTACATGTAAAAAATTTTGGAAAATATTTTACAACAAAAACATAAAATGTGGAATCAAATGAGCCTAGGTGTCAAAAAGCGCCGATCACATGTCCAGAAAATAATTTATTTTTAAATTTGTGTGCAAATTGTCAAGGACGTGTCCAGGAATGTTCAAGAAGTGTCGGTGTTAGACAAGTCTCCGATATGGAAACAACTCCTACATAGAAGTGTCCATGCTTCCTAGATGAAGACATTACATTCTCAGAGTTCTCAAGAATTTTAAATTTTTTTCCCCTGAATTTGACATCTTTGCATTTCATGAAATCTTCCGAGTCTCCTTTTCATTTAAATTCTACAATGGATTTGGAACACTTCGAAGCTATCAGATACAGTCTTACAGACTCCCAATCTTGACATTCTGACTTAGACTAAAGGTATTGATGTAAACTTATACTACCTCACTACCTGGAAATACAAATGCCAAAGGGAGGTATGCAGATTGCACTTGGCAATAACCAAAACAGAAAAAGGTGAATATAATTATATATCAAGGATCTACTAATCACAATCACATATAAAAGCATATCCGATAAATCAATATTAATAATAGTACACCCTTCATTTTCCTTAAAAGCAAGATGAAAAATAAAAAGCAGCATATAGACCCACTAGTTTATTTATTTATTTATTTTTTTTTGCCGGTTAGGTAAGTACTCATAAACACACTCACATTTGCCCACAATGGGACTCGAACCCCTCACCTCCCCTTTGAGGGAGGAGAGGTTATACCAATTGGGCTAATGGCCAAGTGGTATATAGAACCACTAGTTGATACCAAGTTGGTATTATAAAAAAGAAACACTATTTAATATGGTTTTAAAGATACTTTTTCAAATTTTGACTCTCAAAATTGTTGGCCATTCTCAGGTTTCTCAAAATATGCTCTTCTGGAATAAAACAAACACACCTTTTAAGCACAATAATCATCATTGCTTCAGTTCAAAAGCATTTATGTATAGCAGGACACTGAGAATTAAACACATGATAGACACCTTCAATTGTTCCTTCATGCATCTTCCATAAACTGCTAGTAAATCATGAATTATCGACACGCACATAAATATATATAACATGCATGCAGAATATGCAAAACTATTTTGACAGCTGATAAGAATGTATTCCCTCCAAACGTTTGAACCTAGGATGTATTGCCTGACATGCATCTAGATGATACTAACGAGAAGATCACATCAACAGGTTAGATATATAAACTTGAAGAAAGTAAGTAACAAAAGTTTTTAACATACCAATGCTGGATTCCAAATTGGTCCACATATGTAATTGGCTTTTTTATGTTAAGCACCATGCCTGGTAAACTGGTTTCATCATTACTTGATCCAACAAGCTCTGCAGAAGGTAAATCCACATATAGAATGTTTGTATTGGCAGGGAACTCTGCCTGCAAACTTAACATGATGAACAAGATTCACGTTGGAGACTATTATATAATTTTCTGGTATGCAAAAATTAGGAAGGAGACATTACAGATGACTCAATCTACTAAAGAACTTCATATGCAAAAGATATGACAACCAATTGTTAACTCATTGATCATATGTAATCAAATACAAACATTTCTTAACTTTACATTGAGTAAATTAACATATATCATACAAGAAACTAGATGAATAAAAAACCAACAAAAACAGAAAATTAAGCACTGAGGTAATGAATTTATTATCCACAAGTCTTCTAACTTCTACGCAACATAATGCAATTGCTGGATCAATCAGATTGTACATCAATTTGATACGCCCCACTAAACTGAAGCCTTCAACCAATCTAAGTTAGGTGCCATATCAATCCATAGATACAAATTAATGCCACAATACCACCAAGCATTAGCTCAAGTGGTATCTAATATATCGTCCACCTTCCAAAGAGGAGGTTAAGGGTTCAAGTCCCAAATGGGACAAATTGGTTTTGTGAGTTTGTCTTGCCTATCCAAAAAGAATAAAAAATAACGCCGAAGAGGTTAGTGTTGGAAATGTGGGGGGAGAGAGTGGAAAAAAAAGATTCTTCAAAGTTTGCATTTGTTGCAGCTTATATAAAGGACATGTTTGTCACACCCTGTTTATGAAGTACAAGATTTGACTAATATTTCACGGTAGGATTTGGCAAGTATTCTTTAGCAGTTTATGCTTATTAATTTTAAGTATTCTCGGTGCTACAAAATGGTGATTTGCACATGTAAAGGGAAAGTGTCGGGAATATTAATGTTGAGTATTGTCACTTTGAGTTTCCACCTATGCTTGTGCTGTTTAATTCCTATCATGTGGTAATAATCAGTCAACCTGAATCTATCAACAAAGGTTAATACTAATAATGTTGTTTCAATCGGGAGATCTATACTGATAATACCAATATACCATAAAGCATGCAAAAAAATTGTTAATCAAACAGATAAATAACATTATAATGCAATAGCCGCAATACAAAGTGTATTGCTGTTTCATTTAAACAATTTAATATATCTATATTGTACGTCAACTTTTTTATTTATTTGATTTACTTTTTATTTAGTGTTATATATATATATTTTAAGATCCCCTTAATCCAAATATTTCATATTCACTAATCACTATATTGGTTTTCAGGAACTGTACCCTAACCCACACAATGTTGATATTTTGAAGGTATCAGTCCAGAACATAGTGCAAATTCCTTGGATATCTAACAATCTGTTACACATAACGACCGGTAGAAGTTCTAAACAGCAAAATGGTTTACATTTGAAAGTAGGAATGAGTCAGTAATTCCATCTGTATTCCTAATGGGATATGTTGAATGCTCTGTGACATTGTCAAAAAGAATCCTCAATAAAAATAAAATAAAAACCACTATCTAAAATAGATATATAAAAGAAACTGTAAGCCATGGGCACATGATTCTACCATCCTTTTGCATTTGCAAGTTTAAGGCATAAAGATTTTTTAGCGTACCTATTAGGAGAAAGAGGTCCATCAATGACTCCAAACTTGTCAAACTCGGTGTATTCAATGCATGAAAAACCATATGCCCACTTCCCATCAGGATTCTTTTTCTCCATTAGAACATTTATTCCTTCTGTAGCCCCCGAGTTACGCTTACATGATGCAAATCCCAGTTTCTGTAAGATTAGCAGTTAGCAATCAATGCAAAAGGTAGTACAATTAGAGTTCAAAAATTAAAATCCCGTCTCTCATAAAAGCAATCATTTCTGTATTAATGTCAAGACAAGTCAAACCCAAACTTGATTGTATATTTTCCATATTATAACTACATTGTTTAAAACATACTATATTTTGCACATAAGTTTAACTAACAAAACTTTTTTTTTCTTCCTTTAAAGTCTCTGAAAAGATGTAAGACTATCTATCAAAAACAGCAGCACATGTATCCGGTGTCAGATATGTTAATAAACTATAAGATTTTTCTACTTCATAATGCAGGTGCACAACCAAAAGCAAATAAATGAAATAGGTCACCGTAGATACAAATATAAGGAATATAAGTAAAAGCTGAGAAGATATAAGCACATAGAAACACATGAAAAACTATGAACATAAGAGCCAATATGCGTCCAAGAGAGCCTTGGCATGTGTCTAAAACATGATTGCTGTGTGGCATCTACTATAGCAAAACATTCATGAAGTGCTTAATCCTTATAATAGGCTCACCACAAGTAGCACTCTTTGACATGTTGACAACTTACGGAGTATACATCTCAGAGATGTTAGACACAGTAAATACTTTACTGATGCTACCTAAAACTGACACCCAAAGAATATTTAGTTTCTGCCAAAATGACACAATGTAATGAACTCGTAAAATGAAGCCAACCTTTCCATGGCGCAAACCAATTCCAGCCAGTGCCAGGAGAGTCAAATCTGCAGCAGCCACAACATTACTGCAAATTCATCAATGTCAACATATACTCCAAAATCAAAATTCATTGCCATATTAATTCTCATGAAGCAAAATAGATAAATATCTTCGAATCACAAATAGTATAGCTAAAGCTAACCTGACTTGTCGAACAGTTGCACCTTTTCTTCCATGATCATAAAACCATTGGAAAATGCCTTTATCATGTGCAAGTTTCCAAATCACTCCATGGCCACCAGGCTTGCGTACAGGTGTGAATTGTCTGGTGACCAGCCATTGGCCATCTTCTGCACTCACAACCGGAACAAGAGGCTGGGAATTCACAAATTAAATTACAAAATGCATAATTTCATTCATATAAGCTAGAAAAGAAGCATTTTAAGGAGGAGCAATAGCATAAGACATCATAATAGTCTTTCATATAAAAAAACCTGCTCAAAAAGTTGGAAACTTGATCGGCCTCTTCTGAACCATTTGTGCCTTTCACAAAGTGATGTGATGTGTTCATGGTTGTTCTTTGCCGAACTTGTCATAATTGCAACAGGAGTGATGCATTGTTTCCCAAATATCTTGAAATGCAAAAACTCTCGAGCCTTCCAATAGTAATAAAATTCCATTATTTTCAGTCTAAAAACATTTATGTAGAATCACCATTCAGCAATGAGCAATGTCAATGATAATTCTTTCTTATTGTCAAGCATTAAATGCACAAACAAAATTTCCAAGCTTGACAAACAGAGATCTTATACCTGAAGATCTCTTATAAGACCTTCCAATAAAGTCCGTCCACAATAAGGAAGCATTGCAGCAGGAAGACATTCACCTGTATCAGGGTCGACCAAACCAAGCCTGTCTGCAGAGCCTCCAAGAGGATAAATCTCGCCTAAATCTGGCAAGCTCTGAAAAAGAATAAGATTTTGTGACTCCAAAATAACATGTGTAACATCCTTTGTGTTGAAATGAAAAAACATACTTTAGAAACTGACCTCGATTCCCCATAAAGCTGCTTGAGAAGCATATTCTGTATCTTTAGAAAGATCAAGTACACTAGGAGGATGAATTTCTAAAAATTGGCTTTCCCTTGATTCATTTATGTGCTGGGACCAATTTATCGCCGGTCCATTATATGTTGATTGAGCAAGAAGCTCTAGTGCCACTATTTGATATCTGCAACCAATACATTGTTTGAGCTAAACACACGCGCGCCTAATTGCAAATAGCTTTGATATTGGAAACAGTTTTGCAACATCTCAATGAAGTAAACAGAAAAGATTAACTTGAGTAAGAAATTAAATAAATGATCCACATCCAAAGGGTTGTCACTTGTCATCACAATTTGTTGGAATTGCACTTCATCCCTTGTTCCGGACTCGAACAAAATGTTCACCCCTATATGTGGTTCTTAGTTAAAAGAATAAATCAGGGATTTAATAATACTCAACAATCTGCCAAAAAAAGGGCATAGTAAGCGATCGCGACAGCACGGAGGGTCGTAAGAAAAGAACAATTTTCCTCTCTTTGGAAATGCAGTCAATATACAAGTATATACAATAATATGATCCTGCTGCTACTTTGTGGGTTTGAATTTACACAAAATTCCAACTTTTTTCTTGCATATGAAGAAGAATAGAACAGCATGGTTAATCTGGGTACTAGTCTATCTTTAGTTCGTAAATTATGTTGAAAGTTTGGAATTAAAACTCAAAATAGATAAACAACATATAATTAAATTAAAAACACAAAAATTATCTGAGAAAGAACACTAACCCAATGATTCCTCCAACACAGTCATAAAACTGTTCCATCTCTCGAAGAGTCTTGAGCAATGTTCTCAATGCCCCAATTTCTTCATTATCAAACCTCAAATCAACGTTCTTTCCGCAACTCTCACCACCACTCGCATCCCACTTTTCAATGATTTCAGCCAAAGCATAAAGCGCACTCTTCAACGAGCTGTTCGCCGACTCAAACTCGTCCGAAACCGGAAACGAATCAAGAACGTGTTCTTGCCCCACAGCAATCACGCATTTAAGCAAAAAAAACTCATGTTCATCCAAATTCAAAGACTTTAAAACCCTAGAAAATCCATTTCTATGTCTATGAAAAAACCCATTCACTCTGGAATCACCATCAATCACTCGGATTTTCTCTTTCAAATTTTTGGAATTGGAAAGATTGGATCGGAGAGCTCGGAGGCGAGCGATTTCTTTGTGGAAATCGAAGTCTGGTGCTGGTGGGGCGTACTCGACGGGGACGGTGGACACGCGTGTTGACGACGACGATAGTGACGGAGATGTTGAAAATGGAGGGAAAAAGAGAGAGTTGAGAGGTTTTGTGGAGTGGAAGAGAGAAGACTTGTGAGAGTTGGAAAGAGAGTGAGAGGTTTTGGAATGAAAGGTGAAGAGAACATTGTTGTTGTGAAATATTGGAGTTGCGCGCGCCATCGGTTAGAGAGAGAATAGAAGAGGAGAGAGAGAGAGGTATGAAAATTGAAGTGAAAAAGAAAGAAAGAAAGAAAGAAAGAAAGACGAAGAAGAAGACGAAGAAGAAGAGAAGAGAGAGAGAGGAGGACAGAGAGAGAGAGAGGAGGAGGAGGATAAGACGAGATTCCGGAAGCATATACCGAGGTTAGAGAGAGAGATTCGAATCAGTCGTCGGACAATGTCTCGTAGTATTTATTGTGGTAAGAAACCTCATCTCAGAGGGCTACGTTTAATTGGTTGGCTCACTTCGCTGTCTATCTTCTCTATTCTCTGCTTGCATGTCTTCTTTTTGCATTTTTTTTTTTAAAAAAAAAAAAAAATCATAACAACAATTTAAATTCATTCATTTACTATTGTAGTGGTCCTAAACTAGAACAGTAATAAAATAAAATAAATGAGAGATATCAAACACAAATTCAATGGCAATCAACAATGGCAATCAATGAGCGTTAGTCTCGATGGCCTTGCTTCAACTTTTCAATATATAAATAAATAAAATGAGATCCTAGAGAGAGTTGAACAAGAAGAAATGAGAACAAATGAATTTTAACTGCAACCATGTTTTTCAAGCACAAATCTTCATTTGATAAATTTTAATTAGTCTCTTGTGGGATTGTGTTGGGTTGGAATATAATTTCCTTTTAGTTATGGTTATTATTTTTTGTTGCATTAAATGTGACTAATATCCAATCCTGGGATGCTTTCTCATGTAGGAGTGTTGGATTTTGAATATTATTTTTCTTTTTAATTAAGGTGTTTTTAAATGACTAATGCAACATAAAATATATTTTAATTATTTAATAATAATGATAATTAAATATTATATAGCTAAGACGTAACATTAAATATCAAGCAAATTGTATATATATATATATAGAGTCCTGATCTCTTGCTCCCCATGGAGCAAGAAAAATAATCCACACTTTTTATATAGACCGTTAGATTAAATCTAACGGTCATTTTACAAACCCACATATGATCTTTCTTTTTAACACAAAACCACTTTCACCATTTTTTTTGAAAAAAAATTAATTCCCGTAACTTTACTTTTATTTGTCGTGGAAGAGTTTACTTTAAGGCTTTGAGGATTAAATATTTTTAAATTTTGTTAAGTTTCATCCCTTTACGAAGAGATTAAAATTTTTGTTTTTGTTTTATTTAGTTTAAGCTTTAACAATTTTGAATAAAGTCAATATCATATGATTTCATTATTCAGTTGTATAATATTGTTATCCACACATACACGCACAAATAACTATAACAATAATATTGTTTTCCATGAGAGCTTTGGTTCTGAAACAACATGAAACACCTCTAAATCCCGGAATCGTGCACACCGCTTAACATTTCAGCTGCATCTTTCTTAATGTATTTTCAAGCCTCTCCTTGAAAACCCATATATACATATTCTCCGTATCATGCTGAACCATGAAAACATCAAGCTTCAAGTCTAATTTATCATACCCACCAACCCCAATACTCTCCCAAGTGATCTTACTCTTTTATTTCTCATTCAAAGTTGGTTTAAAAAAAAAACCTAAAAAAAAACCAGGCATCCCAGACACTATCAAGTCTCTTAGCAAAATGCGGGTATTATTTTTCTTTCAAAGAAATATTTAAATAAAAACAAATTTATTAGTAAAATATACGGGAATTAATTTTTTTCATAGGTTTCTATTTTAATTTTGATAATTATCTTTTATTGTAACAGTAGGTGGTAATGGTAAAATTAATTATAGAAACTAAAAATAGGGTGAGGGTGGTTTTGTGTTAAAAGGAAAGGCCATAGGTGGGTTTGTAAAATGACCGTTAGATTTAATCTAACGATCTATATAGAAAGTGTGGATTATTTTTCTTGCTCCATGGGGAGCAAGAGATCAGGACTAATATATATAATATTTACAAATGGTGTTTGGGCTACCTAGGGCCCATTCTGCCAAGTTGGCTACAAAAATAAAATCAAAAGCCCATTTTGCCAAGTCCATATCAATTGAGGGTTTGGGGTGTGGACTCAGGAAGAAGCTGGTGGAAAATACCAGTTAGAGCATTGAATGAGATTTATGTAAAGTGATGTACTCCGGGATTGGGAAAAGATTGGTGAAAATGAGCTGTAACCAATTGTCATACCAGAAGTTTGTCTTCTTGCCATTGCCAACTCTGTGTTTGACACATTAATGTCCTCCACGATTAAGAGCACGTTTCGGGAATGACCAAAAAGCTTCTCCTTTTGACAGAGGTTTTTGTGTACCCATTTATGCCATAGGATTTGCTCACTGTTAATTGACAGTTTCCAAAGAAGTTTAGAAATTGAAGCTTTGTTTTGTACTCCCAATCCACCTTCTGCTTTGAGCTTGCTCACTGTTAATTGACAGTTTCCAAAGAAGTTTAATCAAACATGGATTCAGAGTATTTTAAAGTCGAAAGCTGTTAATTTTTTGAGGTTTGAGAATAGGGGATCACCTTGCAACCGTATGCATATTTTTGATTTATCACTGGTAGGGATGACAATGGGGCGATTTGGGACGGAAAATGCCATTCTCATTCCTGTTTAACTTGACTATCTCCATCCGAGTTCAAAACTGTTTATTAAACGGGATAGGGCGAGATGATATTTTCCCATCTCCAACCCACAATCATGCAAGTTTTTTTACCATAATTCCCATCCCCTCCCCACCCCAAAACCATTTAGCCACCCATAACTACTCTAAATAGGGCGGGTATTTTGTCATCCCTAACCCAATGAGCAGGCATGTGCAACATCCTAAATGATTACTTACCAAAAAAAAAAAAATAGACATCCTAAACAATTAACAAATTAAAATAATTATTTTTTCAATTCTATATTTCTATCACATTGGAGTTACGGTTTTCAATTTCAGTATTCTTTATTTAATTTCAGAGGATTAGCTTTAGCAATTTTTTAAAATTTTATATTATTGTTTTGATTAACTTATATTATATTTTAAATTGCATTGAAATGACGTTCCTCTTTAAAAAAAATATAATTACGAAATTGAGTAATACGATCTCGTACCAATAAAATTGCTTACATTGACCTTTAACTCGTAAAAAGATAAATAGTCATCAAACTTAAAAGTTAATTGCTAATTAATTAGTGACCAATTAAAAATAAACAATTTTTTATTAAAAATGGTAAAATTATTTTAAGAGGACTAAATTACCCTTAAAACTATTTGGGTCGGCCTCCTCTCTTTTCTTCCTTATTAATCATCCTCTTTATCTTTCTCATTTTACAATTTGCAACCAGACCGGCCAAAAATATGGGTTTCTTCATCATTGTTTCAACTAATTTCAAATCCTCTTTTGATCTCGAACAAGTCAGTTGGGATTCTCTACCAAATGTAAAAAAATTCCTAGTTTAGTATTAACAAACGTTTGCAAAAGAAAGAAGTATAATTAAATACGAACTCAACCAGAAAACCCAAAGCATTATTAGTCTATAAATTGAAAGTTCTCTATTAAAAAAAACAATCATACCAAGCGAGGAATTAAGATTTAAGAATATGGAGTCGACCACAACCACCATCATCTTCTTTCTCTTCTCCATTGCCAACTTCCTCTCTCTGCCCACTCCAATCACTGCTGCATCCTCATCACCTGTAACAGCAGTCTTCGCCTTCGGTGACTCCACCTTAGATTCCGGCAACAACAACCACCTCACAACCCTCTGCCGGAGCGACCACCCCCCTTACGGCCGCGACTTCCCCGGCCAAGTCCCTTCCGGGAGGTTCTCAAACGGAAAGCTAGCAACAGACTTCATGGTGTCGCAGTTGGGCCTCAAGGACCTCTTGCCTGCATATTTAGACCCTGCAGTCACCGACCAAGACTTGATGACCGGTGCGAGTTTCGCCTCCGGTGGCTCGGGTCTGGACGATTTGACCGCGACCGAGTCGGCCGTGTTGACCATGTCGACTCAGTTGCAGTACTTGGAGGAAGCATTGCAGAGAATAGAGAAAACAGGTGGGTCTGGATCAGCGGAGGCGAGCCACGTAGTTGAAAACGCATTGTTTTTTATTGCAGCCGGAACTAATGATATGGTGTTCAATTTTTATGGTCTGCCCACTCGGAGTATTGGGTATTCGTTGTCAGGCTACCTTGACTTTCTGCTTCAAAAACTGGAGTCAATTATAAAGGTAACACATAAAATTAGAGCGAGTAATTAACACTACTTCCGTCCCAATATAGCCGACTGTCCACTTTATAAACTGCGACTCCCAATTAGTCTAACTAACGTAAGTGTATATTGATTAGTACGTGAATCTACTAAAGAAGGGCACATTTAATATGATGATTATTTTCAATAGTTTCATTATATAATGAGCCAACTTATTATTCCGGTAAGTACTTAGCATAAATATTATGTTATGTATCAACTCCATTATATATATATATATATGTTTGATATCACAGAGGCTGTACAAGATGGGAGCGCGAAGGTTTGCCGTAACAGGACTGCCACCGATTGGGTGTCTGCCGGTGCTAGTGACTTTTGGCAGCGTGGTGCCGAGCCCACACATGTTTCAAAGGGTGTGTGTTGATCAGCAGAACGTGGATTCTCAGGCCTACAACACCAAACTTGAAGCCCTCACTTCCACTTTACAAAGTACCCTCCAGGGCGCCAAAGTCGCCTACAATGATGTCTACAATCCCATCCTTGACATGATCACCAAACCAGCCAAATATGGTCAGTCACAGACCTGTCTTATATATATATATATATAGTCTTAAACTAAAAGTTATTACATTGATCATACAACAATTTTCAAAAACACTTATATGTGTGTTTATATATAATAATTGTCTGCATATATAGGATATATATCATATGTCAGCCATTTTATTTCCTGGTTATGGCTCTTCCTTTTGGATAATATTTGAACAATTTATGTAGGCTTTGAACACACACTTGAAGGATGCTGTGGGACAGGCACTCTGGAGGTAGGTCCTATGTGCAATGCGATCGATCTAACGTGCTCCGATCCATCCAAATACCTGTTTTGGGACGCTGTTCATCCTACACAAGCTGCTTACCGGTTTATTGCCCATAATTTTATGCAGACTGTGCTTCCCCGCCTTGTCGGATAGATCAGGATTAACTTAAGTTCACATTTTGTTCACTTGTATTAGCATTAAGATTTAGGATAGTAAATGTCAGAGATGAATATATTTGATCGTCTTCTTCTTCTTCATGTGGAAATGAAACAGTGCCGCAGTCATATAGAGGTAGGATTTTATTTAGATTGAATTTCTGATGCTTAAAAACCTATATGAATGTGATTTTAATCATTCGTATAGTAAAAAATTAATTCATATATGTGTGTGTGTGTGTGTGTAGGTGCATATATAATACTGTCTACTAATTAGATTCTAATTTAGTTTAACAAAATCTTAATTTTTATATGATCTAAGTTAATAATGAGGGTATAGTTTGTTGTATCTCAGTCATTGCAATGCTTCTAGTCATAACCATAGGATATATTGAGACTACAGATTGAACTGACAGTCGACCAACCTTGGATAGTTGGATAGCTATAGGATGCTGAGTATTTCCTAGATTGAGCTAAGCAATAAGAGTGAATCAAAGGACAAATTAAGTAGTTACCTGTAATAAAGAAGTTGGGCTATAGGGAATGGGACCCGGTGATGTGCACTGGACTTTTCGATCGGTACGGTGCACACACAGTGTGTTATGCTCTTTGCTTAACCTGCCTTTTAAAAGGGAAAAATTTATACCATCTAGACTAGAACCTATTGATTAGTTCATTTCACGTTTACGTAACTTCGAATCAAACTTTACATAGAGTTGCTAAAACAAATTAATCTGACTATATATTAGAAAGCATACAGTGTTTGGAAATGCAATATCTAAAGCAATTTAAACAAAAACATTCCTTCCATAAATTTTGCTTCTACTTGCAATTTCAATTTCAAAGTTATAAAATTAATTTTAGCTTTGGACAAAGCTCTACAATGTCAAAATCGATCTCCAACTCCAAAAAATACTTTAGTTTTTATGCAATAAAGATACAACTGAGTTTACAAATTACAAGTCTTCTAGCCTAGAAAACTGTAATGCCAAACAATCAAGATGAATGAGGGTGAGGAGGGTATTTTGATCCTCTCCAAAGCCAATGCTGCTTGATTAAACACCTTAGACTTCTGTTTATTGCATTAATTAACTTTCACATAATACTTCTAGTTAAATAATAAAATCTCAACTAATATTTTATTTTTCTTAATAATTCTGGTTTAATTGGATTAGAATAGCTAAAGTTGATCACAACTACCATAATTACCTTTCTAACCTTCTGCCACTTTAAACATCTTCCCAGTTCCCATAGACTGCCAATATATAAGACGGAAAAGTACTAGCACTAACTACTAAGTAGGCTAGCCATCTTTATCTCCTCAATCCCAAGATAAAAACTATTAGTTTATTTGAATCCAATGTACTACTTTATAACTTGTCTCCAGAATTACAGGAGTAATTTAGTAATTTCCCTTAAGCTAGGTTTCAAAGATAATATGGTTAAAAAGTTTTATGCAGATCAATTGTTTTATGTTGTTCAAGGACAGAATCCCTGTTACTAAGATTAATTATATTTGAAGTGTCAGATCAATTAATAATATATAAAAATACTAAAATTTCCTTGATATTCACAATTGAGGCTATACTATAGGTATTAATCTATGCATACAAGCCCATATCAACAAGAACAAAAAAGAAACAAGAAGCTAGTGTTGGCCATTACCTTTGTTTTGCTGGTACATGACAGACTGTGCATTGGCACAAGATCTCACTTAGAATTGTCTTATTCACAAAGTCAGATCATGATCAACAATTGTACTTGCCATTCTTGCATGCTTTCTACTACTCTCACTTTCCTTTAATCTGCTAAACTTTGAGGTTGAAGATGAGAACAAAGAAAGAGACAAACTACTATCAACCCCGTTCTCCTCCAAACCTCTTTCAAACTCATCATCACTCTTTGGTGTCATCTTCAGAGAGAGATTCAAATCTAGGTTGCAATCTGAATCTGGAACCTTCCTTTTTAGGGCGCTTTGCTCTTCTATAGTCACTGGACAGTTTTGATATAAAGACAGAGGCTTATCCTGATAATTCACTCGATCACTACTTTTCATATCTTGCAATTGGATTCTCAATGATCTGTGATTTTGAAACAATTGAAAATCATAAGAACTGACTAAATGGCCATTGTTGCTCCCAAATGTCCTCTCAGCTGCTGAACCATAACCTCCACCTATGGCTCTACTAGATGCAGCCCCACCCTTGTAAGGACTATAAATCATGTTATTGCTATTTGCACTCCATAAATGTTCGCTACATCTTGGAGGAAAAAAAGGAAAGAAAAAAAAAACAATGAAAAAAATAGGATTTAAATGAAATTATATAATTAAGCTCATCAAAAACACAATTCAGCCATTGAAGTTGATCAATTGAGTAGGAATTTACACATTTCTTACCTGAAACTTGAAGTGGACGGTTTTCGATTAAAACTTTGTAGCATGGGAATTTGGCTGAGATTATAAATGTGGTGATCCCCACCATCCATGATACGCCCTTGCTCCGGCGAAACTGTCAAAAGGGAAGATCAATGGATTAGAGAGAAACCCTAGACACCAAATATATATTAAACCCTATTTCTTTTCCACTTTTAATTTTAGTGTATGCAGCAGATGGGCGCGCCATAAATAATAAATTACCTGGATTGGGGTTATCAATCTTCTTGCTTCTGTACATCTAATAAAACATGTCCAAAAGTTGAAGATTAATACTAAGCTTAATTGAAGATATTGATGGAATAATTAAAGATCAGTACTACTACTGCATAATTAAATGTTTTTGTGGACTATAAATATAGGGTATAAATCAAATTACCTGAAGATGGCTTTTGACATGAGCTATACTAAGGCCTTTGATGTTCATCAATTCAAGAACCAACTTAGGTGTTGCTCCTACACCAATTGAGTTCCATATTAATCACTGAATTACGTACACACACACACACACACACTAGATTTCATGAAGAAACTGGAATTTAAACAATTAGTACTCACTATCTTGTCCTCCTAGTCTTTGAACCGCATGGACAAAACAAAGATGGAGATCAGGTGTCCAACGAAGCCTCGGATTCTTGGAGCGAACATACTGCCTCACACATCCAGGAGCTAACTTTCTTTCGGTCTCTTCGACCGCGCTGTTGCTCGAACTCATTCCATTTTTCAGCTTAGTATCATCATCAACCTCTTCTCCTTCATCCTCTTCGTCGTCCTCGTTCCTGTTACTAGGGCATGTATTGGAATTCTCTGCAACACCACTTTCCTTCATCTCTTTTTGCCTTTTTCGATCTCTTCCCAATCCAAACTTAATGGTCAATTGTGTGTGTGGGTGTGTGTATATAAAAGCAGTTACTTGGAACTAGGGTTAATTGTGGTCTTTTTGGGTAATCTATGAAATGACTTTGATCTCTTCTTCCTTATCACGCATGGAAGTCACTTATGGTATGTAGGAAATGACTTTGATTTCTTCTTCCTTTGACTTTGATCTCTTCTTCCTCCTGATAAGCTGATCAGTCCAAAAGAGATGGGAGTGAACTTTAGGAAATATATATATATATATATATATATATATATATATAGCATATGAACTCTTGCAACAAAATTTTCTAGAATTGGGAATGATCTACAACCCTTGCCCCAGACATATAAAGCACACCTCTCGCTCTCTCTGCCTTCTTTTTCTTTTTTATAACTGTATAAATGATGACTTGCATGAATGATTGATTGATTGATTGCGTACATGTGTATACATATATAATATAATGCATGTGAACATGGACCTATTTAAGCTACTACGATGGTGATGGAATACTGAATATGCAAGTTCCAGTTGCATTAATCGAAGATATCGAGTACCTAAAAACTTAAATAATTAAACTACACCACATATACTATAAATTAATCAACCTAACATATAATAATATTAATATTATTAATAATTATAATAACTTTACAATTTCTAAAGAAAATCAATTTATTACACACCAACCTGTACGGCCCTTTCCCGACGCCTGGAAAAAAAAAATGGTAAGTGTATATAGGGAATAATTTGGTTGATTAATACAATTTACATGGATCCTAGTTCTTTTATAATCCAATGAGAGAGGCTAGTTCAATTAATTCCTTATTAACATCTTTTTCTCTTAATAATTTTTTTTTTTACTTTTGAAAATGTTTTTTTTTAATCGATGGAGTGGAAGGTGATCAATGGCGAATTACAATTAAAAGAGATAACATTGGTAGGCTGACTTAAATTTATTTAGACCAATGCTACAATTGTGGATACTGTAAGAGAGAAGAGTCTCTCTATTTCTTTCAATTAATTGGTGTCACAATGCAATTATATATATATATATATATATATATATATTTAATTTAGTTATTAATAAATGAGTAATGTTATTTAGAGAGCCATCGTATCGAAGTTCATGTGCTTTTTTATAATTTAATTATGTAATTAAAATAATTTTTTAAGATTTAGGAAAAAAAATCACACAAAAGTGTATTAATATAATATAAATAAATCTCAACTTTAATTTTTAATAAATTAATTCACCAAATATCAAATGATGAGTATCATCTAATAATTTCTTTGTAATCACCGTGTTATTATCTATTTCCTTGACCAAGTTAGCAGGATGACATATTTCTACGGGCCTATAGAACAAGCTAACCGACGGCTCAAACAAAGCTCTTTGACTGCAAGTAGATGAAGACATGCGCCAACCCTCCAAGATGAGAGAGAGAGAGAGATGCATGTGTGTGAGATTTATTCCAAACTCAGAAAAAATGCGAATGGATTTCCACATAGAATCACGGATTGGTCCCTACTAGCAAAGGAATCCAATCCTTGCTGAGTCCAACTGACCACCTACGTCAACAATTCTCACAATATTTCTGTCTACATCTAGATACAACATATATAGTATGGTACACATATAATATATATATATATTACTCATCATCTTTCACAAATTACACCCAAGCCGGTCCCTACTTAATCACAATTGCTTCAATTACGTACCTATTATATAACAATATTATTTTGTTAATTTAATTTATTTATCACTAGAAGGATATTTTGGAAAATTCAATTTAAAAAGTTCATTCTATTTTAAATTTTAATTTAGTTCAATCAAATGTTAGAATATTAATCATGATTCAATTTCTATACCATTCTATATTTGCAACCAAACAATAAAATGAGATTGATCTACCATTCTATTATTTTCTTAATCTCATTCCGTTCCATTACAGTGTACCAAACTTTGTTAAGTGTGTAAAGAATGAGACCAACAATTTATATCAAGCATTCACCCAACCGCGGATGTCACCACAGAGCACCCTCTAAAATAGCTTTTCCCTTAATTATGACAATAGATTCCGTGCTCGTGTGGACTATATATATTACAGCAGCTTAATTCACACACACACATATATGTATATTATATATATATATCCATTTAAAGGTTTTTCCTTTCAACTTGCAAGCACTTTTCCATCACGGGCATCCTGAGGGAATTCACAACCGTCCAAGAAAAGCTTGACGCATGGAGATGGAGAGAAAGTAGTCCACCTGTTCCTGTGACTCTATGCATGCATCAAACGAAGGAATTGCATTCTAATCCCACACTCCTCTATTAATGCTGCAAAATTTACCCTTTCAACTAACTCCAAATCACAAGTACGTACTAACCAATCATCCAATCTATATATATATATATATATATATATAGACCACCATACTTGCATTTGATTATATATGCCGATACATATATAAATGTTTTTCTTTTGAGATAATGAGCGAAAATAAATTATTACGATGCAAAACAGAATGGAAAGGAAAATATGTGCAAGAAAAATATTTTTATTTTTATTTTTCATATTATTTTGATAAAAATTTAAAATTAATCAATAACATTGTGGAAACAGATATTGTATGAATGCTCAACAATGGTGTGTGCTGGTCTTGCTTGTGAGGGTCATTAAAATACAGGTTGGTCTGCAAGATTCACTTCCAAGCACCCAATGATCTGTAAAGTCAACTCCCAACGGTACCTCTGTTTTCTTCTCTCTTGTTTTAATTTTTTATTTTTTATATTTTCTTTATTGGTATTATTTTTTTTTTAAGTATGATTTTTCTACTGTATTATATTTGCATGAAAATACGTGAACCTATTAATGTGGATCTACCATCTAATTTTGAGAATGAGTATGTCTGTCTTTTTTCACGTATCCATTAATTATTTTTATTGCAAGCATATCATGTATGATGTATAACATACGGCTATCATGCATCAATCATGAATATATATATATATATATATCTAGGTACATCTAGATACACTTCATTATTCAAGATAAGGCCATCAGTTGACGCTTTCAAGCTAGCTTCATTGAAGCTTCTTCATACTGGAGAGTCACAACTGCTCCCCATAAAGATTTATTATACTATAGAATAGGCATGCATATATATATATATATATTGCCAATTATGCTGAATTGTACATTATTAGGCATATTGAATTTGCTAATATGTTGTTTAATCAATTGATTAGTATTTGAGTGGAAAAAGTAGACATATATAGGGAATATTATTGAATGCAATGCTCGTCTATATTTTATAATTGTGGGCAAAGGTATTCTTCGTCTCCATATCAATCATTTTGTGTGCCCTACGTAAGCGACGTCTTACCCTCCCTCTGCTCCTTTTCTTTGATGAGAAAGTGGGTCCCATCCCACCATTGTGATTGTGAAACTAGGAAACAAAGAATTGCATTTTTCGTATAAATTGTTGGTGTTTCAGGGAAGATATTGATTGGATCCATGCTTTGCTCGTGGGTTCGGCATTCTCTCCCCCTGTTTCGTATTTTTATGTGTGTTGTGTGTATATTATTATATAATAAATATGTTATTCAACCTGTCTTGCACGTCCCAAAAATGACAATTATTTCTTGCGTGTCCCAAATAAATCCTGAACACGAAAGATACAGATAGACCTAATCTTTGGTATTTCATTAATGCTGTCAACTTTTGACACTTAAAACTCGCACCAATGGCATTGATGTACAAGCGTTAAATCTTTGCGCCGAAGGCCAAGTTTTTAAATGCATTCAGAAATGAAAACAGTAAACACCTAATAACTATGTGTCCAACTCCAATTCTCCTTGTGCCCTTAATCTATCCATAGACAAGATGAACTGTGTGTCCAGTCTTAGCTTGCGAGGAGCTGGGTTCAGCCCTACCATGGCAAGCTGAGAGCAACAGTAACAGCCCTGATTGATTGGTTCTCACCATGGCGAAATCCTATCACAAACTGACTCTGGGAAGACAAATATGTGTGTTTCTGTGTGTGTAGATGCAGAATCAACGTTTGTGATGCTGATTTTCAGCAAAGGTGCAGGTAACCAGAGTCTATTGTTCACCTTGGCCCCAATAAAAAGTGTTCTCAAAGCATTAGGTTTCCATAATATAACCATGAAAGAGGCTAGAGTTTCCGGAATAGAAAATGTAACCATTACCTCTGCCTGGAGCCTTGCACTCTTCACAACAACAGCGAACTACCATAAGAGAAGTTTCTGATCCAAATCAGTAACAAACATCAGAAATAATTTGTGAGGTCTAAATATGACCAAGAGATAAACAAGGTGAATGCCATGCCTTTATTCTCTCTTAAATTCAAGAGATAAAGAAAAAAGAACATCGATAGAGAAAGTGTAACAGAATCCCATTATACAATTCTTTTCTAAAGAATTACTGTATAATTTTGGAAGCAATCATCCTGAGCTATTCCATTTTTTCTTCAACCAATCTGTTTCAAAGGGAAACCATGTCTCCACTGATTCCATCCATAAAATGTTATTTTCCCCGTCTTTGCACAACACAAAAAACCTGCCTAAGATTTGTAAGTACAAAAATTCTGAGCCGCCATCAAATTGAAATGCTCAGAGAACTAAAGTTCTCAAATTGCAAAAATAAACTCAAATATACCCAGAGTGACAGGCTCCTATGTTAATGTTGCTGTAAATCAATCAATCAAAGGATAAAAATGACTCCACAATTTATAATGATGGTGAAGAAAAGCTAAACTGCACACCAGTCTTCCCACGGTCGTGCTCATGTTGTTTCACTATGTAGCAGTAGTTAACCTGAAAACAAAATCAAGTTGTCAGAAAGGTATTGAGTGTGGTTGGAAGAAGAGGGGAAGAAAAAGAAATATAGAATCAGGAAAAATATCAAACTTAATGAACTGTCATGAGGCACTATTCATGCGAGTAAATTACAACTAATACAGTTGTAATTGATTTCAATAGGATCTTTACCCATTTTTAAAATTTTCAAAGACATTACCAGCAGCATACTGACCAGATCCTTTTTAACGAACATTTGAGCTATGTTACCACAAACAAAAAGTTACTGTGGACCATGTAAAAAATCTATTAAAGTATATTCTATTATTAAGGGAGTCAACAGAAAACTTCAAGGACGACTAACTTTTAACTTAATAAACTCCATTTTGGGATCCTGTCAATTGGCAGCACAGAACTTCCAAATTGAATTCTGGTTATGGTAAAACATGTTTTACTCTGACAAGTGCTACCTATTTTACCATCAAAATCAGTACAAAGAGATTATCACTAAATAATTCATTGGTTGAGAGGAAATGTTCAAGCGGCTGCATATCCATTGTAACACAAAAATATTTTAATGTGCCCAATAACCCATGTTTTGTCACCCAACATGACAAGGATATGAGATACATTCGCACAATGTCCTGTCATACGTGAGAGATAATGAGCATGTCCAATAATTCAAGTTACCATAGAGTAAGGGAATTACCCGTGTGATCCCCCCTTTGATTGAAGGTGTTGACAAGGACAAAAATTTATAGATCTTATTTTCGGTATTTGCAAAAAGTGGCTGCCCTCATACTCCAATACTCTCTCATGCTTGGCAGCTAAACATTTTACGAATTCACTAAGCAATAATCCCTCAAATTTTTTATATATAACGATATATAAATCATGCTTCATAATTTGGTCGCTTCAGAATGAGTCTTAACAAAAAAAAAAAAACTAGTTTAGCAAATAATAATGGAATATTAACAATTTGAATATTTAACTCCACCCCATGTCCTTAACTCATTGGACTCGAGGATTAGATAAATCTGACATGTATGTGTGTGCTCACACCCGACACATATTTGAGTCGATATAACATACTGAAAAAAATAAGCGTGGGAGGGTAGGGTCATCCATGAAGATGTTTTTAAACACACAAGGTCAGGGGGTTCTGCATTATTATTACGAGGAATACTGGGGGTAAGTTATTAATATTAAAAGAATGTGTGACATCAGAAAATCTTTTTCCAACGATCCACACAAAAAGTTCCTTTGTTGCTCGTATTTGATATAAAGATCAGTCATCACTTTCTTAGCGATGCATTGATAAATTTTACTTTATGGTGACCAGTAATAAAATTTCTGAAGAATGGGTTGTATGTCAGAAGACCTAGAGCAAAACATGCTATCTTCCTCAGTTAATTGGTGTTAACAACCATCTACTTCAAAAGCTTAATCTGTTAGAAATGGTGTAACTTTAATATTTAATCCTTCAACACACCCCCCTCACATGTGGCCTTTTGGTCCAACACGTGTTTCAATTTTTAAATATCAGGGTGATGGTGAGGTTTGAATTTGAGACCTTTGGCTCTGATACCATATTAACCACCATCTACACCAAAAAAAAGCTTAAGATGTTAGAGAGGGTGTAACTTTAATATTTAATCCTTCAACAGATGATAATTTTGTAAGTCTCATGCTTGAATGGATTCATTTGAAAATGGAGTCATCTCACAGATGAAGTTGTAAATCATGAAAATTATCACTTAACCAAAACGTAAAATTGTCACAGGACATCAATTATGGTGAAGTACCTTATTGTTCTTAATGACCCTATTTAACAACTGAGACATTGAAATTACGGGGACTTCCAATCACATCTTAAGATGGTTGTATAAAATGAGCACAATTAGATCAGTTGCTGATCATTGTTTAATCTTGGTGACTATCTCTTTCTTTACTGGTGGACTATTGATTGAGTGGAGTAGAGATGGTCCTGAGGTCCCTCAAAGGTGAAGGTGAAATGTTCAAATTTCAGAACATTCAATTAAGGTGTACACATAAATCTGACTTCAAAAACCTTCAAATCAGACATCATTTTTATTCTTTGAAGAAGAACTTTGAATAATATTTTGCTATTCCCTGAGTTTTTGATAAATGATCATAAAAAAACTCCATCTTCAAACCTGTGTAGTCTTGTTAATTGGAGTTCCATTTTTAAGGTGTTGGAGATTATGAATTTCCTGAAAGTGTCTTTGGATTTCGGCTTGCTTTAGTTTTCGGTATCAAATATCTATAGAGCTTAATAGTTGTTTTCCAGAGTATGAGAGTTTAACCCAAGTGGATGCTGTTTAGCCTTTTTTTTTGGTCCTTACTGGTTTTGTGACCAAAGCAAGCCAAGAGGGGGAATTCAAATGCCATTGGTGAAATAAACTCAGCTGGATATATGACTACTCATGGAAGCCCTTTCTCTCACCTTTCCACACAGTAGCAAACAGGCAGAAATCTGTTTTAGCCATCTACTTTCTTTATGATCACAAAGGAATCTTAATCTATTGAAGACAAAAAAATGTGGGATGGCGTATCTAATTTATAAAGAATAGGTTACACATCTGAGAGTCCTGACTTAAACCTGCTTTTCCATTTGTCCCAAATCCCATTGGGCAGTGGTATGACGGGACTTTTCTGTTTGAGGTGCGGCTTCAGATCATCTCTGGACTAGATATAGAACTACAGAAATCAAATTCTAACAAATTAAGAAAGCTAAAATCACTACTTTATCAGGTTAGTTAAGTGTTCTTAGTTCCAGGTTTTTGGGACTGTAGACGTGAAGGTAGTAGAAAAAACATCTAGGGATCTTTACAACGAGGGTTATAGAACTACAGATACCAAATTCTAACAAATTAGGAATGATCTTGTCAGAAACTTAATGGCCAGCATAACAAATTTGTGGAAGAGAATACATGTGGTTTCAAATGATACTTGGGCTCCCTGTAGAAGGGCCTCTACATGTTACAAAGTCCCACTGTAAGAGAAAGCAAGAATCATGCCAGAATAGAATTAAAATAGTTCACCCCATGTTACTGAATGAGAATTTTAAGTGACACAAGTCCCCTCATCTTAATCTGTGGCGCAGAAGGCACACACGTGACATGTAGAGTAAAACGAGTAAGAGAGAGGAATAAATAACAATTAGGGAATAACAAAGAACAAGGTAAACATAGAACTAAGATCCTTTTGGCACCTTTTATCATCTAGTTTTGAGAAACTTTGTAATAGATCAATTCATACAAATTTTCCTACAAATTTTATGTGTCACTTTCTATAATGAGCTACAAAGGCGGTAAAAACATAGTTTTTGTTTTTAGAGTACAGGTATTTGACAAATCTGTCAATTAACTTCCCCTGTATAAACTATCTATAAACTCAGCCTCTTAAGCTCGCCATTTGTAATTCCTGACACAATTTAACTGGTGGCACAAGAGCTAACAAAAAGGCAAGTATTTGCAATATTCCATTAGTTGAATTCCATTTTTGGAAGAAGTCGATCTAGATTTTGTTTTTAGCATGCCCGTGGAGGAAGATTACTTAATACGAGTTTCAGATGGTATATGTGGCTATACTATAAAATTTGATGTCTTATTACAAAGCCAACATTTAGTCCATTGATGTATATGAGGTAGCTATTGGATCTATCTGAAATTCTTTTTCGCCGGCAAGGATGTGAAATGCCAAGGACTTTTGGTTCATTGGTTTTATCATTACTTGCCTTGTCAATTATTTTCATTTGTCTTGTTACGACACGAATAGATCTATTGAATTCTATTAAGACAGGAACAATTGAGGGCATCAAAGAATTGTACTTCAGAAGCATCTAACTTAGCTTGCTAGGTGAGAAAAATTTAGATCATGGGTTCCCAGACACCTCCCAAGCTTCCAACTGTAAATTTCAGTACTAAAAACATCAAGCCTGGCTCAAGTTCTTGGATTGCAATGTGCAATAATGTCCGGCAGGCATTTGAAGATTCTGGCTGCTTTGTGGCAGTGTATGATAAAGTTTCTTTAGACCTCGATAACAATATCTTTTGTGCATTAGAAGAGTTATTTGATCTCCCCACAAAAACAAAAGTCAAAAACACTTCTGAAATTCCTTTCTTTGGTTATATTGGGCATGAGGTTATTCCCCTCTATGAGAGCATGGGCATCAGTAATGCAGCAGCTCTTGAAGAAACTCAAAGTTTCACAAATCTCATGTGGTCAGCTGGGAATGACCTTTTCTGGTATAACTTGATTTATTGTCTTGAAATTCTTTTAAGTTCTTTGGTTATGCCTATTCATATCACTTATCTTTCTTATGTTTCTTAATTTTTGTCCTTGGTTAGTGAAACTTTGTATTCATATTCAAACCTAGTGTCAGAATTAGAACAAGTGGTGAAGAGAATGGTATTTGAAAGCTATGGTGTAGGGAAGTACTATGACTCTCACATTGGATCAACCACTTACCTTCTTCGACTCATGAAATATAGATGTCCGCAGATGAATGAAACTAATATTGGTGTTGACAATCACAAAGACAAGAGCTTCATAACCATACTCCATCAAAATCAAGTTAATGGCTTGGAAGTGAAAACAAAAGATGGCGTGTGGGTTGGCTTTGAGCACAGGCCTTCATCTTTCATAGTAATGGCAGGCAATGCATTTTTGGTAGGTGGTATCTTCTACTTATCAGGAATTTCTATCTACAAAAAGTAACACTGACTATTATTCTTCCTGGTTAATCAATCTTAACTTTCCCACTTTCATTTGTTTTTAATTAGCTTATATACGATTATGCCTTCTTAAATTTCTCCTACTAATAATATTCGAACGTTTGATGTTTTCTGGGCTAGGCATGGAGCAACAATAGAGTACATTCACCTATCCATTGCGTCATCATGAGTGGGAATGAAGTGAGATACTCAACTGGGCTATTTGCATTCAACAAGGGAATAATACAAGTACCAGAAGAACTAGTTGATGATGAACACCCCCAACAATTTAAGCCATTTGATCATTTTGGATTACTTCATTACTATTACATGGATCCGGCTAACTGTGTTGAATGTATAGCAGAAGCTTACTGTGGTGCTTGAGAACTCTTTTGATCTAAATCAACTGAGTAATGGAAGTCTATTTCACAGTGCATCTTTGGGTTCTTATTTTCCTCATGGCTACGTCGGTTTCTTTCTTGATGTTCTCTATGGATAGAAGTTTGGAGCTTTTTATAGTTATACAATGTATTTGTAGCAAATATAGGGGTCTTATTGTTAATGGATGTGCCAAGATCCTTCCTAGAATAAATAAAATAATATAAAATAAGAGGGAAAAAGATAAAGATAATGGTTTATACATTTGGAAGTGATTCGATTTGATGTAAATAGTAAAAATGGAGCACAAAGAATCTGAAATTTATCAATTTTAATCATACTCAGATACTAACCTCCATGCGGAATAGTTTTGTGGGTACAATGACCCCAAATCCTGCAGAGCTTCGAAGAGACTCTCGGAATTTCTGGAAAGAGAACTCCCGAAATGAATTCTCTGTTAACTTGGTAAGGTTCCCAGCACAAGCAAAAACATGTCCATGGATACCAGCTTCTCTGAGCACCCTCAGTGGGAGATCGAAAGCAAGGTCCGCAAAGGCAGTAAGAGCAAGATCTCCTCCAAGAAAATCCCTTTCAGAACCTTGATCATTTGAGTTTTCTCTCAGTTGCCTTCTTGGCTCGGTAGGGCCCACTCCCCTTGACTTAAACCCCAACAGTGTAGTTGGACCTCCCAAGGTACAAACTGGAGATGCATTGCCACCCAAGAAGAATCTCTCAGGAAGGGGCGAGGGAGTGTTCAAGAATCCACTTCCCCATGGAAAAATAACACCACCAGACAACCCAAAGTTCAGCGCAGCATGATAAAAACCCAAGGGGAAAGCATAACGAAGATCAAACTCCTGTTGGGCAAACCAAAATAACATATTATTATCAAATTAGGTTATCATCATAAAATATAATATTTTAATGATAAAATTAATAATTTGGAAGTGACAGCATTTAGGTCAAACAACAAGGAAGCAGAAGATCAGCAATGACAGATTACACAAAAAATGGCCGAAAAACCGAAAACATAATTAAGCACCATCATTGAGTCGCATTCTAATATTCTATTCGGAACTAGTTGATACTACACATGGGAAATATTATTTATATATATATATATATATAAAGAATACGAGAATATTTAAGCAACCAGGTCTCCACTTTCAAGTCAAAAGAAAAACAAGAAAAATCAACAATACAAAATCGCACCATATAATTTGATGAACTTACAATAAGAATTGGGGGGAAAGAAAACACAAATAGCTTTAAATCATTTATTTATTAATTTTTTTTTTTAAGAAAAACTGTATTAGAAAGCATTCAAAAGGGGAAGTTACTAACCTGGCGGAAAAAACGTAAGCTCCGATGGTCGGGTACAAGACCACCAATTTGAGAAGTAGAAACAAAAGCATATCCTCGAGTTGGTCTAAAAGGTGAATTTCTCCTATCAATCTTAAATGTGTATTTTAGAGATGAGAGTAAGCCATGTCCAAGCTGCCTCCTTATTGACCTGGATGCTATTTGTGCTGGATCTGTTAAGGTACGCCAAGAAAGATTGAATGCCAAATCATGGTTCCGAGAAGATAATAGGCCAAGAGATAAGCCCAATGATCGCTCCTTGTAAGAAGAAAACTTTAGCCAATCTTGGGAAAGCAGAGAAACTCTAGCCGTCAATGGAGTTACCAGTCGTTTGAATCTGGGCAAAGTCACACCAGCACTGACTTCTGAAGTTTGATCCCAGCCATAAGACAAAGAACCATCCCAAAGATCCCCATATCCAAACAAGTTTTTCAGCTTCACCAATCCTTCAAGTGACCAAGATCTAGCCTACAAAAAATGTTTAATGATACTAAAGACCATTTAAGAGGCAGAACTACCTATATAAATTATGTACACAACATGAACATCAAAAAAGCATATTCAGATCATACAGCAAATTGAGATGCTCTAAAGAAGCCAATTTAAACTTTATCACTAATATTGATAAAAAGCTATTTGCACATGATAGTATGATACGGTGTAATCAAAGAAGCATTATTTGGAAATTGGGTTTGACATTAAAGTGAGGCCAAGTTGACACATCTCATAATCATGCTTTAGTTATTGTCAACTCCTACTTCTTATAATCAAGTTTTAGTTATAGTCAATTCCCAATTCTTACTTTCTTTAGGCTATTTGTTGATTGTTCACTTTTTTATTTTGTTTTTAGTTTTAGGAGTAAAGGGTATATTCATATTTGTTGAACTTAGGTTATACCGCTATAGAAGTCCATGGGTCATATTTTGGGTCAAGTTGTAGTTTTCATAGTTACTAAAGGCACGATGCACTAAGATGCCAAAATCTCATAGAGTGAAAGCATAAGCACAGCACTATACAGGTCACAAGCCAGAGTGAAGGCACACGGGTGATTGAACTGTATATTAAATATACTTAAGTTATGTTTGGTGGCATGGAATTAGTCTCTTGGAATTGGAATTTGAAGAAAACTAGTTCAAACTTTCAATTAATTTTCCTCCAATTCCAAGACACCAATTCCATGCTTCAAAAACACTTTGGACACATGCTACAAAAAAACTGTCAAATGCTACAAAAAGTTATCAACAATTGAATAAAAAAGGAAAGGAAGTGTTGGCATGGAATTAAGAGAGTGGGTTTGTGCACACATCCTTCCAATTTGCACATACATTCAACAAAATTAGAAAACATGAAAACGTGCAATTACAATGGCCATAATCATATAGATCTTAAAACTATATTACATTATAATAGATTTATTATTTTGTAAGTAATTTACCATAAATTTTCAGAATGAAGCATTAGACTAGTGTAATTCAAGTAGTCACTCATGGGCTTATGAACCCCAAATACCAAATATCGAAAAATATTAGTCAATATAATTTTACCACAAAAGCATGACATGATATGAAATGAAAACAATGTATGATTCAATAATTAAAATATAAAGGCATGCTTTTCTTGAGCCTTCAGCCTACTAGAAGTTTGTGGTCGAGGGCTTTTATGTGCGCCTAATTGAGGCGGTCGCACTCGCATATATAAGACACTATTGTTGAGCCTTGACGAGCCTAGGATTCTTTTGGAGACCTAGAGTCCTAGACACGCCTTTAATGGCAATGGTAGTATTGAAACTTTATTATTGTACTTTAGCAGGTCTATATGGACTTTCGCTAGTAAAAGTCTCTAAATTCTAAATACGGAGTTCAAATCCAGTTATATAAAGCTATGTAAATGCTTTTGATTTTATAGAGATCATTTTAGAGAAATTGAAGTTTTTAAAACTATCTTGGGATTGAATGATCCATTTCTAACACTAGGTGTGATGCCTATGGCCACAAGAATTTGAGTACTATTCTCTCAAGTGTTGCAAAGAGATTTATAAATGATGGTGAACTACTTCTAGTACTCTTCTCCTCATTTTCATAACCAATTTGGATGAGCAATAGAAGGGAAAGTGAATGGGAAGGAAAGGAGGGGGGGTATAACATTTGTGAGATAGTTGAAAAGACACCGATTGAAGATAAAATGACAGCTTAAGATGGTTTGACCATGTACACTGACCGGTTAATAACTGCACCAGTTTGGAAAAGTGATATGCTCCTTATTGTAGGTAATGTGCTAAGCAAGTGAATGGAGGAAAAGCACCATAGTACCAATATATAAAACAGAGGAAATACACAAAATTGTGAAAAAAACATAAAAGGAATTAAATTAATGAGTCATACAATTAAACTATATGAAAGGATAATCGAACAACGACTGGAAAAATATTCAATATCAGATAATCAATTCAGATTTATATTTATGCCAGGTAAATCCAAAATGGAAGCCACATACTTAAAAAGGCAATTAATAAACTTAAAGAATGATATGATAGATGCCAAGGGGCATAATTTGGTGGGCTCAGCAAAGAAAATAAGTCTGTATAAAACTTACAAAATATTGACTAGAGTTCATAAAAACTAGTGAATTCTCTCTAAAAGTAGACTTACACCAATGATCAGTGTTAAGTTCTTATCTATGTAATGTTAGATAAAATAACGAAAGCTATCCAAGAAATCTGATGACATAGATTTATTAGATACTTCTAATGATGCCTTAACAACAATGTTAGAAAGATGGAGAAAGACTTAAGAAGCAAAAAGCCCAAAAATTAGTACACCAAAATGAGATATTGGAATGTACATTTGATACATAATAGAAGATAGTAATAAAAATTAAAAAAGACGGTGTCAGTCATATGATTATTAAGTGGACTCTCTGATGAAGATCTAAATTGATCCCAACAATTTATAAGCCCTAATTGCACATGTCATCAATTTCATTGCATTCAATCCTCTACCTAACAACTTCAGACACGCATACAAAATTTTCACAGCTAACTTAAAAACCAACTAAACCCAAAGCAAACGCCTTGCAATCCAAATTAGATTATTAGAGATAAACAAGCATATATAAGTACATGTAAAGAGTGAGAGAGAAGTACCTCAGGCTTAGAGTATATTCCGATGTTGCCGGTGAGGGGGTCCTTCGTCTCGACTACCTGAACGATGACATTCGTAGTGCCGGGCAACTCAGGCGGCCCGGAATCAAGAACAATGTTGACGGAATCGAAGATTTCGAGACGCTGAAGGCGAGCATTTGCCATAGTCGCAGCCTGAAGAAGCTCTTGCACTGAAGTGACGTGCTTGAGACCTTCGACTTCGGCTTCGATCAAGGAGTCAACAGTCTTGGTGTTGCCCTTGATCAGCACATCGTGGACTCGCAAAGGCACTCTCTCCTTCGATATCCGATTGTATAGATTCTCAATTTTGGCCCTCTCCAAACGCATTCTCGACTCTTTGGTCACTTTTTCCTCCTCTTCTTCATCTTCTTCGATGTCTTCGCCCTCGTCTTCATCATTCGAGGGTTTTTCGTCTTCTTTGTCAGCGATTGAGGGTTCGGGTTTTTCGTCTTCTTTGTCAGCGATTGAGGGCTCGGGTTTTTCGTCTTCTTTGTCGGCGATTGAGGGCTCCTTCTGTTGTTCTTCGACTGGTACAGCCATTGTTATTTTGTGTGTGTATGTGACTGTGTTTTTGGTTTTGTTGTTGTGTGTGTTTTTGTGTTTTGTGTATATAGAGAGAGACTGCAAACGGCAAGCGAAAGTCGGGAGGGTTGGAAAACTTAGAGAAAGGGCAAGAGAAGGCGGTGTGATTCAGTGCGGACGGCTACCGTAGACAATTTTGTGCAGTACTATTATTTAGGTTTTATTTTTATTTTACCTTTTTTTTCTTTTTCATCTTTTATTTTTAGGGCTGTACGCGGTCCGATTCGGTACAGTCCTGGTAGAACCCGAACCAGATTCATTCCAATAGTTTTTAAAAATTGGAATCGGAATACAACCAAACCAGTTCCCATTTTTCTTTTCTTTTCTTTTTCATTTTTTTTTGTTAGCAATACCTTGAAAGCAATACCTTGAAGGCAATATCTCCCAGCCACATTTATAGCCAAACAAGCATCAATAGGTATATATATATATATTCGGTAAATATAGGCATATATATATTAGTAATTATATAATTTTAAAAAATAATATATATATAATTATTAGTACGGTTCAGGTTTCAAAATTTTGGAATCGTAATCGAAATTGGATACCAATTCTTTGTGCACTCCTATTTATTGTATGTGTAAATTAGAATGACCTCTCTTATATTTGACCAAATTATACAAACATACTTACCGGATTATTTACCACCATAAATTTGAATTTGGTTTTGAATTTTCATCCTCTTTAAATGTTTTTACGTATTGTGATATTAATATTCATTAAATTGTTTAATAATCTAGGTTAATGAAAAACACAACAATGTTTGGTTTTGAATTTTCATCCTCTGGAAATGTATTTACATATTGTGATATTAATAGTCATTAAATTGTTTAATAATCTACCAATGTTAATTAAAAACATAACAATGTTACTACCAATAATAATTAGGATTTCATTTGCTTCTACTGTCAAATCATTTTAAAATCAACTTAAGGGGTTCAATTTGAATTTTATCAGAAAGGGAGTAAAGTACCAAAAAAAAAAAAAAAACTCTCATATATACAAAATGTATAAGAAACGCCTTACTTTTAAAAAAATATAAATTCTTATTTTTTTAATTTTTTTTTTAGCAAATTGTCCCCTTCAACAATTTTGACCAATTATATATATATATATATAAATCCCAAAATACTCTGAAAGGAATTTTAGGTATTATTTTTTAAAAAAAATATTTAATTAAAAAACAATAATTTTTTTGGGGTTTTTAAACGTTTTAAAAAAAATGCCATTATTTATTTATATATATTTTTAAACTTTATCTTAAGGGCATTTTAGATATTTTAGTCTTCAAATTTAAGAATTGTTCAGATTTGCTCAATTTGAAAAATATAAAGTTTTTTTAACAGCATGAGAGTATATTTGTACATTTTATATATAAGAGGGAGATTTTTTAACAATTTGAAAAAAAAATAAATTACTTTTGTTAAATTGGAATAAATTATGGTGGCTAAATCTTGACTTGTGTTTGGGTCGGTTCATGCCAACTGAGTCTAAAGGCTTCATTTGTTTGGATATATAAATATATATATATATATATATATATATATATATATATATATATTTTGATATTTGGTTGTTGTAAATATTTATAAAGAAAAATAAAATAAAACCTAACCAAAATAAATTTACTCATCAATTTTTGACAAGTCATTTTACACACCCCGCCTGAACCAAAATCTTTCACAAACACTGAGAAAGTAAATAAAAAATTTACTTGTAAGAAAAATATTTTACACCGAAAGAGACGGGGCATAAATAGTAAATCTTGCTCCAAAAATACAAGCTGAATAAAAAATTGACAGTACAATCCAATGTACCTGCATGTTACCGGTATGTTTGAATGAATAATTATACTCCAAATCTATCCTCACCTCAACCCAAACTTATTTATATTGTTCATTGTGTAAATTCGCCCTTTACAATCCTTCATTTTGAAGTGATTTAAATTATTCATTAAAATCTGTATTTTCACATTAATAAATGATTCTATTATTTATTAATATTTTTTCACATATTAATAATGTTAAAGGTTAATGATTAAAGAAGAGGGGAGGGTGATGGCTCGAGCTCCCGGTCAGAAAAACAACCCAACCACTGCCAATTTAAAAAAAAATAAAAAAATTATTTATTTATTTATTTTTAAACATTAAATTATTATCTAGAAGTAAATGAACACATTTTAGGAAGAAATGTCACACAAATTAGGTGCAACTTGAATTATTGGTAGGAGTGTAACTTGGGTTGGGTAACCCGAACTCAACCTAAGCCCAGTCTTATTTTTACAGCTTAGGCAATCAATTTTACAATTAGAGTTAGGTTTGGGTTCAAAAATCTCAACTCGAATTTAATTAGGGTTGAAATTGGGTTGAAGTACTAGCAACCCAAGTCAACCCGAACTCGAATTTTAAAATTATTTTCATATATATTTTTCTTCTTAAATACATTATATATAATATTTAAACTATGATTATTTATATTTTTTTTTTCTTTTCAACTTATTTTGTTAAATCTTAACTCATTGTATGTTAACATTTAAGACAATTAATTTTCTAAAAATTTGTTTATAATTTATTAAAAATCTACAAAAAGTTTTTAAACTTTTTTTTTTTTTTTTTTTTGTTTAAGATTAATTTTATCTAAAACTAATTCAAGATTATATTAAATTTTTGGTGTAAAGATTAATAATATGAGTAAACTTAATTAACTCAAAGTTTTTACCCAAAATCTAAATCTGAATTACAAGCCTGAATTTAAAAGTAGAAGGATGAGTTGGGTTTGGGTTTGGATTTAACATTTTATATAAAAGATTGTGCTCAAGTTATACTTCAAACCCAACCGATCCGCCCAAATTGCAGCCCTAATTGCTGGCAAAGATTCTTTCGCCACGTGGCCCATGTTGGTGTTAAAAGTCGCAATGAAACCTAACAGCGCCTTCACAAATTCAAATTAGGTCTTTGTTCCATTACTACAGTTCTCAAACTCAAACCATGGCCAGTACTCTCCACAACGATTTCTTCTCTTCATTGATTTCTGAAATCAAGAACTACACAGGCAAAGACCCTCTTCTTCCATGGCTCAGGTCATTTTCTTCATTTTCTTTTTACATGTCAATTTTGCGTTTCCTCGTGTGTGTATGTATATATATGTGTGTATTTATGTATCGATAATCGAATGTTGATACAGAGGGATTCGGAAGATGAGAGAGTGTCTGCCTCCTCAGATTCTCAAAGAAAAGCTCCCTCGGTTCCTTCAGAAATGTGCTCGCACTTTCGAGACTGATTGCCGTTACACCAATGACTTGCGATACCTTCGCGTTTGGTTACAACTGGTAACTAGTTGAAACTATTTGCATCCCTTAGATTTTTGTTTTTGTTTTTAGATTATTTTGATTTTGTCCTGTCAGATTTTGATTCCTCCTTGTTTAGTACTAAAGTCTCTGGTTGATTGGTGAGAAAATGTAGGAATGATTAAAAGGAGAAGAAAAATTAATTTTTTGTATCTTATTGAACCGTTTGGATAGCATTTTGTTTAGGTATTTATTTTGCTTTTGGATGCAAATATTGCTTCAAAAAAGTATCTTAAACTCCCAACCAAACAGTTCTAGATTTTTAACATTTAGGACTCATTGAATAGAAAAAGAAAAGAAGATCCCTCAATTAGTAGATGTAAACTATTGAGTTAAGTGAGTTGAGTTTTTTCATTTTTGGAAGAAAGGGGAAATTGGACTCAAATTTTGTTCCTAATATTTATCCTACATTTCCTCAGCAACTGGATGGAAGTTAGGTGGAATTTAAATAAGGTTTTCAAATAGTTTTTATGTTCGTATAGATGGATTTCGTGGAGGACCCAAGAGCAGTACTGAGGACGATGGAAGCAAATCGCATTGGAATAAAGAGGTCATTGTTTTACCAGGCCTATGCTCTTTACTATGAGAAGGTGAAGAAGTTTGAGGATGCTGAGAAGATGTACCATTTAGGGGTGAAGAAGTAAGCAATCTATATCTTCTTTTCTTTTTTTTTAGATTTAGCCGCAGCATTTGGGTTTAATGGAAGAATGGATTATTATTTATTTTTAGTTACATTTGAAGGATCAATTGAATAATTTGGAAGATGGAGAAATAACAAAATAAGACGCACTCTCTTGAGTTTCATCCAAAAAGACTGTGCACTTCTGACTTGTTTGCATGAAGTGTTGCTACCAATTGCTTTATATTTTCCATCCCACTGTGGGAAAATAAGTGCTGAGTGCCATTAAGGTTTTCATTTCAGTTGCTCAGTTAAACCCCTTTTGAAGCAATCTCATGGTCATTTGTGTTGCATACTTTTCCACATTTTACTTAAGGAAAAAGAAGGAAAGACATAAAAAATGAAATATGTACAGGACATTTCTGCATTTCATTTTGGTTAAATTCACCATGTATTTGGGGCTGTTTATACTTTCGTTTCTTTCTTGAATGCAGATAAGATATTGTTACTTCCTGAAGCTTTCTTCAGTAACAAATATGTTTATGTGTAGAAAAAATAGATCGTATTGTGTATATGAAACCTTTCATAGACATCATGAAAATGATTGATCTCTTTGTCTTGTTCAAATGACTCTTAAGTTTTTAACAAATTTTACTTTCTTACCACACGCTCCCTGTTTTAGGTGCTTGACCCGTGATCATGTTTTTGTCAATATTATTGGTCAATTGTCAGACTAAATTATTAACAAGAAGTATAAAGCGATGCATATGAGACTAGAGTTGAAAGCAAAGCAGGAGTTTATGGAAGAGTGCTCACAAATTTGCAGCACTTTGGCTTTTCATTTTGGTATTTAGAATAGTGGATGTCTCTGTATAATTATAGGGCAGAGTTTTTTTATTTACTTATAAAAAAAAATGTGTAGTCTTTTGATTTGATATAAAAAATCGATTCAGTTTATATATCCCGAACTGTTCCTTCCAATGGAACTTGAGGTCAAATCTGTTATCATAAAAAAGATCATTAAAATTTTATTGACCAATGGCTTTGAATTTTTTGGCTACTTCCTCATTGTTTTACTTGCTCTTTTAGATGCCAATGGTTTGAAATTGAGCCCTTACAGATTTTGGTAGTGGGGTTTATTTTCTGTATCTGGTTTAAGGAACATTTCTATATGGTGTCCATTTCAATTGTGTCATGCAAATTCTTGTCTCCTTATGGTCTTCAGTTATGGGGGTCCTCTCAAAATTTTGTTATTGAAATTCTCTGCTCACCCAATTATCAGAGAGATTTTTAAAAGTAGGCATTTTTATATTGTTATAACAAAAGGCTGACACCATGCGTGACTATTCATTTATGTAGCCAAGGCATTGAACTCGTTTTGATAATTCTCTCTGTGCTGAACTTGGTCGCTATGTTATCTATTTTCTGATGGGCTTTCTCCAACATGTAAGCATGTGAACAGTACAAGGACACAGGTCTACCTTGTTTAAGTATGCTATGAACTAAAGTCATACTGACCTTCCATTAACTGTTGAACAGCCTTGCAGAGCCCATTGGCGAGTTGCAAAAATCTTACGAGAAGTTCCTTCACCGCATGGAGCGACACATGAACAAGAAAATCCAGGTTCTGTTTTTTGGGTCAATGTTGTGTAATGAAAATTTATTTTTCCACTCTGTTAGATTCCTTGATATCTAACTATGCACAGATGTCCTTCAGCGTCAAGAAGGAAGAACTGTCAGGAGGCCTCCACGTGCCGGAAGCCTTCCTCACAGGTGTGACGAGAGTAACAGAAACAAAGAGAATTTATGTGTTGAATGTAGGCCTACAGGAACTTGTCCTGAAAACTCTTTACCTGAAACACAATGTAACTTTATAAACATTGAGAACAAGAAGGGTTTGGAGGAAAGTCCTCAGGATGGGATGCCAATGAATGATCGTAACGATAGCAGAGTTTCAGTAAATTCGTTTAACGTTGAAGAATCCAGCAGTCCATCTGTTAAGAAGGTTGTCATGGGAGATGTTGGACACAGGAACTATTTCAATTTGCAAGATGATACTGAAACGGAAACAGTGGAACCTAGGAAGTTTTGCAGTGATGATACAGTAGTTGTGAAGTTTGTAGATACTGCTATTGTTGGAAAGTCTGAAGCAGAAGACGCATGCCATCATGGTCTGGTGGAACCTACAATAAACACTAAAGAAGCCTTGAATGCCATTAATAGCATGTTTCGAGAGCCCTTAGAGCCACCTCTTGATAGTAGGAGATCACGCAGGAGCAGGCCTAAAGCTGATCAGAGCTTAAGCAATGGATTTGAGGTGTTCATTGATGACAACATGGATAATAGGATTGGATCATTAAACCAAAATGCGGAGAAGGGTAATTCAATGCTGCAACACAACATGCTCGGAAGTTGGCAGCCTATTCATGAACCGTTTCAAATATATGTTGATGAGGAGGAGAGCAATGAGGTGAAAGAGAGATTTAGTGAGAAAGATAACTTTGAGCAAAGTATGGTTCAACAAATGTCAGAAAATGAAATTGCTTTTGTATTTCCAAGTCCGAATGATATTTCTACAGAAGGTTCTGAAGATCTGGATGCAGAGAGGTCACCACGGGCAAGAGTTAGAGAAGATACAGTTGTTTGTAGGTTTGTAGGATCCACTATTTCGGATGAGCCAGAGGTGGAAAATGTTTGCCACCATGGCCTGGTAGAACCTACAATTAACTTGAAGGAGGCTATGGATGATATAAATAGCATGTTTGGGAAGCCAATAGATTTTGTAAGGATCAAGAGATCGAAGAGGCAGGACAAAGCAGCAGACACGAAGAATAATTTTGGTGGGTTTGTAATACTGCCTGATGATGACTTGGAATATCAACAAAGGCAGTCTCGGCCTAGCTCATCTACCAAAAGTGAACGTGACTTGTTTGAGCCAACCGTGTGTACAAAGGAAGCCATGGATGAGATAAACAAGATGTTTGGAATGCCACTTGATTTCTAGGTACATGGCATGTGCTCTTTGTGTTTGATTTCTAGGTACATGGCATGTGCTCTGTGTGTTTCGATTCTGTTGTAATTGATATTCGATTGATCAAGCTGTGATTTTGATCTGTTTCACATTTCACATATTTGTATTGCAGAAAGTTTTAAATATGTGGATCTTTGTTTGCCTATTTGTCGTGCTTTTGTTCTGTTGTATTGCAGTAAGTGAAACACAACTCTTTCTGTCTAAATGACTTGCCATCTATAAATTGTTTAAAGCTTAAAATGTCCAAAGAAGGAAAAGCTAATGATGCTGCCATGCATAGTGCAGAATTCTTTTATTTATTCAAGAAATATAATAGAACTTAGACATTTAAAAATCGTTGAACCAACACTGGAAGGGAAACAAAAAGAAACAAAGAACAATAACAGTTAATCAGAAGTTAAGAATGACTGGTAGTGAATTTAGGGGTGATTGCTGGGAGTGCAGTGAGCTGGGTGGAAAGCCAAAGGGCCTGCTGCATAAATCACGGCTTCATAATTCTTTCCAAACAATCTTTTGTTCTCATAGCGGAGGGGGGAACCATTGAGTCCGTAATTCACATTGGAGAAGATGTTGCAGTTTTCCAGAGGAGATGAAACTAGTTTGACATGGCACGAGTGGAGAGGATGGTCCAACAGGTAATGGCCCATCTTAAACCCTTTCATTTGTCCATAGAAGTACCCGTGTGCATCTGTTTCAAATGCCTTGTAAAAGCTGACTCGGTCTTTGTGGTCTTTGCAGATAACACTTACTTGAGCTGCAGGGATGGGCTCAGCCCCGGCCAAAGACCATGTCCCGAAGTGCTCACAGCTCTGGCAGTAGACCATGCCTTCGACCACCACATCTACATTCTTCTCCACTGTTTTGGTTGAGGCGTCTTCAGAAGCAGTTGCAGAATAGAAAGCCAACTGGAGCAGGAGCAACGAGAGGACAACCGCGAGCTGGCTGCTTGCCATCTCTAAGGTGTGATTAGGGTTGTAGAGACTTGAAAAATAGCTCTGTTTGATGAAGAGAGAGTTGGATGGGGGTGGTATATATAGTTTTCTTGTGAGAATAGTTGGTGCATTTCATGAACTTTTGCCATAGACGTGGGGACTACTAAACTCCATTTCATAAACTTAAGTAGTTGAAAAATGGTTTGTACGTGAAGGCCACCTTCAACAGTCCATTGTTTATTATGATCATGTCGTACTCTTATTCTCCATTTGGGCCCTCGGGGGTGTTTTTATTTTATTTGGGCTGTCAATTTCAGGCCTGATCTGTGTGGCCTGCCCTGTTTAGGCTCCTGCAAATGATTGACATTGGGTTTGTCAGGGCCCATTTATATTGGATAACTTTGGTTGTTGGTGTGTCAGGTGTTTAACTTGTTTTGCCTGAAGGTTTCATTTAGTATTTATTTATTTTTTGTATTTTTGGGGTAGGTAAATACTGGTACACACCATAGTTGGGCGGCTTGAATCCCTTACCTCCCCTATGAAAGACGAGAGGTTATACCAGTTGAGCTAACAGCCAGTGGTAGGTTTCATATTATTACTGAAAAAAAGGGTATATTTTCATTTGTGCATCTTCGCAGCCAAATCCTAAAACAGCAAAACCAGAAGAAAGATATGTACGCTTTTTCCTTATCTCATTTATGTACATCCACCATGTCCCTACAATAGATACAAGCTGTAACCACCTATTGGCAATTCCTTCAAGCCTCGCCGATTAAGGACACACAAAAGAAATTTAATAACAAGCTGAATATCACCTGTTAGCTTGATGCTATGGATATAATCTCGAGCTCTGCAAAGCAAAGCGACGAGAGTTCTGAGGTTGCTGCATCAGGTCCTATTGCTGTTATCTCTCTCAATCTTGCAGAAACATCTCTCATTTCCTGTCTCTGTGTTGGGTCAGGGTGAACACAGGATATAATCACTTCACCGAGTTTTTCAAGCTGCTCCACTCGGAAATGTTTTAGAGTAGGATCCACCATTTCAGTGAGGGGCTCTTCCCCTCTCAAATAGTCAGATAGCGAGTCCTCAAGCGAGCCACCATCTACTGAGCCAGGGAGTCTGCCAGTTATCATTTCGAACAATATTACACCAAAGCTGTAGACATTACTTGCCAGATGCAAGTCCATCTTAGCAGCATCTACTTCTTTCCAAAAATCAAAATCCGAGATCTTGGCTGCATAGTCTTCAGTGAGATTGACAGTGGTTGAGTTCAGGTTTTTGTGGGATATGGGTGGTGTCATTTGGTGCATGTGGTCGAGGCAGTAGGCCATGCCCATTATAATCCTCATCCGCATACCCCAGTCCAAGTGTTCTGCTTCTTTTACTGCAGAAAGGGAAAAAAAAAAAATGAAATGGCTATCAACAGAAATCAATTGCGACAACAATGCACAAAAAAAAAAAATCCTAAACATGTTCCTTCTGAAGTATACATATAATACATGATTAAACAGTTCTTAATATCTCTCTCTATCCTCAAATTACTAACCTCTACGTTTGTATATTGTCAAATGGAAGATTTTCAAGTCGCTACCAGATAAAATTCCATGCCACGTGCATAACAGGATTCAATGTCGTATTTCACAGACGATTTAAGTTCATGGATCATTATAAAAAATATTTCTAGATAAACATGAGACAGTCAAATGTATCAGAATCATCTTGCCAAGTCAAACGTGCAAATTAACTTTTTTTGCATTACTTTTAAGAGAAGTACAATAAACCGAGTCATTTTGGTGGTGACATTTGCAAATCAACCCTAAATTTTTTAGTGTAGTGGGTGTTTCTAATACTGAAATATGAGAAAGTCAAACATTATTTTTCTCAGGTATGTATCAAATTGATATTTACATAGAAGAGTTCCATTAGGTTCTGATGGTCCCTGAGATTAGATACAAATCAAATGGTTTGGAGTTTCATCTGAGGTTCCCTTAGAAGCATTAATTGGCGAATCATGAACCCTAACTCATACGCAACATGTTCAGTAATAAAGAATGTATCAGCATCTCAAGAACATGTGCTATTTCATTTCAGATTATTATTGGTCTGTCATCACAACCAAGCATAAAATAATTAACAAAAATAACAAATGAAGGCAACTCACTATGCAAATGCTCAAAGAGTGTTCCATTTGGAGCATATTCAAAAACCATCATTCTAGTGAAAGGCTCCTCTTCCTCGCAAAACCCGAGAAGGTTCACAAAATTCTTGTGGTTGATTTTTGATAATGTGTCAATCTGGAAACATCACAAAATTGATTTATTCAGGACTGTTGGACCGAACCAAAACCAAAAATTTAGTGTGATTAATCTGAAAACTACCTTGTTCCTGAACTGGACTTCCAGATTCTTTGACCAATCCCTGGCAGATGTAACTGCAACAGATGTAACGGCTACTTCAACTCCATTGGACAGTGTCCCTTTGTATATCGTGACAAGTGATGAAGAATGAATTACGTTGCTGAAATCTTCACAAGCGGCATCAAGTTCTGATCTCTTGAGGTTTGGCACAACTGAAATTTAGAATCATGGTCGTGCAATAGAAACACGAGTTGAATCGATTAGTATTTATACCACCATATTTATTACTTAATGTATATTTCAACAGGGCTGTGGGGGCTGCCTTCTTTATAAATCGGATTCGCAACGTAACAAGTTTTTTTAAAAATAATAATAAAGGATTTTCCATCTATAGATTTTAAGAGAAGATACTTTTATGTATCAAACAGTAGTCCAATAACAAAACTCAAAAAATGTGCCCGTGTATTCAAATATTTCTAGAAGGAAAATAAATATTCACCATATCTGACGAATAGAAACTGAGGTGTTTGTTGATTTTAAATATTTGCTTTATATGTAATAGGAGGTTTTCAAAGTTTGAATTACTACCAGAGGTAGTCTTAGAAGGCAACTATTAAACCAATCCTCTGGCTGTCCTCAGACTATAAACAAGAAAAGTTGATTTATTATTGTGGGAAAGAAAAATTACCAGTTACAAAAGTTTTTTGCAGCTGCCCACTTGATCCTGAGGCCCAAGATTTGGTAGCAGCCACCCTATTGCCTCGACAGAAGAATATACCAATGAATAAAATGAATAGCAACACAGAGCCCCCTATGGCTACCGACATTATTAGAACTCTATAATGTTTTCGATTTGAACTTGATTGGTGTGTGGGGAAAGGTGTTGGGGCAGAAAAAGGAGGTGATGAAGGCTCTGATGATGGAGATGGTGATGGTGATGGTGGTGGTGGTGGTGGTGGCGATTTCTTTCCTTGTCCTTTTGACGGATCGTTAGCTGATGCTTTTAGCAATCTCCGATGAGTTGCATATCCGGACTGAGCAATGTTCCTGCAAAAAGATAAAAGCAGCTGTCATGAAGCTAACCAGAACAACAATAAGCCATCATGGTTAAACATAGACGCTGAACATGAATGTCAACCGGAAGCCATTTTTATATAGGCCTACAAGGCAAGAGACTATGAAAGATTGTACAGCTTGCTGGTGTTGTACAGCAAGGTAAACTCATGATTCAAACACCACAGTAATGATATGGTAGGCAAGACAAATTTCATTTGACCTCTAAATCAAATAAACATTGCACTGTCTGCATGAAAATCCTAAATGCCCTACCTCATTGAATTACTAGATTATGCGAAACAAAAATGAGTTCAAATTGACTGCACAAACATACCATGAGATGAATCTTTTGTTGCTAGATGATCTTTGCAGAACTTTAAAAAGCCGGTTCTCATCTACTTGAACTTCAGAAAGCATTTTGAGCTCATTAATTTCAGGAGATATGTTACTGAACTGCTCATTGTTGTCCAGTAGACTGCAAAATTATTAGAAAATGAGTTACCATGAGCATGAAAATTTTTTATTTTAGTGATCAAAATTAAACAATTATTATATTAAAATAACCTTAAAGTAAAAAAAAAATTGTCAGGAAAAGTAAGAATGAGATAACACACTGTTTTATCACAATCTTGAATTATATTGGCCAATGTACTGTAAGCTCAAGAATCATTGCTGGAAACATGATCAGAATATAGACAACTTGGTAAAGAAAAACCATTTGACTATTGAAAATTTGTGGAAAACCTCAAGAATTAATCAGTTGAAATGATGATCTGCATTTTTTGCTTAGTGAGAGATTTAATTGAGAGTGAAACCCTACAAAAGAACTGCATTTTTTGTTTTGCTAGAGGAGAAAAAAAGATATTTTATTGAGATGGAACACAGTAGCCACGGGAAAAGAATCATTGAAGGCTGTGTTGGATTTAGTAGAGGGAGACAATTTAAATAGGTTGGTACTCATGAAAATACTTTATACTAGTTTTAGTAAGTAAGTGTATTGACCAAATCATCCTCAAAAGGTTACTGATTAGCAGTTATTTTAAGGCTGGTGTATCTTTTTCAAACTTTAGGTTTGGTCAGTGATCTCTAATTTTCCCAAAGGAGGAAGAAGCTATCATTAGAAAATTTATATAATGATTAGTGTCAACTTACAGAGTTGCTCGTGACAGATTATTGCCAAGTTCAGAGGGGAATGGTCCACTGAATTTATTGTATCCAAGGTCCAACAGCTCCAACTCTTTCAGCTCTCCAATCTCTTCAGGAATGATTCCGGAAAAAGAGTTATTGCGTAAAATACTGCAGAATTGCACAATAGAGAGAATGCCCATAAAAAAGATTTGGTATACAGAAAAATGGTTCTTCTTAAGATGAAAAACAACAATATGTATTAATAGAGCATTTGCCACAAGGAAATAAATATAATTTTACATAGATTTTATGTGAACCAGATTTCTTAGATCAGGAGCTAGTGTTCCTCCAAGACAGAGATCCTTCAAGTTCCTGTAAGATTTACAAATATAAACTAGAAATGATTAAAAGTTTAAAACCCATCAACCATTGAAATCAGAATTCCCAATTACGTATTATGTGTTCAAAAGTATAAAGTTAATTCAATTCGCAACGTTGATCCCTTAACAACTCAATCACCATTATTTATCTTAAATATTCAACACAATCAGTACTTATGGCGTCAATAAGAAATGGAAGCAATCCCGAATATAAGATGGCTAGATACATAACCATAATTCTTTATTTCTCGGGCAGGTGAGATTTATACTAAACCACTTACATGTCAGATATAATCACAAAAACAATCATCATTTAAGTATTGCTTTGACACACAAAACATGTGTCCTCATGCTTGTCAATCTAAGCTTTTACTAGTAGTATATAACAATGATCTCTTACAACAATTGCTAAATAAATGTATAAATGTGTCAAGAGTGTATATTAGCTCCAAAATAATTCATTCCTTGCAAAAAGATTGACCTTTTTCCATCAAAGAATGAATTCAAATCCCGAGTGGATAAACTAATCCCTTTTTTTAATCCGAAACCAGCCAAAAAAAAAAAAAAGCATCATAATAATCAAAAGCACAAGAAAATATAAATTGCAACAAACAGCAAAATAAACTTTTATCTATGATTATGCAAAACCATAATTCACAATAATTGTAGCAATTTAATACAAGAAATACTCACAAAACCACAACATTTCCATCCGAGCACTCGACACCAAACCACCAACACGGATCAATTACTCCAACTTCATCATTCCAATTAGACAGGGCACCAAATGGATCACTCACAACCCTTTCCCTAAGTTTCAACAATGCCAAACCTGCAAACAAACAAATCAAAACACTCCACAAAATCACATCCTTTCTAAATCTCAATTACACTCTTCTTAATTGATGAGAAAACTTTTATATATATATATATATATATAATTAAAAAGAAGAGAGAGAGAAGTTATATGTTATTTTTCTTCTTTTACATTTTCTTCTGAGTCAGTCACACTACACTACAAAACTCTTACCTTCTTCGTTGAGAGACAAACAAAAAATCAGATTCTGAAATACCGAAAACAACATCACCAGCAACACCGTCAAGCGATGCTCACTGAATCTCAAAAGTTCGATCATCGCTACATTAACTACCAAAAACCCTAAATTTCTTAATTCGAACTCTAATCAATCAAGCACAAGACAAACCCAAACGAGTTCTTAAGCTAGGAATCCAATCACGAACTGGGTTGACTCGGAATCAGACACAGCTCGAACGCATCAAATGACCCAAAATTTGAACAACCGAGTACAGCATGTGAAGATATAGATATAGAGATAGTATATATTAAAAACGAGTTCCGTGTATTTTGTAAACTACCCAAAAAAACGGGTGTGAAGTCACTGAAGTGTGAACCCAAAATTATATATATATATGTGTGTTTGTGTGTTTGTATAAATATATAAGTGGGTGTAATTGTAGGTGATGAAGTTTTACTGGAGAAGAGAGGGTTGGAGTTTCAGGTGGCGGGTATGACCTTTTCAAATGATACGGACATGCGGTGAGGATGTGTTATATTATATCTGTTTATTAATTCTCAAGTTTGGCTAAAATTATGTTGTTATCTCAACTAAATTACTAGTATTATTAATTCTTAATTTCCATAGAATTGTGGCGTGTCATTATCAACTGAAGACAAGAGGGTGAGATGTTACAAGGTACAACCACTCTCATTTCATCTCTTGCGCCAAATTTCATATTAATTAGAATGATTTTCAAATGTTAAGATTGGGTTTAAATTTTTTTTTTTCCAAATATATCTACAATTATGTTATGTCATTACCAACTAAAGAGGGTGGGATGTTACAAGATAGAACCACTCTCATTTGATCCATTGTGCCAAATATCTTATTAATTAGACGATCTTCAACTTTAGGATTGATTTTTTTTTTTCGTTCTTGAGGTACCAACCAAATAGTTAAAAAAAATTTAATATAGCCTATTTGACAATTGTTTTTTGTTGGGAAAGAAATCTGCACAGTCCGGTACAACACCGTTTTTCTACAAAGATAAAAGGAGAAGATCGATAAATCTTGACGACACTGGTGTGGTGCCTGTCAAGAGCTCTCCCACCATCAAATCAGTTGCCGGAGGTCTAAAAGAAAGTCCGGGATTTAATAATGGTAAGGTCTTGTTCTTATAGCTGGCTCTCCCTCGGTTCGTTGTGAGATCAGAGGAGATTTGTTGACGAGATGATCTATTCCTTTAAATTTCAAATTGTGCCGAAATTATCTTTACTCAATAGAACCCCTTTATCTTACCTGTTTAAATTCCCCTTATCAGTTTCCGTTTTACAATTTTATTTTCATTCAAAAAATTTTTTTAATATTTTTGTTATGAAATGTGTTCAATAGTGACTAAAAACATAATTGGTAATGTAAACTTTGTTTAAAAAATTTTAAAAGTAAAATTTTTAAAATATATTTAATAAAAATATATTACAAGATTGAGAAACGAAATTGTTAATTATAATAATTTTTATCTTTGGTTTCACTACGTGACATGAATGTCATTATTCTTAGTCTAATTAAAAGTAACTTTCAGTTTAATTAAAATTTGTTCCTCCTAACTTGAAATTTACATGAACATTACCAAAAAAAAAAAGTCATTGGTGGACTAACTCCGTAATTACGTTTGATTTTAAAATTTTGTACTCCCAATTGGCAAAGTCCAATTGGGTTGGTAGTAAGTCTTGGACTGATTGATAAAGTAATAAAGTTGAGGGCCTCTCTCTAAAGACATTGTCTTTCTTTAATTTATGTGGAAATGTGACATTTCTATTGTCAAAACCCATATTCTGTACTTACAAAGCAGTGTGAACTGTGATATATATAGACTATACAGATAGTCTTGAATCTTGATAGATTATGGGTTTTAAATATCAAAACACATAATAAGAATCCCATTTTTTTTTTGGGAATTTAAGGCCCATATGTGTGTGAATGCAACAAATGCACTTGTACTTCTAAAAGATTAAAGGCAATGACATCGTACCACCAAACTGCAACTTTTTTCCCACCAAAGAAAGCAACTTTCCCTCATAACAATCAAACCCACATGTTTTATCGACATGACATGGTCTTTGTTTATGTGTTCCTTTTCTTTGGGACTTCCCAACTAGTGCTTTGACCTTGACTGGTCTACCCCGTTACTTTGGGGTTTGTCATTTATCCAGAAGACTTTAATTTTGGGACTTGGTGGTATCGATCAATATGCGACTCGGTAGATGCCAATATTATAGCAAAGACATTTCATTGCTCAAGTTTCCGTTAAAGATACAATTGCGAGCTGCAATCTATAGAAATATAGGGCACATCTTTGTCCTTTACTTTTTCTTTTTCCATGTCTTGTATTCTTGACAAGCAGCATAGGGCATAAGTCAAATAGGTAAGAAGTTAGCTGATTCTGTAAGTGATCAAACAAGAGAACTATACTACTAAAATAAATAACTCCAAACATCCAATACTTTTTGCTAAGTTGTAACTTGTGAGTATTTATATGGGATCCTCTTTAGTACAGCACACGCGTGTAATGCAGTAAATGTTATATCGAGCAAGCATCCTCTGCGGTACATTAAACATTGGGAATAAAAAAAACAATTCCCTTCGTAGTTCATACAAAAGAAGAATGTATGCATAGTGAAACTCTAATTATCTCATTACAATATTTGCTAATAAATTGCAGTGAAGGGCAATAGTAATATATATGTGTGTGTCAGCTCGAAGATGCAAGAAGGTAACGATACTGATATTCTAACGATACTGATATTCTGGTTACAGCAGAATAAATCTAGAAAGCACATAGAACTCTTCTCAATTCCTTTTCCTATACTCTCAAGCTAAATATATCTTCCTGAATAATCCTATTTTTGAAAATCACAAGAAGCTGTATTAGAAATTAAATTCTGTATGCGTGATATCCATCTGAAGGCAAAAGAGAGATGACGCAAATTCTTTAATGACTCTGAGGTGCCACTTACCATTGTCACATCTTTGCTCCTCTAGAGATGAGAATGTCTCCATATGGCACCCTTTGCTCAACTTTAACGAAATCACGAGAAGCGAGAACTGCAAAAGGAAGCCACTAATCTCAGTTTTAAACAAAGATTGAAAAATTTTCAGGTTGAGATGACGTTTCAAGCAATAAGGTGTTACTATCACGGGCATAAAAGAATGCATGTAGATGAATACCACAAGTCTGATAAAAGAGATGGGCTGCCCTTTTTCTGTTCATTCCCAAGGCCAGCTGATTCAAGGATTCTATTTGAGCCGATCCTGGTGTGTCAAAATGCGTCTTCAGCTGCCTGTAGACAACAGGTTGAATGTGAAGTACACATTAATTATATTATATTATTAAGAATTGCTATAGGATGAAGAAAATCAGACAATTCTCCATGAGTATTACATTCTGATGGTTTCAGTTATGTGGTCAGTAGGTTGATTAATAATTGGATGCTGCGTTTGTGTAGGTCCAGTCTCCACCAAAAGATCTGCAAAACCAAAGCAAGGTGATCCTCTTTTTGTTTTGTTTTGGTATGTAAGATAATTTTAATTCTATTTAAAAACCCAAACAAAACAGAACACAACTAACTAACTAAACTAACTGCCAGCCACCTAACCACCTAATCATTGAAAACTGGCTCGTGGACGTTTTTAAAACAAACTAAGCAAAATAAGCTAAACAGAGACAGCAGCATGCAGAACAGGTCAATCGTCACTGGAGGACTCGTGATGCATCAGCAGCATCACCCATATCAATCATGGCACAACAAAATTCAAACTGTACCATAGCTGCTACTTAACCCAAACGAAACTAAGAAAGAATGTTGCTGCAATTGGAAGCAAGGCGATCCAATACTTCAAACCAGCAATATAGACACAGCTTGCAATTTAAAAGAATGACAAAGACAAATGATTTATTTACCATTCTCGGGTGCCAGGCCATTTTCAGACAGTCTTGCTAACTTGAAATTTGGATCAGTTTGTTGCCATGGATACTCTTCAGCTACCGGTTCCAGGCCACTCCCACTGTGTCTAGATGAAGAAAAAGGCCTTTTCTTGTTGGATCTGAACAGTTAGAATTTCCAATTATCAAAACCGACAGCTAAATGTTATGATGATACTCCAAAATTTGTTGTTTGTCAATATGTGAAGATCTTGTAATTATTTTGCCAACTCCAAGAAAATTTCTCCCTTGGTTTATGTTAATCACCTTAAAAATATATATATATACATTCTACTAACCGGCCTGAATTGACTTCTGAATTATTTGACAAGAAACCATGTCCGGATCCTGAGCTGGGGATGGATCTTACTTCGTCTCCTATAATATTAATTCCACATAAGCAAAAATCTATTTATCAAATGTTCCGTTGTGAGCATAATATATTCCTAGAGAAATGATACTATTTGAAAGGTCTAACACACCAGAATTTCCTGGCGTGACCATCCCATTGTTCATAGGATTGGTTCTTAGCTCCCCCACAAAGATCTCACTCGGAATATCGTTGTCATTGATAACTGTCCTTTGCTTCTCTACTGAAACCCCCAATGATTGTGAGCCAACTCCACTGTGAATTTCTTCAAAAGGCTTCACATTCAAGTATCTTATCAGATATATACTACTGTATTTTATCTTCTTCTTTTTCTTTTTTTTTTCTTCAAAGATATGGAAGAAAAAGACTGAGAGAGTAGCTTACGAATTCCAATGGATCTTGATAATGTACCCTTTCTGGTGGTGATGATGATGACGGTTCAGGGGGCTGGGGTGGGGAGATCGTCCCTGCATGGATAAGTAGAATATTTTTACTTCTATTCTTAAAAAAATAGGAGAATGTCAATGAGCTACTGTCAGGAAACTCTGACCAGGAGGTGAATCATGGGGAGGCTGAGTACTTCTCATCCATAGTTCCAAGAGAGGTGCCGGATAATAGATTTCTCTATTTCCAGTATCAAATAAACCACAAATTAGCACCACGGGAGGCAGTTCCATGAGGTTGGCTATCTTCATAGTAGACATGGAATTCAAGCACTGTAATGCATTAAGCACGAAAACCATTTATTGGAGGAATAATGTATCTTAAACTAAAACATCCTTCCATGGTTAATAGTAATGTCTAAGATACTCAAAACAAGGAAATAGAACTGGCAAGACAGTGTATTCTTAGCCTACTCATCCTGATAACTTTCGTGCAAAAAACTTGATTTACTTGTGGCAAAGCATAGTGGTTAAATTTGTTTAGTTCAACTGCATATAGAATGGGACATATGTAAGGTGAATGTTAACAATCGGAGAATACCCTTCTCTTTCTCCCCCTTCTTGAGACCATATCTGAAGCATTTTGAAGCCAAGACTGATATATGTGACCAGGGATGATAGTTTGTTCATAATCCATAACAAAGCTTGCTGGTTTTCTTGCTCTCTTTCGTGATGGGCCTTGCCTCTGTTGATTCTCCTGGAGCTACAACATCAAATTCACATTCTAGATTAGTTGGTTGTACATCAAATCATTTCATTTGTTTACCTTCACATACAAATGCAATATCTAAGTATGTTGAAAATTAATCCACCTGACATACGTCCTTGACTTCATCAGATTGCTGATTGAATTGGTCTTCAGGATGCTGATCGTGGATTTCATCAGCTGCAAGAGGGCCCAGATGTTAGCATATCTATCTAAGCATACTTGTTTTCTCTCTGAGGGTGTCACATGTGACTGTTAAGATAGATATTTTTAGAAAAGGTTCTTCACCTTTTACTCTTTTAAGGTTTTTGATCCACATGAATATCAAAAAATTTCTACATTTATAGGAGAAACATAGAATATATGAGAGAGCTACTGATACAGTTCTGTAAATGGACCATACGGGAAGAACTAGCAGCTTACTTAAAACAGAGTAATCCTCCCTATGGAGAGGATTAGCGACCATGTATGTTTATCAGCATTCAAATCATCTAGGATGAGTCATATAGATATGAAAGGCTACAGTATGGACAGTTCTTTATCAAGTTGATAGATGATCTTGAAAGGTTTTTTTTTTTTAGCAATATTTTTAAAAAACTGATACCTTCAAGGCCTCTATCTATTCATTGATTTGATTCTGAAGTTCTGAGCAATTAAATTTTAGGCTAAATTTTTAGCACCAATCATATTAGCAAGCCCTGAACAAATATGCATTTTTCAACTTTGCAGTGCCTCTAAGAATTAGAGGCATTGTTCTCTTGCTTACGTTTTTGAGGCTCCTCAGGAGGAGGTGGGGAGGGTATTAGAGTACTTGGGATTTCTGCGTCCTGTTGTTGACTGAAATTCAACTGCGTCTCTTCATCTCCTTCAATATCGAACCTGCCAAACCAACCACGGTTCAATACTTCTAACAAAGGCATTCATTTTTTTTTTTCTTTCTTTTTCAATTAGCTATCAAAACTCATTTAATAACAGTGAATCATCAAATATATTTCCCCTTTTACTGGAATAAAGGGGTTTTGGTGCTCGTATAACCAGAAGTTCTTGAGCTAATCCTTGAAACAGAAGTTCAGTTTACATAACCTCTGGAAAAAATTACCTTTCAAAGCGGCTGTAGGTATCAGTATCTGCCTGATATGGGTCAAAACGTTCGAACAATGTGATATTAGCAGCATCAACTGAGAGAGAGAGAGATGAGCAGATGAAATAGACAATAAATCTTGCAATATGTTATTCGCACTATGTCAACATAGATACAGACGTGTGTTTGTCAATCATGAAAAAGGGTAATATAGGAAAAACCAGAAAACCTTGATGGTAATTTTGTGGTGGATCTTCTTCTTCCCTGTGATTGTTGTTGTTGTCGACACAAGGTTCATCCACATTATCCAGTCGCTGCACGCCACAGAGAGGTTGAAGGATAAATTTGTAACCATAAAGCTAATTAGAAATAAGTAATGCCTAGGAAAAAAGAGTGCATCACCGAATTGGGGTGAATTGCGTTGAGAATTAGAAGGTCGGAATACTAATTAGGTTGCCTTGTGGTGCTATGAAATTGAGCAGTTTGTCATTTAACCTCGGTAATTAAGTGTTTTTTTTTTTTCAAAATTCAAGCAACACTCGCACGAGTTGGTCATCATTTCTAAGTAGGAATCAAACACTTGGAGCTACTTGGTTCAAATTTTTTTAAAAAAAATTCTCATTTTTAGGAATTAAAAATCAAAAAGTTGTACTAGATTTACAGTTCCTCATAACTATTTTTTTAAACACAATTTTTTTTTAAAAAAATGGTGTTTTCTCTTTTATAATTATTTGAAAATATTTTTGCAGTTTCATTTTTCTGAATTTTCTAAATTTGTGTTCACCATTTCATGTTTTATTAAATTTTTAAAAACTATTTTTTAACAATAAACCAAATACGCCCTACCTTTTCTTTCAAACAAAGTACTATACTATTTAGACTAATACTCCGTATCTATCAATAATGCTTCACTTATTTTAACCAATTCTCATACTTCAATTTGTGACATTAACAACTCACAGCTTTGAAGGTATCCAAAAACTTATTTTTGTAGTATGCATGAATTTTTTTTATATATATTTTTTTTAGTTGGTACCCACATACATTTATCTCTTTTGAAACTTGAACTCTAACCTTCCTTTTGAGAAGTAAGAGACCGGTACCGTTAAGTTACTGGCCTGTTTGTGGTATGCATGAATTTGGTGGAAAAGGAATAAAGATGTATGAACACAATGAAGGAAAATAAAAAATAGATGCCATGTATCAAATGTTTTTTTTTTTTTTTCTTTTTCATATGTATCAATGTTTGTTTGCAGTGAAAATTTTAAGTAAAGGAAAATTATTTTCCGACCCAAGTCCTCATCATCGAAAACTTGGACGAAATATGCATTCATTGGAGGAACCCATGTATTTTGAAGACTTGGCCCTAAATGGCATAATTAGTGTAAAACTTCTATTACCATTATTAATTTTCCATTAGATGCCTTAGAATATTTAATGAGTTTTTTTTTTTTTTTTTGGTTGCAAAATGAGATTTAATTACCATTGCAAAATAGGCTGTTTGTTGAAAACCCATCATGGTGGTTTCGGTAGAAAATCCACGGGACTGCTCAATCTCTCCAAGCTCTTCCTCACGATTCACAGGCAAAGTAACAGCTTCATACCTGCCAAAATGAGAGAATATATATAAAAGCTCTCTAAATTGACAATCCTACCCTCCATAGACCATGTGCCATGCCGCTGTGTCACACACCTCCCTCATGTTGTCCCCAACAATACGCTATAATACACTGAATTTAGTCTGGTTGTAACATGCAACTAAAATGTGACTCAGGGTATAAGATGACGCTACAGTACGCTCACCCTAAAACGTACAGCTAAAATGCACCTGAACTTAGTGCGATTCAACTGTAACTAAAACAACTCTCCAATAAGCTGCTTTTGAATCGTTGTAACCAAAGTTTCTACAATGCGCCGTCTATGAAACTATATGTTCGCACGAATTGACTGTAAAATTTCAAATATGCTACAATGCTCAGTGTGTGACCAACTTAACTAAAACTTGGCTAAAGTGCGCCGGTTTTGAAGGAGAAGAAGAGGGTTGGATTAACTTACTTGGCCTGAGATTTGCCCTTGGGGAGGAGCGTTGGGTCTGTAGCAGCTTTCACCTTCCATGCTTCGTTTATTTCCACCTTAGAAGATCAAATTACGAAACAATCGATCACCGTCATTTAAAAAAATGAATTAGAATAAAAAAACAGAGGAATTAAATTGGTACGATCATCGACTGAGAGTCGAAGTTATAGTACCAGAAGACGAGTTACATCATCTGCGATCAACACCAGAGAAACACAAAATACATAATCAGAAGAAGTTCTACAGATTTTTCCATTGAATCTGGGCAAAATTTGAATAATATATTGAGATTAAAGCTTACCATAAAGTAATTTTACTTTTCGTTCGTAAACAATCACAACTCCACCTGAGAACAAGCCAAAAAATTAAAGCCACTGTTAATCTCAAACGAAACGGAGATTGAAATTCATGTGAATTAATGGAACTTACCCATGAGAATTCCAGAGAGTCTCAGAGCCATTGGAACTGATGGATTTAAGATCTCTTCACTGTAAAATTAGAAAAGAAAAAAAAAATTAGCGAAATCAACTTACAAAATTAGAAGAAATTAAGCATAGTAATCGGAGATGAAACTAAACCAGATTTTGATGATGTTGAGCTTGTCTAGCTTTCTCCGATTGATCTTCGCGTGCATCGTTGCAGCCATCCTTCATTGAAGAGAGAGAGAGAGACACCAAAGCCCATATTCATTACATTATCGAACAGATATATCTCATTGGAAGAACAATCAAATAGAGAGATCATAAGCTAACTCACAAAATTTACAATCCATCATAAATTCTTTTACAGAAACAAAAAGAGTTCAGACAAATTACAATACATGATTGCATGAATTACAATCGATATAAGTCGATACACAAAAATAAACAGAGCATTTAGAAATTTCAGTTAATCTTTACAGAAATTAGAACATATAAACGTTTTCAATCAGGAACGGAGAGGGTTTGCAGATATTGTTACAATCACTATAAATTGGATTATTGAAAACTGAAATGAAGTCAGAACAAATTTAAACTCACCATATCTGCCCAAGAGGGGCTTTCCGAGCAAGAAGCTGATGAGAATAGAACATTTGATCGGTGGAGAGAGAGAGAGAGTCGTTAATGGCTGTGGTACAAATGAGCTATATATATATATATGTATGTATGTATGTAGAGAGAGAGAGAGAGAGAGCTCACATGTAAAAGGAGAGTGTGTGCTTCGAGTCACTGAAACTGAATACCCGCCACAGCGGAAAGCGAATTGGGAGAGCATGTGTTCGTCTGATAGAATAACCGGACAAACTACGGATTTTCATACTACGAGCCGTTTAAAATTACACGTGTATTAACATTATTCCCTGCCACATGGTTAGTAAAATATATGGTTTACGGATATAATTTATTAATATTTTTTTTAAACAAATATGTTCCGATGTAATTCATTTTTAGGTAAACTACAATTACATCTTCTTATGTTTACTCTAATTATATAGGTGGTCAAGAATGACCATAATTACACTAACATTTGTTATAGGCGTTAATAAGCCAACCACGCTTAAAAAAACATATGAAATGTCATATTCACGCCTTATTTTTATGTAGTATTTTTTTAATAATAAACAAATTAAAGGGGAAATAATTAAAATGCCATGTAATAAATTAATAATACTAATTTACACAATTCCATCCACTCTCTTATTTAAATGCCTCAATCCCTCTCCATTTGTACACCTTCGAACGCCACCACCATTGTCCATCCTTCTCTCTTTCCCCTCGCGGAACTACCATTACAAAGAGCTCCATATTACTTTTTCTTTCCAAACATGTCACGACTTGCATATTCTCTGTGCTTGCGATTTTCAAGATGCAGAGGATGTCTACACATATAAGTCTTGACAACTTCTTCTCGAAATAATGTGAGAAGTCACAATCATCCCCTTTTGGGACTCAGTGTCCTCATTAGCCTGACTTAGGGATGGTGGCCCGGAGGTTTGGGACCAGATCCCATTCTCCATTCCCGTCCCGTTTAATTTTGTTACCCCGTGCTAATCACCCCATAACAAATTACATAAACACCCCTCCACCCAAACCCTTACCCCACCCTCATCCCATGGCTTGTTTAAATCCCATATTCTTATACAAAACCAAAATAAGCAAAGCATAAGATTTACTTTCTTTTATTTTCTTAGCTTTCTAAGCAACCAAATAGAGGATTAATTTAAAAACCCTATATATAGAGAGATTTTTTTAACTTTGAAGTATTAAACCAAGAATTAGATAAATGAAACAATATTGAAAGATATTATTAAAGAGGACCTTATATTGCTTTTTAGGTGAATGAGATCAAAAAAGATCTATGTCTTGCTAGTCACCAATTGTTGAGAAGGCGAGAAAGAACAAAATCTCTGGCGACGACGAGTGAGGACCGTGAGGTAGATCTTTGGACGACGAGGACTCAAGGAATGAGGTAAATCTCTCTAAAAGGATAACAAGGTAGATGAGTGAGGAGTGATTTTAGGGGCTAGGGTTTTCTCTTCAGTCTTTATGTATATATACGTACATGGGCTATTTCGGTAATATGATATAACATGCAAGGGTAAGTTAGTAAATTCATAGTATAATCGGGTCGGGCTTCCCCCTAAAACTGATCAGTTTTTTAATACCTAAACACATCCTTACCCATTTACATAAACGATTTCTCAAAACTGTTTTAAATGAGGTGGCGCAAGGCACTAACGTGTTAGGGTTTTTTGCCATCCCTAGCTTGACTCACGTAAGTTTGTGCACGCTCTCTTCATTTTCAGCTTGAGATTAGTTGCTTCTTTTGGTGCTCATAAATTTTCTCAAAACAGTGTCTTCATGATTCAAGGGTGTCCACACATATAAATTTTAACAACTTTCTCTCATGAAGATCACAAAACAATTTAACACCTCTCTATATCTTTCTAACCTTTGCTCCCTAAATCTTTCTTGATAAAAAAGGAAGAGAAGATAAACCAAGTACTCATAAATCTCATCAATGCCAGCCCACAACACCTCATCCACATTAAATTCAAATCAAACACCATTAACCTCATCTCTCGATGTAACCTCGTCTCTCTCTCCCTTTATGTATATATACTCTTTCTCACAGTTGAGCAAGAGTAGGAAAGTATTATGGATTTTTTTTGTAATTTTATTATAAGCACATAAAAAAATGGAACACTACGCTAGTGGAATGCGAATATCGAATGTAGAAAAAACATTTATGAGGTTTTTTTTTTATATTATAAATGCATGTCTGTGCATATAAGTCGATTTCTTACTTAATGCTGAAAATTCATTAACTGTTATTATTCAACTTGACTTTTCGAGTAGGTTGACCAATTATTTACGTAAATGCATTACAAATTTACCCATAATATCATAAAATTGATAGAAATATGTGGCAAAGGTTCTTACTAATCATTTTCTTTCAGTATGGCCAAATCAGCATCCTCCCTTCTAAACTTGCGGACAGTATAAATAAAGAGCAGTGTTATACTGCCCGACCATTGTTTACCCGACCCCCACCGACTGCCCTACATGGCCGTCCACGTGTCAATTTTTTTTTTTGGGTTGAACCGGATGCCCCTTCTCCCTCCTTCCTCTTTTTCCTCTCTAACAATCGGCGACGAACCTTTCTGGCGAACATTCCGCAAGCACCGGTGAACCATCTTCTCCGTCAAAACTATCTTTCTCTCTCCAGTAAACTCTCTCTCTCTCTAAAAATCAGTGAAACCCATTTTCATTGTCAGAAAAAATATATATATATACAGACCCATTTAGTTTCTCAAACCCTTAATGAAATTGGGGACAATCGATCTTCATCTACAAATCCAAAGAGCTCAATCCATCACCCTCCATGGCCTCCACTTCAATCTCACCTCAACAAACCAACTAAAAACAAACCCATTGAGGCAAGCATGCATATATATATATATATATATATATGTATATCAATATAGGGATTTGTAATTACCCAAAAAAATATAGAGATTTGTTGTGTGTGTATGTTATCATGTAGATAAAGAGTGAGTTGAGAGAGGGGTTTTGGTAATATTGCTGATGGGTCTTTGGGTTTTGATTTGGTTTTCAAGGTCACATTCATGATACAGATAAAACATTGATGGTGGTGGAGTAGGACAGAAAAGATGAGGCTACTTAGCCAAAGGCGGAAACCGAAAGTGAAGACATAGGCCTTGAAAGTCAGAGTGGATGAAATTCAAGCTCAAAAGCAAAGAGGAAATCCAAATATAACAAGTGTGTTGTGAGGGATCAGTACTCTAAGATGTGAAGGGAACCGGTGTTTCACCTGTAACGACCCACTCCACCACATGGTATGATATTGTCCGCTTTGAACCTGAACCCGCACGGTTTTGCTCTTGGGCTTTACCCCAAAAGGCCTTTGTAATATCCCTAGTTTCAAAGGATATAATTAGCAATTAATTATTTTATTTTATTGTATTTTAGTTGTTTGTGTGTACTTAAGTATTTTTAATTAATTGTTTAAAGGTTTTTAAATTACAATTGTGATTATTTGCTTGATTGTCTAAATGTTTAATTGGTTAATTGAATTGTTTGTTTTAATTGAATTATATGCGTAGGTGGCATTTGAATGTGTAATTAAATGTGTTATTTTATTTACTTATCTTTAAAACGAGGTTGGGCTTGGATAGGATTAACGGAATGTTTGAATAATGTGAATGGGTACAGTTTTTACCCATGGAAGTATATACATGTATATATGGGTATATATGTATATATGGTAGTTTTAATTATTAGTATTTATTAATAATTAAACTGGTATTGTTTATCATAATTTAATATATGTTATAACTTTAGGGTTACGTGTATATTCTCACATATTTAGCCAACTTAGATTATAACTCTTGTGGTTGTTCTTTTTTTTTCTAGGATTAGAATTAGAATTAGGGTTTTAGTTTTCTAAACCTATAAATATATCATTAGACGTCGGCTTAGGGTTAGGAATCACTAAAACTTCATTCACAAACACTCGTTTACAAACAGAGAGTTATATAGAGAAAACAGGGAGAGAGATTGTAAGGAAAACAGAGGGATTTGCGGTCAGGGTTCGGCTGCGGATTAAACGATGGACCTAGGAGAAGGGAAGGTGGAGTAATAGGAGATTGACAGTGAATTGGACGTCGTCAGAAAATCTAGGAAGACGACGACAAGGTTTTTATTAAAAAACCATAGAGGCAAGTTCTTTCCTTTCTCTATCTCGTTGTCTGTGTTCTGTGCATCTTTAGACTGTCTCTAGGGTTTTAATTGATCATTAATTAAAGTTTACACGCTTGTTATATGCTAAATCAGATATCTGTATGCATGGAATTGTTCTGTTATAGTTCTTGTATCTCTGGGTTCTAGTCTGCGTTAGAAGCATGTTAAATCGGTAATGACTTTAATCACTGTAATTGATTTAAACTATTGTGAACAAGTCATGGGGGAGGATATTAGGTATATATAGGACTCTGAGGTTTAGTATTACAGATGAACAGAAGGTTGGGAATGGTCGGAAACGAAGCTGAAAGTCGAAACTGCACAAAAGTGGAAGGAGAAGGCTCTCAGAAAGGGAAAGCCGGCTCTGGGATGCAAAGAGCCAGCTCCCACTCTATTAGAGCCAGCTCCAAGGTTAAAGGATCCGGCTCTAGGCAGGTTGGAGCCTGCTCTAATTGTTTTAGGAGCAGGCTCTGTGATCCTATGTGTATACTGAAACTGTTTACGCGTTGGTTGGTTCAAACTGTGTTTGGGTTAATGTGATAGCTTTAAACATTAATTCATGGAGTGTTAAAGGCCTAGGATGCATTAATTTATTTATATGCTAATGTCTTAAACCGTAGGAAAATCTAAGTCGGAGGCAGTTTACGGACTTAACGGACCGGAAGGATTTAATGGTGCAAACTGTGTCTAAAAATTAAAAAGGGTTGGAATGTGGATTCCAAACAATATTACCATGCTATATTAGAGCCACCTTTAATAAATTAAGGTCTTGGTACTCATGGATTTAACCGTAGGAAAGTATACAACGGTTCAGGCGGTTAACGGATGGAAGGAGTTTAATTGCCTAGTTTAATTTTAGCAATTTCACGGAGTGTGTATATATTTATAAATCTTATTTTGGTTGCATGCTAGGATCATTTAATTAACAAGTTTGATCTATGCATATCTTGGATGTTAATGGTTGAAATACTATATTATTTTCTGAAATTACTTGGACTATGGATTTGGATTTTAATTGCTAGACTATCAAACTGTTTATGCAATTACTTAGATTAAATGCTTGGATTTTAATTGCTGGATTATTAAATTGTTTATGAAATTACTTGGATTATGGATTTGGATTTGTATTGCTGGACTATTAAACTGTTTTAGTAATTACAGGGATGGTATTTTGGGATTATAGTTGATGTATTGTTTCAATTCTATTTTATCAACTATTTGGATTATGTGGTTTTATGTGATGTACTGATTTAGTTGTTACATCATTTACGGATCCTATGCATGGTATACACCGGTATGGGACAGTGGTATACGGAGGGACGAATTAGATCAAAACGCTAATTCCAACCCATTCATACATACGGAATGGATTAACTAAAACAGTTAAATCCTACATGGTTTCATGTCCTGTCAACTAAAACAGTTGAACGACATATTAGATGGTTGTTTACATTTTCTGTTAATAGGAAGGATGGGGATTTAATTAAAACATTTAAATCCTAATTTTATGTCGTGTCATGGTAACAAACAGTTGAACGACACTACATTGGTTTGGATGGGAATTTATATATATAAATTATGGTACCGCGATATGAGCTTGAGTCTCAGGATCGTTGGTTAGGGTGCGTATATGCAGTGGATGCATAGCTCGCTATAGTAGGTTGAGGTGTACCCTGTTAGGTCTATGTACTCATGCCCACCTCTGGGTGTGTTTTCGTATGTTGCCTTCTATTCAGATTGAGACCGCTACTGTAACTCAGTGAATGTCCCTTAATGTGGATATATATATATATATTGTACGGACTAAATAGATATGGTTGAGACATCTAAGGTGTATCTGCGTATCGGGTCTCTGTTTGGATTGTAGTTAGGATAGAACTTGTTCGTGGGCCTGACTCACTATTATTTTTCAGGTATCGGACAGTTGCAGGTTCACGTAACATGGATTCCCAAGTTGTATTAGAAATAGAGAATTTGGATGTATCGGAATATTTCTTAATTTTTTATTCTGAGATTTCAATAGTTGGATTATCGTTGTAGATTATCATTGTAATTTCTTTTCAGCAGTTTTATTTATTCCTGTTTTCTTAATTGTATTATGTGTTCGCTAATTACTAATTGGTTTGATATCCTCGGGTAATCGGGCGTGGGCCTGGCCAACCCGCATCCAGAAATTCGGGGGTATCACAGCCTTATACCAATTGGAGTGACATACTTACATATAAGCACTTCACTTTTCTTTTACCCAGGCGATGTGGGACTGTGCACCTGTAGCTCGCCAATGTGGTAGCCTGACAGTGTCTCGCACCTGCCCATAGCACACCCGCCCACAGGGTCATCACAATCCACCTCCCTTGGAGGCCCGACGTCTCCGTTGGCACACTTCCGGCTAGGTTAGGCTCTGATACCATTTGTAACGACCCACTCTACCACATGGTATGATATTGTCCGCTTTGGCCCTGAGCCCGCACGGTTTTACTCTTGGGCTTTACCCCAAAAAGCCTCATACCAATTGGAGTGACACACCTACATATAAGTACTTCACATTTCATTTACCCAGGCGATGTGGGACTGTGCACCCGTAGCTCGCCAGTGTGGTAGCCTGACAGTGTCTCACACCTGCCCACGGCACACCCGCCCACAGGGTCATCACATCACTAAAACTACATGCTCTCGAAACCGGTCCGACTGTTCATCTTGCTCAATTGATGGGTATTGAGATGCTCTCCTTCCTCCAAGAACCTAGCAAACAACTCAACTAAAGCTCTGCTACAGAGTTTTTTTTTTTATTATAAGTAAAGCTCTGCTAGAGAGTTGTCTCTTTATCCGCATCACTTCTTCCTGCCGATCGGGTAGGCGGTGGCGACGATGGTGAGTGACTCGATGGGTGGTCACTTAGTAATGGTGGCTACGGCCGATGGGTGCAACCGGTGAGATCGGAAAGGTATTACGCAGTCGTCGGTGAAAGAGATAGATAAGAGAGTAAAGCTAAGTCGAATAAAGGGGAAGGGGATTGTGCGCTAGATGAACCAATCTAATATTGACATGTACTGTCGATTTTTAGTCGGGTAAAGATTAGTCGCCAAAATTAGTATTTTCCTAAATAAAAATAAAAAAGGAAATAAATCCTAAACTTGCAGTCCCACATACAAACCCCTGCCAATCGTCGTTAATCAAAATGAATTGAATTGTAGACATCATGACGCTGCATAAACCATGCACTCTACTAGCATCAAAAAGCCAATAAGCTTTTCTTTTTTATTTTTGATTTTTCAAAAAGCCTGTAAGCCACGAAGCCCATAGTAGTCATTTAACTTGTAACCCTACCCTCTTACACAGACAACGAGGGTTGAAATCGTAAATGTGCATCTCTTTAGGTCCCCACAAAATCACGTGTTCACTATTACCAGAGAGGCACAGAATATATATACTCTCATCTTCCACCGCAGTATCCCTGCAAATGCCATTCTCTCTCTTCTCTGTTTCTCTCTCTAAAAACACGTATATATCATAATCCGATGGAGAGACTGGTGGACGTGTCGGAGCAAGAGGTGCGCATAGACTTCCAAATAGGCTGCAAATGCCGAGCCAGTGTGCGACTCAGGTCTCTAAGCGCCACCACTCCAATAGCCTTCAAGGTCCAGACATCATCGCCCCACAAGTTCCTGGTCAACCCACCGAGTGGACTCATCCCACCCTTATCCAACTCAAACTTCCAAATTATTCTCAAATCCCAATCCCAGCTTCCTCCAACCTTCCCTCGCTCACCCTCCGATCGTTTCCTCATCAAAACAGCCCTCGCTCCTGACCTCACCCACAACACGTCCGAGACAACTCACCCCGAGTTCATCAACTCGTGGTTCAACTCGAGGCCCCACCAGTCAACCCACGACGTAAAGCTCAAGGTTGCCTTCGTGGGTCCCTTCCTTCTCCGTCACGCGGTGGCCAGCGACGACATCGACGCGGTTAGGAACATAATCAAGCGGCAGAGGAACATTGTCGCTGAGTTGCCCACTCGGGAAGCCGAGTCACTCCTCCGAGTGGCGACCGAGTTGCGCAACTCGGACGACATGGTGAACTTGTTAGCTGAAGCCGGGTTAAAGACTGAGTCGAGCTATGTTGCGAAGGGGTGGTCGGATGTACACGTGGCGGCGGCGTTTGATCGGACGGAGGAGCTTTTGAGTTTGATAAGAGAGAGCGAAGCTGGGTCGTTGGATTGCAGGGATAAGGAGGGGAGGACACCGTTGCATTTGGCGGCGAGTAAGGGGCACGAGAGGTGCGCTAGGGTGTTGATAGGTGCAGGTGTAGATGTGGACGCGAAGAGTAAGGACGGTCGGACCGCGTTGTATAGAGCAGCTGCCAATGGGAACCGTCGGATGGTGGAGATGCTTATTGAGATGGGTGCGGACCCCACACTCACTTCAATTGATCGTAGCCGCACAGCTCTTGATGTTGCCCGTGACAAGGGTCATGTAAGTAGCTAAACAACAAACTACTATTAAGCCAACCATATAAATTGGTAGTCTTATTGTGAAAATATTATTAGCCATAGACTATAGCAATTAGTGTCATTTAAAAAAAAAAAAAAATTCTCTATTAAATTTCGCAAATTAATCATATTAACATATAAGTAGTTAGAAAATTGGATGTATTTACTTATTTATTTATGTGAGTGGGTTAAGTATGATGCTTAATTGTGTCCGACTCTTGAATTCATTAACATAATACTTTAATTGAATATGATTTTTTTTTTTTTTGGGGCCATAAATGTTGTTAAAAAGTATGGATTAAATTATTAAAGTCACAAGTCTCTTAAATTACATTTGAATTCCATCCAAATGCATTCATTTTCAAATGTGGATTAAATGCGATCCAAATTTAATTCCAATTTAAATTCCTTCACAGAAAAGTCCAAAATTTTGATTTCTTAATGAAATCATTTCATTTGTTGTCCAAAACGCTTCCATCCTTCACATAGTGTAGAAATGACAATCTTGGAAAATAATGTAATATCAATGTTTGTTTTCAAAATTACCTTTTTGTATCCACAAGTACAATTTGTGCATAATGCATTGTATCTGTCCACAAGAATTCTTCCAAATTCTAAAACTTCCTCCGATTCCAATTACTATGTGTTGGTTTGGTGCTCCCAAACATAGCTTAGTAATATTTTTTAAAATTGGTTTCCATCGAGAATGGTAACTGTTAGATATGATTTAAGTGTAGAAAAAGGTAATTACCAAAACAACATAACAATTATATCCAATGATTACCATACTTGGTGTGGATAAATTTGTTGGTAACCGCTGAATAATGGATCATTTCTGTATACGGTAATATCATAATGTAAGTTGTAGTTGAAATTAATCATTTGGGTGCATCTCTATGGACCTTGGTGGTTATTTTAGTTGATGTAATGCCTTCGCTGCTATTAAGTTATACTTTTGTAATCCATTTTTTCTGATAGAAATATTTAAATCATGACATTGCAGAAAGAGATCGCCGAGATACTTAAACAGGGTGAAGCAGTGCTAAATGCAGCCAGACGCGGAGAGCTGGAGCGTCTTGAGTTGCTGCTGGAGAGAGATGCGAGTGTGAGTTACAGCGATCAGTATGGTCTGACAGCTCTTCACACGGCTGCTATCAAAGGGCACAAGGATGCAGTGATGATCCTGGTTGAGTTTGGATCGGGCTTGGAATGCCAGGATGTAGAAGGCCACACACCACTGCATTTGGCCGTAGAAGGTGGAAGCATAGAGACAGTTGAGGTGTTGATCAATAGAGGAGCCAATGTCAATGCCAAGAGCAAGAAAGGTGCAACCCCTCTTTACACAGCTAGAGCATTGGGTTATGATGATATAACACAGCTTCTTATTGACAGGGGAGCTTGTTCCTCTTTTCCCTCTTCATCATCTACTTCCTTGTCATCTATGCTATGATGAACTCGTATATGCACACACTTTTGCACCTCTGGATTGACTTGAAAGGTTTCGAAAATAAGGGTTGGGGTTAGTGCTGTGGAGAATCTGAACCGATCTTAGACCTCATTAAAATCGCGTTTTATACATGATTTGATTAGTTCGATTATTTAGCATTGAAAAGGATAAAAATATAGGCGGAAGTGCTTCCCCTCCGTGGAAAATTAAGCATCTTGACCTTATTTGAAATCGGGTTGGGCATTACCTAGTGGCTTAGTTGGTAGAACACCTAGCTCCTTAAGCGGGTGTGTCCCTGTTCTAGTCCTCTCCCGGCTGGCCTTCCTTAGTTTGCCCAAAAAAAAACAGGGAAATCAGGTTTGAACAGATTGCAGATAGCATATTCAACCCTTTGGGGCTGGTAGGGTGGTCTTTTTTCTTTTTCTTTTTTTAATAAAACATTTGAACCCTTTGTGGAGTTACAACACCTCCTTAATAATATGGTTCATGCATTGGCAAATGGACTCTATAGATGTCTAGCAGAGATGTTTGATCTTTTATGGGCATGCAGAACCGTATATCATGCATCTGGTTACTATAAAAAATAACTTGAGGAGCCAAAGTGGATTGGTATTGATGCCAAGGCAATCCTAGTATTTTGGAATATACATCAATAAAAATTTTATGTTTTGTAATTATAGATCATTGTATTTATTTTTTGTACTGGATTGATGAAAATGACTGATTGATAGAAAGTAAATCAGATAATTTTCGAGTGTCGTGACAAAATTTTCATTTAGGCTGTCGCACCTTTACCATGCATAATCAGAAAAGCATTATATGTAATTTTTTTCTTATTTTCCTAATGCTTTCTAAAATTTGTGGGGTATATATTTTTTGGTGTTTCAACTTTGAACTAAATTTCTTTTCAATCCAATATCTAATGCACCATTTCGTGCTTTCAAATATAATAAATAAGCGATTAAAAATTTAAATAGCATGAATGGAAATACTTCTCTTTAAGAACTTTCTTGAAAGGTAATCTGGACTCATTGATTCAAATCAAAAGTTTAAAGCAAGGTTTGAGCGCTGCAATATCTCTGAACACCAAATCCCAAATGGTTGAGCTTATTCCAACTCATGCAATTTAGTTGAAGTTGGCTCGCATAAAATTCTCGTTATTGCAAAGTCTGAGAGGGTTAAAAAACGGTTAAAACAAAAATATAAGATAAATTACATGTTATATCTGGTAATATTGAATTTAAAAGTGTCTTAAAACTGAAATTGAAGAAAAATTAATTTTTATTTATTTTTTTTTTTTACCTACAACTCCAATGCTATGTAACCAAAGTAACCAAACACTCTGGTCAGTAAGTGAAAACGAAATTGGGCCTACCTTTCCGTTTTAGTAGCAATTTTTTCTGCGATTCCAAACACCAGTTTTATGCTACCAACACCACAAATTATGAGTCAAACAGTGGAAAGGAAATTGCGCCTTCCTTTCCGTTATTTCCGTTGAACTCTCTTTCTTCTCTCTCTCTAAAAAATCAAGGCAAATCAATTCCTCTCCCTGACAAAAATGTCTCTCCTATTCCTTCATCTCCTCCTAATTCCACTCCTCACTCCACTCTCTGCATCCAGTACCACAACCCCAGACCGTTTCATCAAATCAATCCCACAATCTCTCCAACGCAAACACAAACCCCAAGAATACTTGGAACTGACCCATCCTCTACCGTCTGATCACCTGACCCCATCATGCTCTTCCCACGTACTCCATCAAGACTTCGGCTACACCATGGGCCTCCCTCCAGTTTCCGTCACTTACTCTCCACCGTCCGATTGCCTCTCCCCGTGGTCCCACATCGTCCTCGACTTCCAAGCCTCCTGCAAAGGCGAGCAATACGACCGCATCGTCGGCGTCTGGCTCGGCGGCTCCGAGATTCTCCGCACCAGCACCGCCGAGCCGACTCGGGATGGAATCTTCTGGAAGGTCCGCAAGGACGTCACTAGGTACGCCTCTCTCCTCCTACCATCGAACCTCACTTTCACTGTCATGCTCGAAAACATCGTCAACGACGTCTTCACTGGCGTTTACCACGTCAACATCTCTCTTCTATACTATAAGGATCAGGGAGTTAGGGTTGCGTCTGATCATCAAAACCTGAATGAAAAATTAGGGTTTGTGAATTCAGTCGACGAAGAGAGCAAATTAGGGAAAAACTCGATGCTTGTATATAGAGGACCTACCGAGGCATTGAATTTATATGAAACACCAGCTGATTTGATAATGCCGATATCGGGTGTCCGTGATGAAGGGTTTTGGTTCCGAATTGAGAACGAATCGGGTGTGAAATCGAAGGGACTTCGAATTCCTCTGAATTCTCGGAAACTTGTGCTTGAGGTTTATGTGTCATTTCATGGAAATGATGAGTTTTGGTACTCGAATCCGCCTGATTCATACATAATAACCAACAATTTGACTACAGGAAGAGGTAATGGAGCTTACAGAGAGGTTTTCGTGACTATTGATGGGAGATTTGTTGGTTCGGTGGTTCCATTTCCGGTGATATTCACCGGTGGAATCAATCCGTTGTTCTGGGAACCAGTTGTTGCCATTGGAGCTTTCAATGTGCCTTCCTATGATCTCGAATTGACCCCATTTTTGGGGCTTCTCTTGGATGGGAAAGAACATATCTTTGGGCTTGGAGTGGCTGATAGTATCCCATTTTGGCTTGTGGATGCAAATTTGCACATATGGTTGGACCATGGCTCATCTGCAGTCCAAGCTAGAACTGTTGATTCGTATACTCCGGCTGTTTCCGTAGAACGACGCTCCACATTCACACAGCTTGATGGATCATTCAGGATAGATGCACATAGGAAGAGTCGATTCTTGGGGTGGGCAATCACAGCTGCAGGCAACTTAACTACCCAAGTCCTGCAGCTATTCAAGTTCAAGAACTCGATACAGTTTCACCAAAATGGGACCTATAAATCTGTTAGACAGAGAGTGAGGACAAGAATTAACGTGAGAGTAAAATCCGATATGGGTAGATTGATCGCACGCACGAGTATCAAGAGGCAATACCCTCTCAAAATTATGACTGCAACGATACCCCAATCCAAGAAGAAGGATACTTATTTGATGGTCACAAATGTGTCTCACGCGTTGAGGGAGAAATCGACTCACGGGAAGCTTAAGAGCTCTGTGCATAACATTCAAGATTCAAGGGGATGGATGATGGTGAAGGATCACGATGTTCTATCTGGTGAAGCAAACACAAATCAAACTTTGACTTACAAGGACGAGTTTGGTTGCTACTCTCAATTTGTTGCATCTATCAATGGCAAACTCTACAGAGACAACTCGAGCTTTCTTTGTGCATCTTCTATCTAATTTCATTTCACAGTCGCTTTAACACTGTAAGAGTTCTTTGTCTTGAGAACTATTATTAGTCTCCTTATGTGTGTATGCATTTGTGTCCCTGTAACATATTTTAGGTTTCATAACACTTGTTGCCTTTTGGCTTTTTAATAAGATATCTTTGGTTTATTTTCTTGTTAGCAATGTTGTATGTTAATTTGTTGAATCTCTAATTCATTGAATGGATTATGTGTTTTTAACTTACTTCAAATCTTCAAGCAACTGTTGAAACCTATACTTTTTGTTGTAGATGTAAGAAGCTTCTTTTCGCTGCATAATATTTGTTATGATAATAGTACTACTGAATCAATAAGGATTCATGACTTAACTGTACAATGGGAGATGGTTATAATCTAATTGATATCAATTTATTAGCCCATGAAGCTTCATTCAATAGTTCAATTTGACCTAGTGCTGGAATGTTGAAGGTGCTTCAAAGTGCAACCATCTTCAACACCCGATTCTACAAAGATCAGAGGACATTGATTGTAGATTGTCATTCCAACTGGTTTATAAACCCTAACTTGTTTGAAGTATCAAGAAGTCAGTCCTGACTCCCCGAAGGCAGGTTTTACATGAAGAAGATTTGGTTCAGTATGTTCTATTTACAAGTAGGATTAGAACTTGAGACCGGGATACTGACTCTAATATCCCGGTCAATGAACACTTATTTTCCTTGATGATTGGAAATATTAATTCACTAGTGACCAGGTACTATATTGTTGGTATTCCCGGATACCCAATAATTTCTACATGATAATAATGTTCGTTGCAAGGTAAAAAACAATAATTCTGGTGTCTTTCCAAGAAATTTCCAAACACCATACATGTTGAAACACTGGAGAGTACCCATGGCATCTACAGAAGTTTGGTTTTTAACTTCATATAAATCTTTGTGGAAGTACTGCTTTGAGAGGACCACTATGTGCTAGTGTACATGTCATTCATTTATATTTGCAGCTTGCACAATTAACCCACAGTTAAGCCATCAATTTTACCCATTGGATGATGAATCTATCTGTTATGATTGTTAATTGGTTTTGGTGATCAAGTTGCATATGAGAAAACGAAAATTTGTGAAAATAGACTATCAATTTGATCCGGTGTCAGTTAGACTTCTGAAATAAATTTTGGATCCTAGCTTTATTCAACTTGGGCCCGAACGAATTGAAGTAGACTTCTGAACTATTTGGATCCTAGCTTCCCTCAACTTGGGTCCACACGTATTGAGGTTGAGAATCACACATATATCGTTTAGTGCCACGTATATGTGAAGAAAAAAAAGTTGCGATTAATATGTGAGTAATTGCATAAACATTTTAAATAAACTAGGAGGCAACATAAGAACTTGGGCCCATTGCCCACACAAACTGAAGTTTAGAATTAGAATCAAACGAACCGGTGAGCCCTCCGGTGAAACGTAGTGCGAGAAATACATGAAAAAAATCAAAGTTGCGTAAACGATATGAATTATTGTATAAGTGATCTAAATGAAATAAGACGTAACACAGGATAAAATGGTACAAGAGACTATCCAAATTGGTCTACCATTGTGTATTATATACTACTTTGTTAAAAGTTTTAATGATTATATAAAGTACCAAGCTCTTGTGAAGGAAAATTGCTTGCTAAACCCATTCCACACGCCATGTATAGTTTTGAAAAGAAAATTCTTCCTGAAAATTATTATCAAAAAAAGAAGAAGAAGTTTTTAGGTATAAACAACTACTTATATATATATAGAGAGAGAGAAAGAGAGAGAGAGATACTTAAATTTGTAATCGTTAACCCTTTTATATCTTTTTTTGGTAAGTCATTAATCCTTTTTATATCATGAAAATAGAAAAGCTATAATAATAGAATAACTATTATTGACACACGCAAAGACATATATATATCCCATATGGTGATTTTATTTTATTTATATATTTTTAAAATTTTTGTCACCCCATATCATAATATACTCTTAAGTAGTCTCATAAGTGAGAGTAAGAGTAAAAGCGAATTGAAAAGTGGAAGCGCAAATACGACAAAATTAAGTCACAAATTAGTATATAAAAAAAAATGAGAGCCTGCGTGAACGTGAGACTAGGGACGTGTTTAAAGCGTGAGAACAATACCCGTTCATCGAGAAGTATTGTTTAACTAAACTCTTAAAGCAATTTCTTCTCACAATAGTTGAGATCCCCTTAAATTTACATGTATTTTTGGTAAGTCCCTTGAATTTACATGCAGCCGCTTAGTGTAATCAAATAAATTGTTGTGGTGTTTAAATCAGATGGTCAGGTGGTTAGATCAGAGTATGCTTGACACCTTGGGGGTTTTATGGTTCAGACAGAGAGGTCATGTTTGGTTTGGATCATTTTAAGTGGTTTTGCTTATATACAAATGATTAGTAAATAATCAATCAAAATTGTAAATAGTTTGATAAAGTAAAATAAAGTTTATATTATAACAAAATATGTTTCTTATGTAAATAATGTTTTGATTTAAAAATAATAATAATAATTTGTCTTGAGAATCCTTGAAATAGTGAAATTGAGAAAATTTTAACAAGAAGCCCGTCTAGCTCAGTTGGTAGAGCGCAAGGCTCTTAACCTTGTGGTCGTGGGTTCGAGCCCCACGGTGGGCGACAGCTTTAAAAGATTTTTTATTCACTAAGATATTTCGTATGCTTTTTATGGACGACCAAATAGAGTTTTTATTTAAGCATTTTATATGGACGAACAAATAGAGTTTTATTTTTTGAAAATTTTTTTTTCACTAAAATATTTTGTATGCTTTGCTGGACGACCAAATAGGGTTTTTATTTAAGCTCTTTTTGGACGAATAAATAGAGTTTTATTTTTTAAAACAGAAGAAAATATATATATATAGATTTCTAGACCCCATAAAATAGAAGTCCTCTTAATCCGACTAATCCAGAGCACTAGGATTAGGGATTTTGTAGGGTACTTACTACTTGATGCTTAGTGTTTCCAAATGTCCCTTGTATTTATTAATTATGGCAGAAAACCAGTAGTCATAAGGTCAACCATTCTCGTTGGGGAGATCCTTTTAGTATTATTGATCACCAGGCATCAATTTTAAACATGAATGTTCCAAATAGAACTAGATTCTACTTGTTTCTACTTTTTATTTATGATAAGTTTCTAGCCAATCAAAAAAATTTATCACCACTCATCCATTTTAAACATGAAAGTTCGAAATAAAATTGGATTCTATTTGTTTCTACTTTTTATTTATGAGAGGTTTCTAGCAAATCAAAATTTTCTACACTTTGATTGAGGATTCTATATTACAGACGTGTATATATATTCTGTGCTCTCAAGTCTTAATATAATCCATTTATTCTATATTATACGCAGATATGCAAATCGATTCTCATTGACAAGGAAAACAAGATTTTAAAAAATGAGATTTTAAATCTAGGTTTTTGCATTCACGTGTCGAAGTGATATTGGCGAAGAAGATGGAGGTGTTATAGAAGAACAAACATGGGCTTGATTCTCACAATCTGAAATTCTTTATGAACTTATTTAGAATAATTTTTGTCTTGTATTTTTTTAATACAATAATTATGTATAATTGAGTTTTAATTTTGTGGTTGGATAATCGGGATAGTGTAAATATATATATATATATATATATATATATATATATATATATATATATATATATATATTTACACTATCCCGATTATCCAACCACAAAATTAAATATATAAGAAAAAAAAATATTTGATTCATATAAAAAAAATATTTGATTCATATAATTTTACTTTTTTTTTCATTAAAAAAAAAAAAAAAAAAAAAAAAAAAAAAAAAAAAAACCCCTTAAGAGTAAAAGAGAAAAAAAGATAATTAAAAAAAAAAAAAAATTTTTGAGTGGACATTATAGAAATATTTTTATATATACATCTAAAAACAATAATTTACTATATATATATATATAAATATATTATAGTGGGTTGGGCTCCCAGGAATTGCCTTTCTTTTTCTTTTCTTTTTTTTTTTTTCTAAACCACAACCATCTATAACCAAATGTTTAAAGATTTTAAACTGCATGAGATTCTCTAGTTGTCCTAGCAGCCTTTCCAATGATGATATGAGCCTCCACTTGGACTGATTTAGTTTCATTTCATTCATACAAAGTAAAAGGCATAAACTAACATAACATAATATATGAGATATATAATGTTATAACTTTACGAAAATTTAGTACCCGAATAAGGTTACAGTATAACAGATTTATCACGACACACCAGACCAAAGAGAACCAAATGGGGCAGTTTACGAGCAATAAAAATAACATCCAATGGCCGGATATAACATTTACAACAACTAGATCCAACAAAGCGTACAAGAACAAGTAATTGAATGATCCATCCCGTTTCAGTCAATCTATAGTTTAGCACTTCTAAATAACAAGTAATGGAATGATTTATTCAGTTTCAGTCAATCTATATTTGGCACTTCTAAATCAGATCGAGAGTGACCAGTCGTGACAGCTTATTCCATAGAGATAGAAATTGCAATCCTTTTGGATGTGCGTTCTAGACTGTTGCTGAAAATAAAGCTAATAAGAAAGAGGAATGTAAGAATTACTCTTTGGTTTCTTTGATAAACGAACTATAGGTCAACATTTTGAGATCGTGTATCATCATCATTCCTCAGCGCCGAATGAGAACTTTGTAGTAACTTACTGGTTATAGGCTTGTACTCTGCTTCTTCCAACTTTACATTACAGAGTTTATTGTAGTTGTGCTTTAAATGAGGCGCAACTATTCTTTCCTGAAGAAAAGCAATAAATTTCTTCAACAACAAAAAACCATCATCGCCAGAACTAAACTTTGAAAATAAGGATAACATAACGATACCTTGAAAACTTCAAATGGACAGAAATCGGAATTATCACAACCCTGTTCACAAAAAGAAGAATGCATCAAAAATGGGAAATATGTGATTCAGAGAGGGAATAAGGGCATAAAAAGAGCTTGAAGTGTACAAACCATACGCAAGATTAATTAGAGAAAGGTGATAAGAGAAATGAAGATTGATGATAAAAGCAAAAAGAAAATAAAACGAAAAAAAAAAAAAAAAAAGAAGAAGAAGAAATATGAGTGGAGTGTGCGGTTTCTAAATTTTCTGTTTTTACAAATTAGAATCTGTCAAAATAGAAACCACTTTACAATGCATTGGTGGTGCAGTTGGGATAAATTTCAAAGCCAGAATGAAGATATAAGTAAATGTGTGTGTGTGTGTGTATATTTCTAAGTCACAAAAGATGATAATCTATATAACATGAAGATGAAGTTGGAAAATATATGATATCTTAAAGTATTATTAATTGACAAAAAAGCTTACCGGCATAGGAATGGGATGTTCATTGTGTAGTACATGCACAAAGTATTTGCTTGAAGTGTTAGCTTGACAGCTGTAGAGAATCAGCATGTTATTCCCAGCAAAAGGTGCAACTTTGCTGCCCCGCCAATTTCTTCTCTGAGGAGGCTTTGGAGGGAGTTGCAAGGGTTGTTCTCTTCGTATGTGTTCAAACTCTGAAACATTCAGCAAATAACACCAAGGAGACAAAATAATTCATAAACTGGAGATTCAAATATGTAATCAGGGGACACCCAATTTATCAATTTATCCTGTAAATTACTAAGGGCTTATGTGGCCATTCTGTATTAATTATATGTGAAGTGGGTCATTTTGTACCAAAGAAGCCTGTGTTCGAAGAATTATATAGATATTACTTCCCCACCTAGGTACTCCAGGTTGGGAATGGATCCTGGTGGGGAAGTTATAGACACATTTCAATCAAAACACTCACCAGATCCTTCAAGAAAGAGTCCAAGCAGACATGAGAATGGAAGCAGAGTCTCCGCATGGGCAAACCGCAGTCTTGCCTTTTCATAAGTGCCAGGAGCATGTGCTTCTACCAGAGCAAAAAAGTTAAAAGTTTATAAACACAAATAATGCATTAACATATATAGCATCTATTTGTTAACATTCATTAACTGAATGTAAAGACAATTTAAATTGCAGAGAAATCTTGAAATATATGCTACAGTAAGGGAATCAACTCCTAATAATTGTATTAATACGGCATTTATGCAAAGATAACAATTAACAACAAGAAGATAAATATCATAATTTTTTCACAGTAAGATGCAAATACCCTTATAAGACAACTTATACTTCAGTATGATCATATTATTGGCACCCAGGGCAGTCTTAGCCTGCTCATAATGGTTGTGGTCCATGCCAAATCAGCTAGAATCATCCAACTCCAGGGAATCAAAGGAAACAGAAAGTTCTTCATTCCATTCACTACCTCTTAAAATTCAAACCTCCTCCATCCAAAAAGGTTCTACCATAATGTGATGGGAGAAAGGACATGGCATGCAAGGTTGTAAATGGTGAAATGGAAAATTTAGAATTCATAGGAGTAATATTACCTTCTTTAGCTTTAATAGCTTCCTCCATTGACTGCACGACGTTTTCAAGCAATGGCATTCCCATTCGGTAGTTTAATGAATTACCATAACCCTTCAGTATGAATGACTCCAAATCATCCGTCCACTCTAGCAAAGTCACCTAGATGTAAAAAAATTCCAGGCTAATAAGCATATGTCATGCAAGAAAGAAACATGGTTCTTCAAGTATTACACTGAACTAGCATTATACTAGACGTGTACAGGATTTAAAACCAGACAATCATAGACCAAGAAAAGCACATAGTCAGGAATAACCTATGCAAAACACAAGGTAAGAGAATCAATTAAAAAGTACAAACCCTTCATACCTCAGAAGGACTAAAAAGAGCACAAGCCTGATCAGTTATGTCCAACAAGGATGCTTCCTGCCAAATTGAAAATCACAACCGGACAAATGAAAACTAATTAAAAAGTTAGGTTTCATCAAAGTATGAAGACAGACAAGTAACTACCTGTTTGCACAGAAACCACAGAGATGAAGTATCATCTCTTGTGAAGTTCAGCTCGTATCGCCTCGCTAGTGAGTAAGTAATTTCGTCCAATATAGGTTCCTTCAGCGTATTAACAGCAGGCTCCTGACTTTTCCTAAAATTCTGCAGCCACAGAAAGAAACAATAAAGGGCAAAGCAAATGCGCTGCAAGCTTGCAACTAGACACCAAACAAAAATCAATACTAAAGCAAATTTTAAATCTTGAATGCCTTGCTTAAGTATTCTTGACAAATATGAAGCCAAATTAATAGGCGAGGCTAGATAAACTTCAGCAGCACAAACATTTTCTTTTATTTGGAGGGGTGTATGTGTCTCTGCATGGTTGAAATATATGAGGTGAAATAGAATGCGTTCATCAAGAAGTAAATAATAAGCAAATTGATCTTTGTCAAAATTACTGTAACTAGTACATTCATCCTTACAATTATGCACTGCGCCTCCTTTTTTTCTGGCTTTCCTTTTTTTTTTTTTTTTCCATATTGAATGATTCCAATTTTTCTAATATCTTAAATTTTATAAGCAGAAATATATACAATAATGAATAGAAATATAATAAAATACAGAAATTTTAGAAGAAAAACAAAGGGAAAGGCCATAGTACATCTCTTGACATGTATATACACTTGGTCCGGTGCTTTTGCATTTTTAATTATATAGCTTTCAAAAATAATTGGACTAGTTCATGTTTCACAAATACTGGTTTTCATTAATCTTGCACTGATTAAGAGGAGCATTCTTGCAATTAGAACTTCCAATCATCAGCTCAACCTAGGCCTATCCCTGTGGTACCAAATTCTAGAGTACGTCGTTTTTCATGTGTCGATTCTCGTTCCAATTCCACGTGCCAAAAAATATCATGTTCCAAGTACCATTGAAAGCCATATTGTACTACCTTTAAACTCCTTCAGCTAGTAACCATTTTGCAATCTATCTAAATATTAAAAATCTGTCAAAGTAACTATTATGTGTCCAGAGCACAAGGCAGTCAGAAAGGTGTAATAGCTCTTCCACTGAGCACATGTGCAATTAAGTCAACCAGCAAGCCTGCACATCAAATTGTCTTAATAGAAGCTACCCCTTCTATGGAAGGAAAAAGTTAATGCTAGATATTTTACACCAATATGTGAAAATGATTATTGTGTCGAACGTTTTGTCTGAAACTATAATCTTTGAACATTAGAATTTAAGAATTACTGCTGGAAACTAAGGGTATGGTAAAACCAAATGGATAGTTGTCTTGTCGAAAGAAAAGCCTTGTGGAGCAGGTAGAGCCTAATGTCCCACTTCTAGGGATCATGGTCCTTCCAAATGGGAATAAACACATTTTCAGGTGAAATAAGAATACATGAGAAGTCCACTCGAAATTTCTTGATTTTTTTGTAAGATGAACACGAAAATTATTTCATAAGTGCATATCTCAGAGCAATCTTTAACCGATTTGCTTCAGACAAATTGTCCCTTATTAGAAAGCCTTGACAGAAAATTATCTAAATAAGCAAGGTATATAAATTCAAATCAATAGTATACATGTACAAAAAAGAGAGAGGAGAGAGGAGTTACTGAAATTCATGAAACAGCCAGAATACAAAAGTCTAAATATGGATGATAAAAAATATAGAGTGGCAAAAGAGTGATTAATCAGTGGTATGGTAGCAAATAATGGCCAACAATATATACCAAAATGGATGTTTTCTATAGAAATGGAAGTGGCTTTTTCCTTATAATAATTATAAAAAAAAAAGAAAAAAGAAAAAAGGGGGTGCTTCAATCACAATAAGAACTTGGTTTACAGGATAATCAAACCTTAGAATCCTGCACCAGGTTGATGCAAGGGATAAAAAGTACAAACCACTGATGTGTTTGACATGTGAGCTGACAGACGTCAATCACGAGGCTAAGTGAATCCCCGATATTCACAGGTTTCTATGTTTAACATAAGCAGAACTTCTTACAAGATCTTCACACTTGTGTTTTGCAAACTGCGTAATTTTGGGCTTGCTTGGGAGATTTATGCGCGTTCACAAATCAAGATCATCTAGTAAGTTATAAGGATTTCACTCAAATCGCGAGAGAGAAGAAATTGGTATCTCATGTGATTATTGCCTTCATTACTTGCTATTATGATTGTAATTTTCTTCATAACAACAGCAGACAGACTATTATAACAAAAATGAACCCAAAAAGTTATAATTATTCCCCACTCACAATGATGTTAAACCAAGATACGTGTACAGGTTACAAAAAAATATTATGAAAGCTCAAAGTAAGGTTCAAATAAAATTAGCAAAAGAAACAATGTATCTGTAAATTCTTTAAGAGTTCACTGGTTGAGAAATGTAATATTGACTATATCACCCAATTCTTGACACAACCTATATGCACATGGGGCTTACTATCGAGCCATATTGAATATGAAAAATCAAGTCTGTCTCACTTACCACTTTTCTACCATAGTAACCTGCTTCCAAGTTGTCCTTGAACCTTCTACACATATCTTCGTTTATTAGTTTTTAAAGCATCCATATTGAAATGACAAATTATCTATTAAGAAGATTAAAATGAATGATACAAATGTCCACTATGTGGCATGCAAGTGCAACTGTACTCTAATGTATTTAAGTATTATTGTGCTTGTGAAATACCAAGAGAAAAGTCCATGCATGTACCTTGTAGTTTTGACAACAATCATGAAATCTCAGAATTGTATCACTTGCACGACTTTCACTGGTAACTGCAAAAGCTCGATGACGCCCTGGTCCAAGATTTCCTCTGCCACTAAATAACCCCATGCCAAATGCAACAGCACTGGCTGATGCCCGAGGTATCTACCTCATCAAAAGGGGGAAAAAAAAATATAAGATAATGAGTTTCTTGTATTGGAAAAACAATAAGAAAAAATAATATCACATTCAGTGTGATGCAAATTGCCTTCAGTTGCTCAAGAAACTTCTTCTGCGAGGAACCTTGAGCCCAAGGGCATTAATGATAACAAACTTTTGTGTGCCAAATGTTCAACAAACTCCAATGTGTACCAACTCCATTTGAGTATCATCAATAAAGCAACATCTCAAAGAAGGTCCCTCGCATAATAAGTACATAAAAGAAAAACTAACTACAACCAACCTGTGTTGCTTTTATTGCATATATATCTGGGGAGTAATCCTCATTAAACAGTTCTGGAAATCTTTCTCTAACTCTAATCCCAAGATGATATAGTTCATCTTCTCCTTTGCTAATCAATTCTCCACCCTCGAGCTTCCCTTTCCAAGGAGATTCCCATCCCCATAACCAGGCAGGAACTTTCTGCAAAGACAACTTCTGTTCTTTTGCATCTTGTAGAAGTAATTCCAGGTGAGAGGCCAAATTGTTTAATACTCTCATTTTCTTCTTGGTAGGAGCACGAGTTCCATGCCTTGCCTGCAAAGACGAAACTTTCCATCAAACAACTTGCTATAAACTGGCACTGCTAACTGAACTCAGCATAGAAAACAAAACTCTGAAAAGAAACAATTGGAGATCTCCACAATGATGCCAAAAGAAATATGCAAGCAACGAAACATCATAGCAAATAGCATATTGAAAACTAGCTAACAGTTTTCAGCATTTCTAACGCATCCATGTCTATTTAGGAGGCTGGGAACCTACCGATGATCACAAGTGCCTGTGGAAAAGGCTTTTGAGGTGTGACTGCAGCCAAACCCACATAAATAATTAATCTGCAAGTAGTAGGTACTAGGTATATATGACCACGGTCATTGTGAGACAGATGGCACAACCAAAGAAGTGTGTGATTGAGCCCCATTGCAGGCCAATGGTCATATAATCCCTATTAGAAATGTCGGACCCTTGAGAGATGCAATGAATGGGAGGGCAAGCTGAGAAAGTAGCAACCTCACTAATTATGCACCGAGATAGATGTTAAGATCAAAGATAGATAGATATTAGGATTGAAGATCATTCTCCATCTTGACCAAGTCATAAAAATAGATAAGCTAATGAAGATATTGTCTTCTTCGTGGGTTTTTTTTTTCCTTCATTTTTTGATAAGTAATATTGTCTTCTTCTTGATTGGTAATCCCAAAGCCAATTATAAAGAGGAAATCATAAATAATTTTGTGAAAGTGACCATGAAGTCAACCTATGACAAACGTTAGTCATTTTTAAATTCAAAAATATTATATGCCAAGGTCTTTCATACTACCTTCACCTCAAACATTAGCACCAACATATACAAAATAAGCAAAGTGGTAGGGGTACTAACACCACATAATCTGCTATCTTTGCGACATGTGGTGGTGGTGGTGTTTTAGCACCACATGTAATGCAAGCAATGGAAAAAAAAAAAAACTGATGTATCAGTATGTATCAGTAAAACTGATGTTTACATGTGCAAAATTGATGCAATATCCCAAGCCATAAAATATGTGCATATCTTTACTGCGGCTATATCAAACAGATTCCTGAACATTGCTTCAAGTAAAAAAAAAAATCTCTCTCTAAATGTTTCGTGTACTTTTCTATTATCAATGTTGTCTGAAATCAATGATCTCGAACTAACTAGGCAATACGCAGCAAAATTTAAAATCTGATGCATATTAACATCAGTAAGCTGCACTCAAAAAGATTGCTGATAAAAGGTGATCATGAAGTACATATATGCAGAAATATAGCACAAAACTCAGTGCAGTTGAATCTATTCAAGTATTTCTACAGCTGTGTAAACATGGAAGAGCACTCGCATTTAGTCCTGTGAATAAAAACTAACAAGCCATGACAGGCTGGTAGCATTATGATACCATTTTCTATATTAATAAATTAAATACTTTATGTAACAATGCCATGACACTTATAACTAGTGCTTGTTGACTTAGATATGCATAATAAAAATAATTGACCAACTAAATAGATCCATAGCAGCAAAATTTGAGGTTGTTAATGAAGATTACCAGAAGATTTAAATGGATAGGTGTACACTGATCTGGAATTGTAGAAGGTACAAACAAATTCTCAGAAATGTCTCTCGCAACACCATAGCTGAAATATAAAAATAAAAAAAATACATACAAAGGTAATCAATTAAAAAAAAAAAATTCCATTAAGGGGGTTAAAAATCATCTAATAGTGTACTCTTTACTTCCTTCTAAACAACAAATCATCTAATAGTGTGCTCTTTACTTTTTCTAAACAACACCACCATGTGTGTGCTAACTATAATAGTAGCTCCTAGAGGGCATAAACACACAAAAACACAAAATAGTGTGAACAAGACAAACAATTAATTAAAAATTGTTTTTACAACAAGCAATGTGAGTGGTTTACTTACAGTGGCTAATTGGCTATACCTAACTTAATTCTCAATTTTTCCAAGAAAAGTCGGAAATGGAAAATTTTAATTTTAAATCTTAGCCTCCGTTTGTTTCAGCTTAAAACATTTTTCATGTAAGAAATTTTACATGTAATATATATATATAAATAAAATTGAACGTTAAATGTAAAGCAAAATTGAACGATTATAGATACTTTTAAACACAAATGTAAATCAACCTCTGATTGGATCGGAATTGTAAATGTACAGGAAAAATAAAGAAGATAATCGATCAGGAATTAAATCAAATCCCAAAATATATTATGTTTGTATTTGAAAATATATAATAAGTGATGGAGAGAGCGGAATTGTAGAAGAGAAACCTTGATACAGTTGAGAGATGTTGCCGAATGTCGAAAGCTTCTTCAGCATTGGAAAAATGTACAGTTATGCATAGGCATAGTAATGGTAGAAGAATGGCGGCCATCGCCTTCCTCATCGCCTCCGTGTTTCACTTTCTCTCTCTAGAATAGTCAGATTGATTTAAATCTGTAAGTAAAGCAGTGAAATTCTCTAATTTACGTGTATGAACGGTTCTAGGAGTTACCTGTTGAGTTGTTAATTTCTTCAATGAAATGTTGAGTTGGCAATTTGGCACCACGCAATCTGCGAAAATCATTAGTCCCGCGAACTCTTGATTAGGAGGTATTTAGGCATGGCAATCATAACTCAACACTGAACGTAAATGTGTTTTTTTTACGTGTTGAATTGTGATACGCTTTAGTTTCCCGTAAAGAAAGTTTTTTTCCGAAAAATTGTGACTCAAGAGTCAAGAAAAACATTTATTTTGGAACAGCAGAGTAATAATTTTCAGAAAAAAAAAAAAAAAAAAGAAAAGAAACCGGCGATAGTAAATTTTGATAATTTGAATAAATTATTTTTCTTTTCTATTTTTTTTTTTTTTTTTTTGTCAATTCTTTATTCACTAAACAACCTGATTCTGAACTATTTAATAATTTTTTTTTGGGACATATTGAGTTTCTTAGTTTTATATTTTTTTTTTCATAATTTGAATTATTTCAATTCAATCTGCAATTTTAATTGGGGGTGACAAATTTTGACACTTCCCGCCAAACATGACTCGATTACAACATGAGGTAAACGAATTTGGGTTGATCTTAATAAATTTTAGTAACTCGTTTACTTAATCGTGTCATGTTAGGGTTGAAGAGTTCAACTCGTATAACACATTTATACCTGTTTAGCTCAATCTATCATAATCGTGAATATAAGATACGTAATTTGTTACATGTTTAGACCAAATTATTATGGACAATTAAGTCGTTAATATAAACTTGACTACGCCTTATGATTTTTATTTAAACATTTGTATTATATCTACTTGGCTAGGAGGGCGGGGTGATATTTTTCTTCTTACTTTGAATATTTGGGTTAATCGAGACTTATATTTTTTACAGTATTTATTGTTTGGTTGAATATTAAATATTTCGTTTTGATAAACAGGTTCGTTTAATAAATAAGAGGGGTTAATGTTAAGAATCTTTAACACGATTATTAAACGAATTGTGTTTGAATTTACTTGTTTAGTATAATACTATGAGATTGATGTGATTTGATTTATATCCGTAAACACAAATTGTGACCCCTAAATTTAAACCATTTTATGTGCAATCCTAGTTTGAAGTTTGGACAAAGTTAAATTTAACCCTTCCACATTCATTTGTAAGCCTCCACACAAAATTATGGTTAGATATAAATTATAACGGCGTTAACAGTTATAGTAATGATATTTACTATGTTTTTTAATAATAAAGAAAAAAATATGTGATAAATATGTGTGAACTTTTCTTCGACAAAGAGAAAAAAGAATTTATTATATTGAATTGGCTATTTAACATTTGGCCAGTGATGATTCATTCATTTAATTAAATACGTACTTAATCTATTCACAATTAAGTACTAAATTAAGTTATCTAACAATACCTTTAAGTCTCACCTAATAATAAGTTTACCAGGTCCAAGTAAGCCCGTCAAACCAATGGTTTTGAAACGGGGTATTGTTAATTATAATTTGATTTAAAAGCATAAAAATCACTACTTTTAATTTGAGAAATTAACGCATAGGTGATATTGTTGAAATATCATGACATATAAAGAAAAAAAAAAAAAACTATAATTTAATTTTTATAAAATGGATGAATTTATATTGATAAAAAAATTTGAATTTTGAATGAATTTATAGAAATATTGGACATATATAACAAAAGATTGAATCTCAAAGAAATATTCTAATGACAATCTTTTTTCGATAGTTGTTCCAAGTGGGAGGTATTGTTTGTGCCTGGTAATTCCTCCTTCAAATATCCGACAAAAGTTTATGTTCTCATTGGATTTGAAATAGAAAAATTAATTATTTTCATTCCGAATATAATTGCATCTCCATTTCTCGTCATAAGGTTTAGCTTTTTTTTGGGGGGACTTTATTATTATTTTTTTAACGCGGCTAATTATTTACATAATGTGGATACTTTCTTCACCACTTAAGATGGGCCTGGATCTAATTTTCTTACAACATTTTTTGGGCTCACTATTGAACCTCGCAAACCCAGTGCACGATCAGCCCAAAATATTCACCTGGATCTAATTTTCTTACAACGTCTTTTGGGCTCACCTCTATTTAACCTCGCAACCCAGTGCACGACCAGCCCAAAAAATTCATTCAATTAGGGTTTTGGAAAAGGGTTATATAACTTGTAGCCCCCCCCCCCTCTCTCTCTCTCTCGTTCTTTCACTTCTTGCAGGGTTGACAGAACAGCGGTGGCGAGGAGCTAAGATCTGCAGCGAATAAACCCAAAATGGTCCGTTCTTCTGTTTATCCGTTTTAATGCAATCTATTTTATCCATATACATGTCTATGTATATATATATATATATCGCGTTTGGGTATATATTGCTTCTCAATTATTCACTTGCTTATAAACCTGATGAGATGTTAAAGAATACACATATGTAATTTACGTATATGAACACTTGTGTGGGTCGTATATTGCTTCTCAATAGTTGCTTATAAACCTAATCAGATGTAAATGCATACAATATATAATATATGTATATGTTTATGTAAAAGCTTGCCCACGTAGTCGGATTTATCCAGCTACTGTGTACCCAAAACAATGCCCTGTGGGTGGCACTGTCCTTAACCAAATGCCTAATTGCAGCAATTATATGAGACCACAAATGAGATGATCCTCAAGTTGTAAAAAGAAAAGTAAAACAAGAAATCCATCGCTAATGAACTGAAAATCCTCAAAACCGGGTGCAAAAGCTTCAAAATATGCAACAGAAAGGCTTTCTGATGCATCACCAGCAGCACCAGCATCAATTTGAGGGGGGTATCCGGGGTATCAGAGGAGATGATTCACATACCCAAATTAGAGATGATTTGATGGGTTGTAAGATTGCTTGTAATTAGGGAAATTGGTTGTAGATACCAAAATGATTGGGATATGCTTGTTGTAAACATGCCTTTAGTTAGTGTGGAGATGGATACTGGATTGTTGAAATTGAGAAACTAGGAAGTCGGGAAATGTATGGTTTATACTAATACCACGGATGCATATATTCCATTGGGATAAATGCAGGAATTCGTGAAAAGGGGGTATCTTATAGTTATGGTAGATTAATACACGACCTGTTCAAGAGTGTTCAAGAGACAGTCGCTTCTTAATCGAAACGCCACTATTCTTGAACAACTTGGATCCAGCCTTATTTTCTCACTATTAAAAATCGGATTCAATTGTCAACTGCCCCTATCGGAAATGGGAATGGTGGCGATTGCTGATAAATATTAATTGTAATTGAAAGTTTTTCCATGTCTATCTTCATTTCTTCTTTTAATTTGTTCACAAAGTAGTGAAATATATCATATAAGCATTTTAGTCACCTAGATAGTTGTTCAAAGTTTGTTTAGCACTTGTATACCTTTTAAGTTTGATGGTATTTAGAAAGAGCCTCATGACCGTCCTATTTCAGTTGTTTATAAACCGACTAAAAAAGCTTCCATATTTTTATTCTTGTCTTTCCCCTTCCATACTTGAATGTGTGCCTTCAAACAATTTTTTTCCCAGCAAGCATATTATGGAAATATGTATTTCTGATTATAAAAGTCATCAAGATTGCCAAGTAACTCGCCAGTGTTGTCCTCAATGAAAACATGTCTTGAGAAAAATTAAATATAGATTTTAAGTGGGATGCTTATTGACTAACATTGGTCAACCTCGGAAGAATGTTTTGACCATGATAATTGGTACCATAAATTTTGAACTCAAACAGGGACAATTATGATGACGTGGATATTAAAGTACTTATTTTTCTCTGTCTACGTCATTTGGTTCTTTTTCGGTATCTAATATTATTGTATCTTGATTTTTACATATGCCATATAGTTGAAGGTAGTTGTTCAGATTAGATTTTTGTGTTGTTAAACTTCATGCTTACGGGCTATGACAGGCAAGAGGTCTGAAGAAGCATTTGAAGAGGCTTAATGCCCCAAAGCATTGGATGCTTGACAAGCTTGGAGGTGCATTTGTAAGTCGAACTATCTCTACATGGTTCCCTTTTCCTCCGATACATTAGAATGCTCTCGTAGCATGTAAAAGAATTGAATGCTTATCCAAAATAATTCTTCATGTAGGCTCCAAAGCCATCATCTGGACCTCACAAATCCAGAGAATGCCTGCCATTGATCCTCATCTTGCGAAATCGATTGAAGTATGCTCTCACATATCGCGAGGTCATTTCTATTTTGATGCAACGACATATTCTTGTGGATGGGAAGGTTAGGACAGATAAAACATACCCTGCAGGATTCATGGGTATGCACAGTCCTACTGTTTTTGTTTATCATTCCTTTTCTCCATGTCTCCGTCTCTGTCTCTGTCTCTCTCTCTCTCCCTCTTCTTTTTTTTATTAATTTTTTTTTGGTTATATTATCACACTTGTTTCAATGGAATACAGTATTATCTTTATGGGAGAAATTTGTACTCACTACGGCATTAATTACTTTTCAGATTGTTAAGTTCTTGTACCAATGAATTACTTATATATAAAAAAAGGGGTCTTGTACCAATGAATGTAGAATACAAAAGTTACCAACTGATAGGTGCTAGATGGTATTTTTGGTGGAATTTTTAGAATGATATGTTGTCTGTCAGTAGTTTCATACCTATTAGATAATTGCTACCAGCATCGGGGGAAGCATAATTGTCAATGCCAAAATGGTTATATGATTATATCCATCTTGGTGAATTACAGACTCCAGCATCTTTACTGCAATTGTATATGTCACTAACTTTTAAAATCTAATTCTTTGAATATGTTGGTGGGAAATGTTATATTTCACTTATATTGTACGTTTTCTATTGGCAGATGTCGTATCCATTCCCAAAACAAATGAGAACTTTCGTCTCCTTTATGACACCAAGGGTCGGTTCCGTCTCCACTCAATTAGAGATGAAGAGGCAAAGGTAAGTCTTTTGCAATCCTCTTGATCTGGTTCACAACTATCTTTTTGCCTTTGAAGAAGAAGATACAATTAAGCTATGCCAAAATGAATCAATTTAATCTCTCTCTCTCTCTCTCTCAGACAAACACACACAAAGACGAACACACTTGTATTAATACCTAATAATATTCACGGATCTTTGTAATTCTTAAAAATAAATTTTCGCAAGCCCAAAACTCTTGAAAATGTGTAGAAAAACTAAGACATATGTGAAGCACTTTAAATTCGAAAAAGTCCACCATATGGGCAAAGTGGGTGTGTCAATTATTTGCAAGGACCAAAATAAATTTAATTACTCACATTTCAAAAATTCATTAACGTGAAAAATGTTTAGTTTAGATTAGCACGTCATAATATTATTATATATAAAACTCATTTCTTATTGTCATGTATTACGTTAAATTATTCAATTTGCATTAGGGAAAAAAATATGCTTTGGAGTTGTTATGTGTTACGTTAAATTATTCAATTTGCATTGGGAAAAAAAAAAATCTGCTTTGGAGTACTTGGATCAGTCAGCTATGAAAGGCTCTACGATGGAGCTGTAACTTAATAGAAAAAACAAAAGTGCACATTAATATTTGTACAGATGAATTTACTGACTTTTAGAGATGTATCGTTGGCAATGGCTTGCAGTGGTGCCTTTTGTTCTAAATATTGTTTGTTATCTGCAACTCTTTATAGCAAAATATAAACCAAAAGAAAGTATATATACAAGTAAAACAAACCAATGTCAATTTCATACGAATTTAGAAAGGGGAATTGGATAAATTAGTTTTTGGGAGTTGATTAGTTTGAAGCATTTTATAAGTTATTGTAGGGCCAAAATAGGAAAAATTGGACATAATTGCCCCATTTAGGATATTTAAGGGGGGTAACAATGTGTATTCTGTTACATCACTTCATAGTTCAGCCTTATGCCTTAACTTATCAAAAGGTATGCAAAAATAAGGTTCTATTGTAGATTTGTAGAATTAAGAGGTAAATCAGGCTTCAACAAATTTTGTGATCTCAGAGGGTTTTAATAATGATTCTGCCCTTCGGGGAATCTTTTTTTTTTTTTTCCCCGGCTTTTGTCTCATCTCATGTGTCATTATGCAAAGTTGGCAAGTTCATTGAAAGTTAGATGCATAATTAGATGCATTCTTTCGATAGTTGTTTGAATTATAATTCTGTTATTTTCTATCTCATTTTGCATGTCAAGAAACTCTTCAGCTGAGTCTGATTTGTTTAGTATTTCTCTACAGTTTAAGCTATGCAAAGTCCGATCTGTGCGGTTTGGGCAGAAAGGCATCCCGTACGTGAATACTTATGATGGTCGAACCATCCGCTACCCAGACCCACTCATCAAGGCCAACGACACCATCAAGCTTGACCTGGAGAGCAACAAAATCACCGACTTCATCAAGTTTGATGTTGGGAACGTGGTCATGGTGACAGGTGGAAGGAATAGGGGTCGTGTGGGAGTCATCAAGAACAGGGAGAAGCATAAGGGGAGCTTTGAGACTATCCACGTCCAGGATGCTACAGGGCATGAATTTGCAACTCGTTTGGGCAATGTGTACACCATCGGGAAGGGGACAAAGCCATGGATATCTCTTCCTAAGGGCAAAGGTATCAAATTGTCCATCATTGAAGAGGCCAAGAAGAGGCTTGCTGCTCAAGGAGCATCCACTGCCTAGACTTCAAAAACATCATCTGATGTAGTTTGGAATAGTTTTGTGTTTCTGATTTTGTTTTGTCGTTATTCAATGCTGGTTTTATGCTCAAACGTTCTGGGAACAGTTTCCTTTAATTAATACTGAATGGCTTATAAGGTTTTTTCTCGGAAATTAATACCTATTGAGGTTTCAAGCATAATTAAACTTTATATTTTGTTGAAGTATAATATTCCTCTGCTGTCACATACGATGACGACCTGCAGAGTCAGTATGCATGATTTAAAAGAAAAAATGATTTTAAATAGTTAGAATTACTAATATGTGTGAAATGACTTGGATATGAAAGAATGAGGGGTTAAGTGCATAAACCCCCCTAATATAAGGTTTTGTGCACAAAAAGTTCATTCTTTTTTAAAAAGGTGCATTTTAATTTATAAAATTTTAAAAAAAATGTGCAAATAAATCCCTTAAACCATTTTTTTTTTTTTTTTCAAAATTAGCATAAAATAAATTTTAAAATCCTAATTTACCCAACCTCCCGGCTGCCACAACAATTGGTGGTGCCGCACCGAAAGCCGCCACCCCCACACCCACACCCAATACTATTAAAAAAAAAACTTCAAGCTCCTCTTTTGTTTAAATCTGGATGCCCACTCTCATCATCAAACCCACCTCTCTCTCTTTCCCTCTCTTCATCTCCATTTCTTGCCCCCGAAAATCAATACCCATTCTTCATCACCAAACCAACGGTGGACTCCTCATAGAAGTAGTCTATGAAAACCAAGTTCCAGAGAAGATCTATGGACATGACTAGCTAATTGGAGATTATAAACAGAGACTTATGGTGGAAATGATTAAGCTTACACAACGGCGTCGCTGCAGTTCGGTGAAGACCTAGTTCGGTGAAGTCTATAGAACCAATGCGGTGAAGCTTACACAGCGGCGTCGCGGAAGTGAGAGCGCCGCAACCAATGTCGAACAACAAAGCCCTGATGGCGCTGAGGACGTTAGTAGAATCCGAACGGCAAGGGGCTTTTCTCGCTGTCAGTGACTCATCGTCAATGTCGACGGAGGCGCGATCGACGATGATGGTGTCGTATGAGGGGAAGTGGGGGGAGGTGGAGCTTGGGGTCGAGTTCTCTGACCTCAGTGAACAAGCAGGTGGAGGAATCGACTTGATTCTGTTGGATTGGGAAATTAGGGTTTTGATGGAAGCGGGTAGAGGAGGATGTGGTGGTGGTGAAGAAAATTGCAGGCGTTGAAGAGGCGACCGGGTCTGTATTCCCAAAATTAAGGTTTTGCAGGGGTGGAAGAGAGGCTAAAATAGTAATTTTACCTTGCATTATTTTTTTAAATATTATTTCATTTTACGGATAAGAGTGTATTTTCTTGTTTTTATGCGAATGGAGAGTATTTGTACTAAATTAATTAATAGTACAGGAAGCTTTATACCATAGACTTTTTTGCACTTCACTCAAAACAGGGAAGCAATTGCGAATTTATTTATTTATTTTTTTTTTATTTTCTGCTCAGTGCTAGTTGCTTCAATTTGAATCACTGAAGCACAATCAACGTGATGTTTTATAGTTATTAAGACACTCGTTAATTTTTTTTTATTTTTTTTGGCCCTATCCTTTCCGGATTCTTAGATTGTTCTTGAGCCAGAATTCTGATTTTATCTGGTCTAATATTGATCACATTTTTGATGAGACTAATTTTGACTTGTTACAAAACTCAATGTACCGTTGCGTCCATCATGCACTTGGCCCTCTTACAAAAAAGGTTGGGGCGTCAGTGTCATGTAGCAATCAATGGACAGTGGTGATTGATTTTCAAATGAAAATGAACCACTAATTTGCCTAGAAGGGAATTCCAAGTTGTAAATAGCATATGCACCATCCCTTAATCCTGAAATTGATTGACGATTGACCAGAATCTGTTCATCACACATTTGCCCAATGTGTTTCTAGTAGACTTTTCTCATCCATGCATAGAAGGCTTTAAAGAACAGTCAACTTTTCCCATCCAATGACACAAACATCTTGAAAAAATATAATAACAGCTGCTGGAAAAATAGGGGACCGTTAACGATCGCTATTATCTGCTTTAATTGAAATTTTCCTTCCAAGCCCAGTGTGGCCCAAATTGATAGGAACAATGGATGAAATCTTCAATTAAATGGCAAATCCCATAAACGTGGACCACTCTATATCTTGGTCCCCAAATCCAACCACCAACCCTACACAATGAATTGACTATGGAGTGACTGCAAACAAACCCTAAAATGACTTTGACTATCGAGTGACTGCAAACCGTTAGTCTCTTGCTTTCTCAACCAGTTGAACTATAGATGTGGACAAACAGTTGCAGATTCAGTTGGTCACTAAATTATGCAGGACTCAAGTCAAGCAATAAGGCAACACACATGGGTTTTCTATGGTGGGGAAAATTTTGAAATATGAAATAAAATATCATCATGCATTTTTAACCAATATGGTAGAAATGACTAACCGAGGCAGCGAAAGGAAATGCATTTACCGAAAATCAATATGTTATAGAATTGATCAAACTAGTTCCATCGTATGCTTAGCTTTTACACCTAACCACACCCAAAATCACTAAGCAAACATTTAAGACCATTAGACACCGCACAGGCACACACCACTAGCCAAAGTAGTTCAATAAAAAGGAACACGATTAACTCCTCCATCATGCAACAGCTTCCTGTTCCTCGAGAAGCATCTGATCGAAGTGCCACACCCCTGGAATTCCACCAAAACAATTAATTTTAGACAACAGAAAATATAAAATCAATGCTGTCATTGCCAAATCAATGTGCAAGTGTGAAAACAATAACTACATCAGTTCACAGCTGCACTTGCTTTGGCAATAACCATTTCTGCTTCAACCATAGTGGCAGCCAGTGGAACATCTTTGAAAAAATATAAATAGTAAAGGGAAATTCATGGTTGAATTGGGAATTTTGAACTCATACCATGTCCTTTGCCAACTCTCCTCAACTGAGCAACATATTCTGAGATCTTCTTAATGGCTTCCACCTAATGTGATATAATGAAAGGCCAGATTCAGTATCATACATGAAATCTGAAGGTGTCTGTAATGGCCATACTAATAAAGAGCACATTTTTTGACAGAGGAGACGTGAAAGTAATACTTCACCTGCTCAGTCAAATACTCGCTTTCCACAAAATCAGCCAATTGTACATCCTTGCTCCTTTCAGCTACCTGTTCTCATCAAGTTAAGAGAAATGCATCAGTAAAATAAGCTGTCTCAGTTAGCAAAACTACATTTTACATTAGTTTACAGATCCACCACGGCTCATCGATTCTGGGTGTTTTCAAGTCTTGATGCATGACAGTTTTATTCGGTTTCATATTACAGCATCGAGTTTCCATTCATAGCATCTCGCCACAAATTAAAAACAAGCTGAACAGTATCCTGATGCTGAAGCTATGTTAAATAGGCTTTTCTTTATAAGTGAATCACTTGTGCGGGGCTCATGACTCTAGGGTATGAATATGAGAAACTGTCTTGAGATGTTTAGCCAACGTGCACCTTGCAAACATCTCTGATAATTTAAGCTTATAGTATAATTGTACATAAGTGTTCTTAACACGTTCTCTTTGATACATTATTGCTTCAGATTGAGTGAAGAGTCCAAATTGAAATTGAACTCTCTGTAACTTAGACCATAATTTAATTTACAAACTAAGTAAGAATATATATATATATATATATTCTAAAAATGATCTATAGTGTTCTGTCATTAGAGACACAGCCACACCCAGAACACGTAGATAAGATCATATAACATATGATAAAGAAATGTAACAATAATAGACTGAATAAACAATATGAAGTTTTAAGGGGATGTCTTACACCGTGCAAATGCAGGAGCTTTTCATTGGTTAGCTTCTCCAAAGACAAGGTAAGTTCCATTGCTAAGTCACAAAATTAAATACCATTAGTGCTACTTTTTACTAAATAGATACAGTTGCAATCACATCACTGCATCATAATAAGAGATCAAAAATAAGAGACGCAAGTACATAAAGTTGACATGGGACATGAATACAGAAAACAAACCAATCAATACAAAATCTAGCGATAAACTAATTACCCCATGAACTCTAAAAGGTTGAAGGATCACCATACATATCTATGCATGACTAGAACACAGAAGTACATGTGTTTGGAAATGATTGATGCATGCTTATGTGTGCATTGAACGTTTACATAAACATATATACATGCTAATCAATAATTTCCATACCTATCGGTAAGACTGAAGATGAATGCAGGAAGACACAGGTAGTTCTCAATAAAAAATAAAAAATAAATTGCTTGGGAAGTTGTATAGTCACACATCATATATAATTCAAGCTACCTCACGCTACACATGCACAAACGTCTAAAGACATGGAAGGTCATGGAAACCATATGATGGTTCTTGAATTATCCATGTGCAAAGTCACATTAACATAAGTACCGTGTTCTTCTAAAACATGTCATGCAAAGACCAAACTCGTTCTTTATGGGGAAAAAAATAAATATAAAAAAAAAAACTGTAAAAGCAAGGTAATGCTTTACATTATATTGCATCAAAAATACAGAGAAAAGCTCGCCAAACTCGCCAAACTCACCGTACAAGGCATCTCCTTTCTCAGCATGATCAAACTCAGATAGTGGCATCAGAATAGATTGCAGCTTCACTTTCCCACCTCGTTTGTTCTGAAAGTCATTGAACAAGAATTAGGGTTTTAAATTCATTATACAACAAATCATTTCAGTTTGTAAAGCAAAATGAAAAAAAAAAAAAAAAAAAAATTCAACCATAGATGCAAATGGTCAAACACACCTGATACTCCATCAATTTCTCTGCATGGTCTCTTTCCTCCTCACTCGATTCCTTGAAAAACCTATATGTAACAAAAAATAAATCAGATTGAACCTAATAACACACCATAGAAAGAGAAATATAACTTGTTTTTCAGAATATTCGAAGATTACTTGGCAAGTCCCTTGAGAGCAACATTGTCCCGATCGAAATAGGCATACATAGCATGATACACATATGAAACATTGTATTCAACACTGTCATCATAGAAAAATAGACATAACTCATTAGAAAGTAGCTTCTTAATAACACAGTCAGAACTGAAACAAATCCCCAAATTAATAGCTTAAAACAAAAAAAAAAAAAAAAAAAAAAAAAAAAACAAACCTCAGAATCTTCCGATACGTAATTAAAAAAAAAAAACCCAGAACACCAGAGAGATTTTCTAGGTTTCTTGTGCAATTAATCCATATAGATACATATATAAGAAAGAGTACTCAAGTAAGGGAGACTTAAGTAAGGGAAATGGAAACCCACTTGATTTGTTCATTGATTGCGGCCTCGCAATCGTCAGAATACTTCTGGCGAGCAAGAGAAGCTTGAGGGAGAGTAGGTACGAGCATAAGCTCCTTCTTCACCTCTTCAAAGGGCTCGAACACGACACCAGTAAGAGGCCGACTGTTCGTGCCCTTGGATGCACAAACAACGAACCCATTTCCGGTCTTCGCCCGCGAAAACCTCTGAACAGAGGGCGAAAACGACGAAGCCGAAGACACAAAGGAGCTCAGATTGTCCCCGTTAGTGTTCAAGAGAGAGAAAGCCGCAGCAGCTCTGAGAGTCATCCTACTTCCTAGAGAGAGAGATTTATAGAGAGAGAGAGGATTGGGAGGAAGAAGAACAGGGGAAATGAAATGAGAAGGTTTAGGAGAGGTGTGTGGTGGAGAGAGAAGATATAGAGTGGTGGAGGTGGGAAATGAGAATGTTTAGGTATCGGATGTGGGCCGTTGGATGGGAGAAACGTGGACGGATGAGATTGAGTGGTGGACTGGAGAGCGTGGCTGGCTCGTGGCATATCTGGAGATGCTTCTGGTTGTCTTGTGGAAATTTTGGAATCCCTATAAAAACAATCTGGTCCACATTCAGAAAAGGTTAAAAATGATAGTAATAAAGTTGGATTTGATCATGCATACATAAAAATATGAAATGGTGGTGTAAATTAGGGCTTTTTTTGTTTGTTCATTTGTTGCCAAAGTTTTCATCACAAAGGGGACCAGAATTGAGAGAATCTTTTGTTTATTTGGGAGTCACTATTTAACTTCAAAGAGATAAGGATGTGTACAGTATTATCACATGTTGTCAACTTATCACTAACCTCAAAAGTAAAATAAATAAATAAATAAAAATAATAATAATAAAAAGAGAGAAGAAAGAACAGCAAACCAATGTCTTATTCATTGAAGACCAAAAATAATTAATGCTCTAAACATTTATCAAAAAAAATAATTAATGCTCTAAACATTTATCAAAAAAAATAATTAATGCTCTAATATATATTTATATATACACATTTTATAATGTTTTTTAGAAATGTATGAGAATTCTTTTAAATTAGTCAAATAACCAACTTATACTACACTAATAAGCACCTTTCATTAAGAAATGAGAGATAATTATTATCTCCTTTTGGAAGTTACAAAAGTAATTAGATTTGATGTTTCAAAGTCAATTTGTTGGTCGGGGAAAAGGGAAAGATAAAAAGAAAGGAAGGTGCAACATATATGGGAAGGATGGGAGGAAAGAGGGAAAAAACATCCTTTTCATTTACTTTGTGAGCCCACATCGTCAACATAATTTTGTCATTGTCAAGAAAAAAATTACTTTTGAAGAGGGAAGAAAATCCTTTTCATTTACTAATGAGCTCACATGCCAATATAATTTTGTCATTGTCAAGAAAAAAATTACTTTTATTTTATTACATGTACAAAACACTCTATACCCTTATTCGTTATATTTTATAAAATACATTATACAAAATGTATTATTATATCATTCAACTTTTCTTTTTCAATGAAATTAAAATACATTCTTTACTTATTCTTCTTTTTTGCATCAAAAAATAAATCGTTCTAATCCTGGTACGTCTTCTTTATTATTTTGTTCTTCCCTTATATCTTTGTTTTTCTTCGACCCTAAATCTTATCAAAAGCTGAAGGATTGTTTATAAGTCAGTTTTTTTACTCACTCACTAGACCAATCCAGAGAGTAATTGAAGGGAATTTTTTTTTCAAAAAGAAATAGAGGAACATCTTCTCCCTCTATTTTATTTTCTTTTTCTAAAAGACAATTCTTTTTTAGGGAAGGAAATAATGATCCATAATACAGTTTCTTTCCTGTCTCATTTTCTTCTTTACTCAATTAAAGACTAGGGGAAAAGTCTTTCGTTTTTTATCTAGGTAATATCTTATTTGATTCTGGACTTAATTCTTTTTTTATTGATTGCCTTGTACGCATGACATACAAACTCATAAAATTCTAGTATCAATTTAAAGACACAGTGATTAAAGCATGTAGTGTGGGGCTGAGAGCAAATGGTGTGGGTTAAAAAGTTATTTATCTACTTTTTAAAAATTAGAGTGTCACGTGAGTTAAAAAGTGATAATGTGATACTCTATTTTTTATTATTCATATGTTCGATGGTGTGAAATCCAATTATTTCATTATTATTTTATTAATTTAATTTAAAAATTAAATAAAAAATTTTAATTTTAATTTAATAATTTTTTGTCTTCTTCCCAACGGTTATATTTTCAACGGTTATATTTCAATTTCTATATAAACCACTCATTCTATCTTCTTTCAATTATGAAGTCCAATTCTTTGCATTCTCAAGTCCATTCACTATTCTTTCAATTTCTATATAATAAATCACTCATTCTATCTTCTTTCAATTATCAAGTCCACTTCTTCGCATTCTCAAATCCATTCTCTGTTCTTTGAGTCTTCATATTTCTTATACAAAAAAATAATGGCTTCATTGTGATACCCCTATATTCTAGAGCCACGGGTGATCAGGTCCGAGTACAGATCTGAGGGATACCAAACAATTAATATGTAAAACGAACACGGAATACAAAACTGAATTTAAAAAGAAATAAATAATATAGCTGAAAAGAAATCTAATTACAAAATCTTCAAAGGTTATTATTGTAAAACCAATAATCCAAAACCTCCATTTATTTACAACTCGGGAATCCATCTCATGGACCCCTAATAAAATCCCAAACAAAAGAGAAAAGAACTGAAACAAGTCCAAAGCTAAATAAAGAAAGTAATCCTATATAATCGGATGAGTGAATGCCTGTATCTGCTCAGCACGTTCAAACTCTAACCCTGGAACTGACGAACACCTGAAAAATAAGAGAGTGGGTCAGGCCTATATGCAAGTCCTATTCTACTACGATCCATATATAAACCCGATACGCAGATACATCCTAAATAGACTCAACAATATTTAGAGTAGTCTATATATGTATATAATACACACTATAGGACGCTCACTAGTCCAATAGGTCTGTCTCAGCCTGAGTAGAGATACCATGCAAATCGCACATTACGTGGTCATGTGTACCTAGACCTACCAGGGAATAACAACTACTGTCCAACTATCCATCCTAAGCGATATACGCACCCTAACCATGGTCCTGAGACTCAAGCTCATACCATGGTACCATAACATAGATATATAAAATCCGTTCCAGATGTGTCATTCAAAAGGTTTATTGACCTGACACCTAATTATAAGTAGGACTTAACTTATATAGTTAATCCATCTTATTTCCATATAGGTATGACTTAGTATTAAACTAATCCGTCCCTAAAATAGGTAGGTCTCAGTGTTTTGAACTGAGCCGTCCCTATTATGCCACCGTCCCATACCGGTGCATATCCATCCCTGTAAGCAGGACTTAACTTTTTATAGTTAATCCAACTCACTCCAAGTTAGATAGGATTTAGTGTTTTACTAATCCATCCCTAGTATGCCACCGTCCCATACCGGTGCATACAAATCTCCACATAACATAATTGTTAAAACAATATTTGTTATTTATCTCTACTATCCAGAATATGCATCATATAGTTTAATACATATATCATGATATTAGACAGTCATTATAGAATTCTAAAAATCACATTCTAACTATCTAAGTTGCTACCACCAGTGACGAAACTGTTACGCTTCTTCTCCTCTGTATCCACCTCCTCCAGTGCAAAGAGAGACAAGCGTGTGAACTGCTGCTCATACTCCGCCACTGTCTTGTTTCCCTGCTGCAGATTTAGAAACTCGATCTTCATAGCTGCCCTGACTGCATAGGGAAAATATTTCTCGTCAAAGCGAGCACTGAACTGATCATAAAACAATGTCATCCTCTCCTCTGGGTTGGTAACTGACTCCCACCACTGTAGTGTATCCCCAACTAACTTGAAAGTAGCAAACATCTGCTTCTGAACCTCCGTGCACTGAACCAAACAAAGATGACGCTCAATGTCCTGTTTCCACTGGTGAGCCGTTCTCACATCGGTTGAGCCTGAGAACACAGGTGGACTCCCCTTTGTGAAAGAGCTCCTAGCCTTTCCCCAAGAATCCGTCTGAACCACTGGTGCTAGTACAGGTGCCTGCTGAACCTGTGGTTGGCTCTGGAGTGCAGCTGTTACCCCAGCCTCTATAGCCCGAGCAACAAGGTCATTGAGGTGTGGAGGAATCTCTGGATCTCTGACCCGACCCTGAGTCTGTTGAACTTCCTCCTGCTCCTCCTGAAACCTCAGCATTTGCTGCTCTTCTTCCATTTGCCGACGTTGTAGACGTTCCTGCTGTCTACGTGCCGCTCTCTTCTGTCGACTGTTCATGTTCTGTCCTCTTCCAGTGTTAACCATACTGTTAACATAGAAAGACAGACATCAGTACGAGTTTAAACGAACCGTAAAAGAATTCAACGAATCCTAAACATGAGCTCTATATAAAAAAAACGCTACGTAGAAGTCTTAATACGAAACGTCCTAGAGACACTTGAACCTGGAGTGCTCTGATACCAACTGTGATACCCCTCGAATCCGAGACACGGGTTGATCAGGCCCAGGCCCAAACCCGAGGGAATATCAAACAATTAAAGTATTTTAAAACGAACACAGATGACAAAATGAAATAATAAAAATGGAAATAAAACTGATAGAACATTTAATTATAAAACCCTCCATGCATAACTGAAAAATAAAACTCCAATCCTCCAAAATTCCAAGGTTACAACTTGGGAATCCATTGGAGGACCCCTAACCAAAAATTCAACTGAAACTGAAAACTGGAAATAGATAATGCTAGAAACATCGAGAGAAGTCCTACGTAATCAGATGGATGTGAGACTGTACTCGACAAGCACGATCAAGCTCTAAGGCTGGAACCGTCCTGTACCTGAAAAGAATAATGAAGGAGTGGGTCAGACTCACGAGCAAGTTCTAATCTAACTGCAATCCATACAGTGACCCGATACGCAGATACACCGTAGACACCTCACAATATCTATCTAGTCCATAAGTATAAATATATCCACACTAAGGGACATTCACTAGTCTATAATAGGGGTCTCAACCTGAATAGAAGGTAACATGCGAATACGCACCCAAAGGTGGGCATGAGTATTTAGACCTAACAGGGTACACCTCAACCTATTATAACTAGTTACGCATCCACCGCATATACGCACCCTAACCAACGAGTCTGAGACTCAAGCTCAGCTCGTAGTACCATAAACATATATATGACATCCATCCGAATCCAGGGTATGCAATTCAACTATTTATTAAATTGACATACAATAAACTAACTAGTTAGTCACTCAACTTATTCAGTTGATATGACTTAACTACCATCCGTTAATCC